ATACACTCTAGGAAAATGCTACACAACATCCGGCCCAACGACGTCAGCCTGCCCATCGGGTACCCCAAGGTTTTTTTGATGACCCACGAGAACGTTCTCAGGTATGTCATCACTATCACCTCGATGTTTTTCCTGACTTAGTGTGCTCAGTTCTCTCCACGAAGCCACCTCTACTCCTCAGCACCCCAAGGAAGCACACTTCTTGGCCGCTTATTCAACCGCAGCCCCTCCGATACACCGTCTTCTCCTCTCGACTGGTCCCAACACCTTTTTACAGCTGTGTGCGAAACTAATGGCAGTGGCAAAATTTTGGCATCCGCGGTGACGAAAAAGGAAATACGTAGAACGATGCGTCCTGGACGCTGAGGCAAGCTTTTGTGACTTGTCCAGGTTTTTCAGAGACTGTTAGCCCTCCCTACTACTTTCGCTACACGTTCAATACACACATTTTTGCTATGGCGAAAAGAAAGAAGCCTGCCCCGAAGAAGCCCACAATTAAAATACCACCAAGACCACCAACATCAGGAAAACCACCGGTCCCTTTTTCCCGCTTATGTTACTTTTTATGCTTAATATGGAATAAATCCAAGTGAAAACACTGCTTTTCCCACTTAATTGACTTTTGCGAAAGCGAATTAAGACACACTTAAGCTCACAAGTCCAGACCACCAAAAAAGCGAGAAAAGTTGTATTTACGCAATAAGTGATAAATGGTAGTAGTACTAGTAGTACTAAGTCACCCGTTCTCCTCGCCGTTAATCCGAGTCGTGGTTCGAACATCAAAGGTAAAGCGTCGTAACAAGCGCTCATGCAGGTGTGGCAAATATGCACACCACTTGCAGAAGTAGTGCTGCCGCAGTCCGGTCCAGGACCTAGGTTCGAACCCGAACCTTTGCGGACCGGACCCATGGTTCGGTCACAGGTCCAGAACTTCTCTTGGACCGAACCCCTTGGTAGGTTCGAGGTTCGGTGTGTCGTCGATATATCCGGACCGGTTCTGGACGCATCCGGACCGGTTCGAACCCATCATTGTCGCTGACTTCGACTTACGATTTTCGCGAAGTCGAAGCCTCATGTTTTGGGTGAGGCTTTCAATTTAAGTATCGTCCTTGCCCTTCTGTTCACCGTCTTCTCCTACTTCTCCTGCATTCCAGTAGCAACAAGATTGCAAGGCGATCTCTCGGCGACTTTGGTAATGCAACACACTCAGGCGCCAGTAAGTTCGCAACAAGTCTACTGTCTGTCCTAATTAACTTATGATGTGATTTATTTCAGAACATACCTACAGTTGTGATTCACCATACTGATTATCTGCCATGGGTTCTCATTCTGGTGTTTCACGGTGCGCAACAGTTTTCAATCTAGTTTTAAACATATTCACTTGGTACCTAGGTTTGACATTTATCCCTCCTGCCGCTATGTCCTCTGCACGTCGCGCAGACGGTTCGTTGAAAGACGCCAGCGAGATAGAGTGGTACAATGATGCCGAAGACGACTCTCCAATGGTTCCTCCCCCTGCTCCTACACACAACGGCACTCTCAATATGTTTGTACGTCGTTCTGGTCGAGCTGTCAAACCCACCGAGAAGATCCGCGAGACTCTGACTGCCAGCAGTACCTCAGCCAAGCGCTCAGCCCTAGAACCTCCTCAGGATGTCCCTGCACCCAAACGAGTGTCCGTTGGTGACAACGATGACGATGAAGATGCACCCGCACTTGAAGACGTTACGGATGATGAGGAAGAAGATGCCGAGAATGCCGAGAATGAAGAAGCTTATCAACGGACGAAGAAGCTCGGCGACCAGGATCGCGAAGACTGCAAATCCCTCAAGAAAGATGAACGCAGCACTGACCTGACCACAGTCTTTACCTTTGAGAAAGGTCGCATCAACCCCCACACCCAGGACCGTGAAAATGGGTGGTGGTGTGAGGTATGCAAGGCCAATAACGTCCCGCTACACCAGTGCTTTTTTAAAGGTGGTATCTCGACTCGACGCACTCACATTGCTCGCCATCCCAAGTGCCACTACCCAGTCTATCATGACCGCTGCAAAGAACGGGGTATCAAGATGCACAATCGTGCCATACCTCGTGATTGCCAGGCAACCGACAGTCAGGCAACCTTGGACGGCTCTCTGACTCCAAAGATTCCCGCGTTCACGAAGTCAGGACTCATGGATTACATTGTCGAACTCATTGTCGCTGAGGACGAGGTGAGTAGCTTTCACTTCTGAGATTTTTTAAAGATACTAACACTACATTTGTACTAGGCATTTCAACTCGTAGATAAAGGTCCCTTCCGTCGACTACTTCAATATCTCCGCCCCTCGCTTTCAGACACAGATATTCCCCACCGTACAAAAACGCATGATGAGATCCTCGAACGTGCAAAGCTGGCAGTCGACCACGTGAAAGAGAAACTCAAGCATGTCGACAGCAAAATCTCCATGACGTTCGACTCGTGGACTTCTTTTCCTGGTCACCCTTTCCTATCGATTACAGCGCACTACATAGACTCCCCAATTGAAAAGCCTCACGAGTGGGAACTCAAAATGGAGCAGCTCGCATTCACATCTATTCACGGTAATCACAGCGGCGCGAATATTGGGAGGATTTTGATTGACACTATCGACAACTACGGTATCCGTGCAAAGGTTGGGTGGTTTACAGCGGACAACGCTACCAATAACGACACCGCCATTGAGACTGTTGCTAACGACATTGACCCTTACGGCGAGAAGTGGAAACCAATCGAGCATCGAATACGGTATGTTTATTCATTGGATACTCGACTTAATGACTGATGAGTGTTTACTACTAGTTGTATGGAGCACGCACTCCACTTAGCGGCCAAGCATTTTGTGGAGGCGGTTGCTCCTACGCCAGCGAGTGCCTTGCACAAGAAGGCAGCGCAGGCTCATGCTTACGACGATGATGAAGATGAGGAAAGTGTCGAGTTTGATATTGGGGACACCATCGGAAAAGCGCTTGCTTTTGTCTCACAAGTAAGCTCGTTAGTGATCTATCTGCTGTGATATACTAATCTCTTTATCTAGGTGCGAAAGTCTCCTCAAGCCCGCGCCTTCCTTCAAAAGTGCTCCGCTGAGGTGAACGAGCGTCCCTTGGAACTTTTGAAATGGGTACGCACACGCTGGGCATCACTTTTCAACATGTTGGAACGTGTTTTGCAATTACGCAAAGTAAGTTCATCTACTAGTAGCAACTACAAACAGTGTCGTTGACTTGACGTTTTAGGGCGTGAACAGGTTTATTCAACTCGCCGACGACAGCGACGAGGTTCCTAATTTGCAGGGCGGCAAATCATACGCGAATTTCAAACTTTCGGCACAAGAATGGACAGAGCTGGAGTTGATGCACGCTGTTCTCCAGGTATGTTCTCTCTGTCTGTCACATCCGATTATGCTTACTATGTGCCACGCAACAAGGAACCTGCAGAGGCTCAGCAAAGTTTCTCAGCGACTCGTGAACCTACTGTGTGGCGAACGATCCCGGTACTCGAATATCTTCAAGAGACACTGCAAAACATGGCTGGCTCATCAAAATTCAGCAGCTTCTCAACAGCCATCGAAGCTGGCATTGAGAATCTCCGCAAGTGGTATGGCAAGACTGACGACACCGACGTATATTTTATCTGCCTTGGTATGTTATTTTTTTTTAATGCCTCCGAACAACGTTAACCTCTGACGCCGTGTAGCACTTGACCCCAACTACAAGGTCGCCTATGCCAAAGACAAATGGGACCCTCTTTATTTTGCCGAGGGCATGCAATGCTTCGAGAGAGTTGTAAGTCACTACTGGTCTCTGTGGATTTTACGGATACTGATTTTGTGTAGTTTGATATGTATCATTGTAGCACGTCCACGCAGGCTGTTGCAGAGCCATCTGTTGCTCAGGTGCCTCCATCGCTTGCTCGTCAAGGCTCTTATGGCCATAATTGGATGCGAAGCTCCGTCAAATCACGTATCGCAAACGACGCAGCCACACGAAGGCCTCGTCAAGAGCTCGAGGACTATCTAGCTGCACCACTTGAGGACATTAACAATGTAGTGGCTTGGTGGGGGGTATGTCTCATTATTTTGTTTGTTACTCGTAAACTAATACATTGTAAAAAAATCAAGCACCATTCTATCCAATACCCGACCATCTCATGTATTGCCAAGGATTATCTCGCCATCCAGGGATCCGCTGTTGCGTCTGAGCGGGCATTTTCAAGTGGCGGAATTACCGGAACGACACGTCGCAGCTGTTTGCTGCCAACAACGTTTGAGGCTCTTCAATTACTGAAGAGTGCATATCGACAAGGCCATATCTCTGCGACAGCCCAGGTTGAGTTTGCCGCTCCTTACGATAACCGCGTCATTGTGAACGAGGAGTAGTCTCATGTAGCGTAGGAATTTGTCATTTTTTTGATTTTTTGCAAATTGATATAAAGGGTTCGAGGGTTCGAACACGTTCTGAACTCGAACCGAACCCTTCCGAACGCGTTCACAGGGGTCCAGTCCATGGTTCAGCCTCCTTCCCCGAACCTGACCAATGGTCAGGTTCGGGGTTCGCAAATATAGGGCCATGAACTGGACCGAACCGGACTTCGGCAGCACTACGCAGAAGGGTGGCCAAGCACATCGAGCTGTCTTGTAGTAGTAGTTTTGCGTCATTTGGAATGTAGTATAAATGAGCGTGAACGTTACTTACCTTGGTGTACTAGAGGTTGTGCATGGTACAGAAGCACCGCGCTTTATAAAGCGGTGCTTGTCTGAAAGAAGAAGGTGTCGGGAGAGGCCGATTTGGCAAATATCAGTAAGTACAGACGACGATACCAGCTGAGCATCCACTCACCTATAACACGCTCAACTGTGAGAACGATGGGCCCTCACGATCCTGTAGGTGGCCTGCGTGCTATGTAGATGGCCGATCACTAACAAGTGTGATCAACAGGAGTTAGTCCGAGCGCCGACTCTTGTGGAAACGACACCGCAGGTCTATCGTAGACGCGGACAAGGGCGACGGCAGCTGGTTGAGGCAGATCGGCTAGACGTGCCACTGGATGTGGTGGATGAGGTGGTTGGGGTGAGGGTGGGGTTGTGGAGGAGGTTGAGAGGCTTTCTGGGCCGCTGGAATCGAGCGCTGCTCGCCCGAATCCATGGCGTGGTGTAATCTTCGGGCTGCTGAAGGTATGACGCACATCTTATCATGTCAGTTCATTTCCACACAATAGAGGGCGTACAGGTGAAACTACACGCTCAGTTTGCCGGCGTGAATCAGCAGGGATCTTGGTTGAACGATATCTGTCATGGGCACCATCGAGATGGGGCTGTGGGTGTAAGTAAGGAGCAGTAGTCACAACAACATTCATGTAAAACATACCGGGCTTTGGGGTTGGGGCGCTAGGAGGCGGCCTTGACATATCAACCTGACGACGAGCAGTTTCGCGCTGTAAATCTCAATTTAAAAACTCGATAGTACGAAAAAAAACTAACAGAAGTCCGAGTCGATGATTCAGGAGGGGCACACCATTCATCGTTGTTGATAAACCGAGAAGCCGGGGCGCTGTCATGAGTGGTCGACGGTGGCGAGAACGTTGTGGTGGCAAAGGTATCCGTTTTCCAGAGCCTGAACGAGCGAGAGTTGCATGCGAATGGCAGACGACGTTGGCATGAATGAGGAAGAGCGGATGGGTGAAGAATATGTACGTTTGATTGGAGGCAGATCTGGCGGGCATAACAAGGCCGCACCTGTTCGGATCATATTCTTCGGGATGGCGGGATGCGTAGAGGGGCGGACGGACAGATCTGGCAGGCATAACAAGGCCGCACCTGTTCGGATCATATTCTTCGGGATGGCGGGATGCGTAGAGGGGCGGACGGACAGATCTGGCAGGCATAACAAGGCCGCACCTGTTCGGATCATATTCTTCGGGATGGCGGGATGCATAGAGGGGTGGACGGACAGATCTGGCAGGCATAACAAGGCCACACCTGTTCGGATCATATTCTTCGGGATGGCGGGATGCGTAGAGGGGTGGACGGACAGATCTGGCAGGCATAACAAGGCCGCACCTGTTCGGATCATATTCTTCAGGATGATGGGTGGGTGCCATTGTATGGGGAATGTATAGGTAGATGAGGGGGCGTATGGATAGAGTATAGGAGGCGCAACAGGACTACACCTGTTCGGATCATTTTCTTCAGGACGGTGGGTGGGTGCCATTGTATGGGGAATGTATAGGTAGATGAGGGGGCGTATGGATAGAGTATAGGAGGCGCAACAGGACTACACCTGTTCGGATCATTTTCTTCAGGACGGTGGGTGGGTGCCACTGCATGGGCAGATGAGGGGGCGCATGGATAGAATATAGGAGGTGCGACAGGACCACACCTGTTCGGATCATTTTCTTCAGGACGGTGGGTGGGTGCCACTGCATGGGCAGATGAGGGGGCGCATGGATAGAATATAGGAGGTGCGACAGGACCACACCTGTTCGGATCATATTCTTCTGTGAGGTGGTGAATGAGTACCACTGTGTGCCAAAGCGAAGGGGGCACAAACAAAGATGGCCTCTGAAGGCAAATGCAACGGTAATTCATTCCTCTGAGCATGTGATCGCGTCAAAAGAGTGTCTGTAGTTGGCCTTTCAGTAATTATTTGAGTCTGAGTCAAACAGTCCTACCTGAGATGCGATCTCAAATGCATGATGATCTGCAAACTTGTTTATATAGAATGCTCTGAAAGCATCATACGAGTCATAGTGTTTGAAGTCCTGTGGGATGGTATGTGTTCCATAGATTGGGATGAGGTGTGCAGCGCGATAAATAGAATCAATGTGGACGATTCCAACTGATGGAGAATGGTCAGCATCATACGAAGGTCGCACTACCCACATCCCAGTGTCCTCGTCGGGCCTATCATCGGCTTTGTCGAACCAACGCACCACAGCGCATGGGTATGAAACTGCCTCGAATGTCAAAGAGAAAAAACACATCACTCGTGCTATTTCCATCCCCCCCATCCCTTCGACACTTGCATCTGTGTTCACAAACACGCAGTCATATCGCGGTGCCTCGTTTCTCCAAAGAGGACAAGCACGAATGTGCTCACGGCGCATGCCACCAATCCCGCTGCGGTCGCTAGGTGCATAGAATGTCGAAGATGCGGAGTTGAAGACTTGAATCTTGCCATCGAATCGAGGACAGCTTGCAAGTGGGACTTCAAAGGGAGACCGCTGGTCATCTGGGTTAACTTGTTCGAATAGAAATCGGCGGAGGAGGTTGTAAAGATGGGGGATAGTGAGTTCCACAGATAAGTCAGGTACAGTTCGTGCGCGATTGCGTTCTGCGCAATGTTGAAAATTAAACAAGGTATTCACAATCAAATATAAGCTGGCTTACGGGGTGTTTTTGCCAACTGAACATGGGCCTGCACCAATGTCGGGCCGTCGATAACTTCACCCTCTTCATTGTCGCCCTGTATAGTAATATTGGGGTCGGGGGGTAGCAGAATGCTATTCTCGTTGGGTTGATCGGGCTGGTTGGCATTAGGCTCTGTATTTAACCGCAACCGCTCTAGTATAGATTTTAAGTAAACAATCAAGATGATAGCGCTCAAGAAACTCACTTAATGCTCGAAGTGTTTCTGACAGACAAGTGCCATTCAGCATCCCACGGCTCTTGAAATCAATGCGCGAGGCTGCAAGTTTATCAAGGCGCTGGTTTGTCACCAGCATTTGACCAAGGGCTTTGTAGCGACTTGAGCGCCTCCATGGTTCCTTTACGGCTTTGATGTGCTTTGTCTCGGTAATCGAGGAACAAAGGCCATTAGGTGCGCCAAACAGTCGGATCAGGAGGATGTAATGGGAACAAGAGTGTTGTCGAGGGAGGGAGAATGTGAGAACAACACCAGTGGACTCAAAGATCTTCCTGTAATGATGGAATCGGTTGAGAGCATCCTGGATTTGAACCAGCGTGGATTCTGTGATGATATTACGCCGTACGAGATAGCAGAATTCAAGAAATGCACGAAATGTGCGCACGACATCCACTGGGACGTGACCTTCAATGGCGGGTAGATAAACCTGGACTGTTGTTAGTCTGGCAGTCACGACATTCTAGAAATAACTTACCTTCATAAGCGCTTTCGAATCATCGCCGGTCCATTGTTTGAATCCTCGACCTTGTGGAAAACGTCGAAGACCTGAGAATGAAGCAACTGCAGCGATTCTTCCATGACGTGAGCCTTAAAACGTCGAACTTAGACAAAAGGACATACCTTCGATCTATATCGTCTTGAATTTTTTCCGCTCCTTTCTTTCCATGCACGTGGAGCAGATACTTTCCAACCCACTCAACTAAATGATCCTTGAAGGTCCCTTTAATCAATTGATGTAGGAGGTCCGGTGCGATAAGTTCATGAATATCAGCTCGAGGGAAGTCATTTGTAAATGGCTAGCAAGGATTAAATTATAACTGCAGTTCTACGAGAAGACCCATGACTTACGACGAGGTCATTGATGATCCCATACTCGTCCCACAGATCAGTAGATGTTACTTCTTCAACGAGTGCTTCGGTATGGTCACGATTGCGACACAACGACTCAGAGTCCAAATTTTTGCGGTGTGACATACACCTATATATTAAAAAACGGTAAGGCAGAAGGTACATTACAATTACTGATAGGAACCTACCTTGGACACCAAGAGCGCACTATACACGCCAATAGAACCTGCTCTTCATAATCGGCAATGTAGGGCCCAAGCCCATAGATTACACGCCGATAGTGCCCGTCACCAAAGCGCACAACCTCTGGTTTGGTCATGGCGGGTCTTAGATTCTCAAGAATCTTCGAGATAGACGAATGAAAGAGTTGCCGGCGATATTTCCGATATTTCGGGCAGGAGGCATGCTCCTTCGTAGCTGCTCAACTGCAGTTAGCACAGAACAATAGCAGTAGGATGAAGATTACTTTTTGGCATAGCTAGGAAGCCAATGATGGCAACAGCGTCACGATGTGCACGTCGGACATTATTACGAACATTGCCGATTGATACATACAGCGGATAGTAATCGTTGGCGCCAGTTGCCACTGAAACGGTCGTCTTGTCGCTTCCCAGTATAACCGGAACAAAGGTCGAGCCAGTTGTATCCGGATCTTTGGAAATAATATCCTACCAAAGATCGTCAGCGTGTATAGCGACATATAACAAGAAAAGAGAACATACCGCTTGGTTCCAGGCCCAGTCGCCGGACATGAAGTCCTGCCATTGGCGTTCATTGTCGTCAGTCGAGAACTCACGGTAGGGCTGGTAGTCCATCTCCGTGGCATAGTCAGGGTTTGCCAACATGTTTCGAACGACCTCATGGGGGTCTCGATACCAAACGTCGTGACATTGACCCATCCACGGTGGTACATTGTGTTCCGGCTTCTCCCCCGTGTACTGGACCCTGAAAGATTGCCATTTGACATCACCCACCGGTGTACTGTCAATGGTTTTATGTAGATCACGGCAGTCCGCAAATGGCGGTTTGTCGTTATGTTTCAGGAGGGTTGCAGCCCAAAGATCCAATAAGACGTTGATGTCCCCGGCAGACATCTGGTTGCGCGTGTACAGGAATTCAGCAGTCTCGAATTCGACGCGATCCCGGTATGGAGTCCAGTCATCAGGCGATTTGCTTGGAGGTGGCGTTGGGGATGCTCCGTCTTCAAGGAATTGACCTGTCGCATCACAAGGACGAGCTTGTGTAAATACCCGTGTTAATTCTAACTAGCTGGAAAAGGACCAAGAAATGTACCGTTTAGTTTTGGGTGATAGTTGCGGTATAATCTATCACCTGGCCCCACAAACTGTGTGTCCAGATTATCAGGCTCATCGAGAGCCTGACCCGCGTCAGATAAGCCTGCGGAGAAGTCATCATGTCCTGCGAGGAAGTCGTTGTGTGGTTCTTCGGGCTCATCTTCGACTGTAGCAGTATGCGAGACGCTGGTGGTAGGAGCTGATATGAATGTTGGGTGCGAAGCATTCCAATGCTTTTTGCGCCCTGCCTGAGTCTTGAAGTAGCGTTCACATTTCAAGTACCCACATGGAATCTGAAGGGCGCTGTGGTCCCTGCGAGCAGCCTTGGGCATCCGATGGTAGTCAAGTCGAAGAGCCGGCCGAAAATGCGTGATGACCCTACTAAGTTCAACGTACTATGTAACAAAGTCCGATTAGTGTGTGTACATACTTGTTTGGGGGCTTACGAGTTTTTCCAACTTCCAAGCCCGCCTTTCTCTCTCCAGCAAAAGTTTTGCCCTTCGTCTTACTTCCCAAGTCGTAACCTCATCTCCTCAGTCATGTCTACCCAAAACACTCTCCGTCGCACCCGTCCATCAAATGCAGCCGCTCGGCCTGGCCAGATAGTGCTTGACGCAAAGATCAAGAGGCGTACCAAGGCGCAAAAGGCCGCCGACGACCTTGCCCTCAAGGAAGCGCAGGAAGCGCAGGAAGCACAGGTCCAAAAAGGGGCTGGAACGCTTGGCTAGTATGCAAAATGAGATGGAGAAAGCGCAGGAAGAATTGCTCAACAAAAAGGTGATCCCCGTTCGGCCCAAGCCAAGGGCTCGCAAGGCGACTAAGCCTGTAGTAAGGCGTGGTGTTGATCATACTGATAACATCATTGAGGCTGATGAGGCAAATGACCTCCAGGAGGTTGTCGAGACCATGGAGGCTGTCGGGACCATGGAGGCTGTCGAGAACATGGAGGATGGAACCACAGGAGCAAAAAAGAAGAAGGTAACGAAGAAAGGTGGAAAGGCGCTGATAAAGGATGCTATCAGTAACATGCAAAAGAAGATCAACGAACCATCATCAAAATTGGAAGGTGATAACGCCAATAACGTGGCACGTGTATCTGATGGGAAAGATACGCCAGCACCGTAAGGCTTCCTTCTCTCACCATCAGATGTGTACTCCTCACTGAATCAACATTGTATTTCCTCAATCTCACCTCCAGTTTCAATGCTACCACTCAGAAATTCACATTGGGTGGCCGGGTGACCAATTGGATTTCAGGGTGTCAAGCCCGGGAAATCAGAACCCATGTCCCGTGCATCCAGCACCTCATTTCCAACTCGAGCGCCTCCAACATCAATTTTCTCACAAGGCACTGCCTCCACCGCGGCAACTTCGGATGCACAGGTTCCAATTTGCAAGCCTGTGGCTCCTGTTGCAGAAGACCTCATTGGCGACTTTGCAGATGATATCGATGATACGTTGGAACGCGAGGCCACGATTGCCCAAGGCAAGGGGAAATCGAAGGTGAGTAGCCACTGTTTGATCATTAGTATCCGCGCGCTACTAATGATTTGTTTCGCAGGTGGCCTCGATATTCGAAGATAATGTGGACTTCGACGAGCCTAATGCTCCAGTAGCGCATGAGCTGGATGATTCTGTGACTTCATTCACAGAACAGGAATGGTACTCGCAGGAGCCCAAGGCCCCATTCACGCAGATCGAAAATCGCGGGACCCTCAAGCGAAAAGCTAGCGTGGAGGACCTCTTAGATGACGAGGAGGAGTCTATGGTGTCTGACTGGTCCATGGATATCGAAGGCCCCGATTTTGAAGACACATTCGAGCCTGAGCTCGAGCCCGAGCCTCCAGTGGTAGTGAAGAAGGAGAAAGATCTTCGCACAACATTCTCAGTAAGGATACTAAATATAATCGCACTCACTCTGACCCTCGTACAGACATCGGTTTCGGTTGTGACTTCTGTCCCCGACAGCAAACCACCTCCTCTCAAAAAAATCAAAGTCGGGGCATCCGCTGCACGTGCCCACAGCACTCATGCCATCAAACGCCAGCTCAACGTGGACACTGTGCCGGAGAACATGAAACCTCGTAGCGCATATCGTAATGTTGATTTACCTGCCACATTGCAGGTAGATCAACGCTGGGCAAAGAAGTATCTTCCTACCGTCATGTTATGGGCTGGAAGTTATGAAGACCTCTGGACTATCCCAGACGACGTTCTTCTCCTTCATGCGCAGCTAATTTTTAACGCTGTATTCAAGGAGCTGAACATCACTATTGTTCACGGCGGCGCGATTCATTCCCTTGTAAGTTCACTATTTTATATCGAGCTTTACTGACTGTACTCGTAATTAGACTGCGCAGCGAATTTCTGAATGGCGCAGTAACTTCGGCTCGACGGGCCTGGTCATTATCCTGGACTTTTTATCACGAAACTCTGACTGTGATTCTGTTCAACTTGCCGCCCACCTTCTCGCAGACTATGCATTCCTATTCGAGGACCCCGACAAGCCAAGTCCCCTCACGACATATCGTTCTCCTTTCGTATTACAGCTGGTGGGTACAGCGCATCTTAATGCCATCAGTGGGTACGTTGACGTTCCCGACCTCGACACACACGCACTTGCGACAAGGGCCATCAGGATGTCGGGCGTTATTGCCCTTTGTGCCGCAGCAGTAAGTTTGATTTTAGATTAATTTAATTCGCACTTATTTTTGTTTTAGATCGAGCGCGCCCTGGGAATGTTCGCAAACAAAAACTTGAAAGTCAAGGATATATTGGCGTCCAGTGCCAGAGGTAAACTTGTCATCAAACTACCCAAAGTGCTCAACAAGGTCACCGGGAAGATGACCAATGCCCCGTTTTTGTTTTCAGCAGCTCGCTGGGCCAAAGTCACCACATCATTCATGAAGTCTATCTCGAGCAAGCCTGCTGGGTATGTAGAGACCACAGTACAGATGGCGCGTGCTTGTACTGCCTTAAACGACGCCATCGAATCACCGCAGGACTCGCTTAATGACGACGAGTCGGAGGACGATGAACGCGCTATGCTTTGTAAGTACTTGTCATTCCGGTTTCATCCAACTGACATTCATCATTGTAGGATGTTGTCTTCTACTACACCCGCCGGTGGAATCCCGCTGTCATATCATCATTTTTGCCGCCGTTTTTGCCCCCACATGTCCACCATTTTTCCTGTACCCCCAGCTGGCTCTCGACTTTTTATATTAGAGAGTCTCCTTAATTTTCTGCTTTCTCGTGTATGCCTGCTTTTTAATGAAACACTTGTGCCGCTTTTTCTGGTTTTTTAAGTGAAATAAGTGTGAAATAAGCGAAAATTCAGAGATGGAGTGGGCTTAATTAAGTGGTTCACGGTTTTTCACTCAAATGACTTAATGGTACTTTTCACGTCATTAAGTGACAAATTAAGTTAGAAAAGGAACCGGTGGTTTTCCTGATGCATCATCTACAGAAAATCATAAACATGTTCGAGGGACAACATTCGGGCGACGTCCTTTGGGACACCGTGCGGAAGGCTGTTGTTGCGAGCAAGCAGGGGAATTATGACCTTGCGAGGGAGCTCATCCACAATGCCTCGGAACCCTTCCCATTCTTTGCGCTGCGCAATGCGCGCGTATTCCTCCACCGATCTTACGGATTGGCATGCATCGAGCTCACTGCAGGCGAGTATGACAGGGCCGAGTCCTATCTCACCGCCACGATTGAAGGTTGCGATATGCAAGGCAACCTGATATTAAAGGCATTCAGCACACGTGGACTTGGGGAGGTTGCCTTTGCGCATGGTAACTTTGCTTTGGCTGCTGAGCGCTTCGCAGAGACACGGTCTTTGTGTGCTGAGATGGGAGTGCCCCCGCTGCATTTGTACAGTTGCGCGCCACTCAATACCTTACCGGACAAATTCGAAGGATGGACGATGTTTTTGGAGGGCCGGTCGGCATTTGCGAATATTTAGATATCGATCATGATATGCAGTTAGTCAATTGGTGAAGTTGTAGACTCCATAGATTCCACGATTTGATGAATACCTATTTGTACTCGAGCTGCACCGACAGGCCTAACCTTGTTCGTAAAGTATTGAGCGATGTCGACGATCACCTATCCGCGCTTGACTTGAGTTGCAGCCATGGAGATGCGTCTAGTACGGGTGTGGTGCTATCGTGGCTTCCGATTGGTTCAAATCAGTCTAGTAGTCCGACTTAGTTCAACTAATGCGATGCTGCAGCTGTGCGTTGGCTTGGTTAGCTGCTACGGCATATAGTCTCGAAGCCAGGCGAAGTTGGATAACGTCGGATCGCGTCGTCCAAAACTCGGAAAAGGTGTCAAATGTTCTATCACCAGTGAAAGGAGGACGCGGGTTGGCCCGGAGATTAGATAGCCAAGCCACAGGTTCAACTGAAAGTACCGCCTTTCGGGGGATTTCGGAGGTTAAGCACTTCATTAGGCGCCGAGACGGAGACATACCGGAGGCGAAAGATGGTTGGTCGGCGTGACAATGAAAACGTCATATTTGAACTAATAATTTCCGGCAAGACGTCCCGGGGCGTCTTTAAACAATCAGCCCGTTCTTCTTTTCAGACCCTCACCTCTTTTCCTCCCCAACTGTACAACTGTACAATGCAGGCTGCACGACAAGGTAAGTCTCCGTCAAACTTCGAGTGAGGGTTCTTTTATAATGGGTTATTTCGGTACACAGCCCGCCTTATGTCCATGAGCAGGACGCTTGTCCGCTCTCACGTGCATGCACAAAAACATTTCTTGACAGCTTCGACTTCCAGAGCCCAATCAGGGTCTGTAGCCTCGACGGCCGCCGCTGCGTCACAGGTGTGTTTCCCGCGTCCAACTGTCTTGCTCAGCATCTGAGTCTTCGTTATGAATAGATTCCACCACCACCCCCATCGCAAGGGAGATGGAGATACTTTTTGCAGACTCTGGGACGTGTGACACTCGTAACAGTGATTGGAGGCAAGTGCTGGTTCTGAAGAACAACATTTTTGACTGATTGCGGATCATTCATCCGTCCGACCTGTTCATATCCGTGTAAATTTGAAATACAGCTTCTGCAACCTTCTACTACATTGCACATAAGGAAAAAAATCCGGGGCCACAACTCCCCTTCGATCCCTCAAAGAAGACCCTGGTCATTTTAGGCAGCGGTTGGGGAGCGACGAGCCTGCTCAAGGGGCTCGACACCAGCGACTATAACACTGTACGCTCCATGTTCAAATGTAGTGCCATGTTCACAAGCTAATTACATGACGATCCCCTAGATCGTCGTCTCCCCGAAGAACTTCTTCCTCTTCACGCCCCTCCTTCCCTCCGTGGCAGTCGGCACACTGAATGCACGATCAATCCTCCAGCGTGGGTTCCCTTCATATTAGTCCGCTGCAGCCTCTAAAAATAACGAAAATACAGCTACTCGCTACCTGACACGACACAAACAACGCCAAGTTTTAGTCATTGAAGCAGAGGCCAAGGAAGTTGACGTACGTCTCTTCTCGTATATTACTCGGCAGAGATTAAAGTGCTTTATTTCCAACAGCCGGTTAACAAAACTGTCACGCTCTCAGGTGCGTTTTCCACCCCTTGCTATTCCTTCAGAAAATAACGAGGGCCGAATTGTTACAGATGACTCTGAGATCCAAGGTCAAATATCCAGCACGACTATACCGTACGATTATCTTGTATATGCCGTCGGTGCTGAGACGCAGACATTTGGTATTCCCGGCGTGAAGGAGCACGCATGCTTCATGAAGGAACTGCATGATGCTGAGAAGGTGCGCCTACCCCTCTTCTAGTTTCTGCCACCTTATTGAATACAATGATATCCTGCAGATGCAAAGACGGTTTTTGGACTGTATGTTTTCGCATTATCCGGTATCAGCGATGTACAACTCATAGTTGCTTTATAGGCGTAGAGAGTGCTGCCTTCCCAGGCCAAAGTGACGAGGAGAAAGACCGGTTATTGCATATGGTACGTCTGACGATTCTCTAATGCCGCTCTCTCGTGTCACTCCGCGTTTCACGTTCTTGAGAGTCGATTCCTCCATTATGAGGGAACTCTGATACATTGTAATTGCCGCCAATATGGATGAATCCTTTTCTTCTACTTGAATTTCCATCATCTGGAAACATGTGCTCATTTTTTGGCAGGTTGTAGTAGGCGGTGGACCAACAGGTATCGAACTTAGTGGCGAACTCCGTGACTTCCTCGAGGTACGTTTGCCATGTTTCACCCCTTTCACTTCCTGCCGCCTGACTTGTATCTTTATCAACTCCAAGGAGGACCTCAAGTCATGGTACCCAGAGCTTGCTTCACGGATTCGCATCACTCTGGTTGAGGCTCTTCCCAATGTTCTTCCCTCATTCAGCAAAGAGCTGATTGCGTATACCGAGCGCACCTTCAAGGAGTCCGATATCGATATCCTCACGAAGACCATGGTGAAGAAGGTCAACGAGAAGAGCGTCGTTCTCAAGGGTCCCGATGGTGTTGAACGGGAGGTGCCGTGCGGGATGGTGGTCTGGGCTGCTGTATGTTCCATATCGTTGTGATGTTCCTGCTGTTTTATGCGTCTTCTCACAGGGCAACACGAGTCGCCAAATAACACGGGATTTGATGGCGAAGCTCCCTGAAGACCAGACGAACAAGCGCGGGATTACTGTCGACGACCACCTCCGCATGAAGGGAGCTCGCGATATCTTCGCTGTCGGTGACTGTACAGCCTCGTCTTATGCTCCGACCGCCCAGGTCGCAAGCCAGCAGGGTTCATACCTTTCGCGCGTGTTCAAGTTGCTTGCGAAGAAAGACAACCTCGAGGCTGACCTGGCTCGTGCTGAGACCGGCGAAGAGGCAGAGAAACTGAAGAAGCGGGTGGATAGGGTCAAGTTGAAGCCTTTCCATTACAGTCATCAAGGATCGTTGGCGTGCGTGTTTCCTTGTTCTGCTGGCTCATTGTTTCACACATGATTTGCAGTTACATTGGCTCGGACAAAGCAATTGCTGATTTGCCTATCTTCGGGCGTGAGGTACGTTGTTTTCTTCCGTGGGTGTAGGATTTATGAATTGATTGGGGTATAGTGGACCAGTGGAGGTGTTGCGACGTTCATGTTTTGGCGGAGTGCCTACCTGAGCACTCTATTCTCCCTGCGAAACCGAAGTTTGGTTGCTGGAGACTGGGTAAGGGTGAAGTTGTGGGGACGGTGAGTAGTCTTTCTTCTGTCGTCTGTTTCTGCCTACACATGCCTTCTTTGTCTTGACCATAAATGGCCCTCATCATTTCACCACGTTTTTTATTTTATTTTTTGTGAGAACAAGGGACTAACGCCGTATTTGCAGTGACGTGAGCAGGGAGTGAGCGCTCAAACGCTCAACTAGCGAACTCGACAGGATGGAATTTCATGATCACATTTCTAGACATTATAGACTATAGAGGCACATCTTTTCTCCCCGTTTATCATTCACTCATTCATGCTACGTCATCGCTTTTGTAGCTGTCTCTCCCTCAGCCACGGGTTGAGTTGGCCTTCCGTTCTTTCACGTTTTCTTATCTCATCTTGCGTACCATGCATAGTTTTCGTAGTTGTTATTGTGGATGGGTGTTGGGAAGAGTCATAGACGCTGCTCCTCGAGGTGCATGCATTGATTGATAGACGTAGTCTACTGAGAAACATATTCTAATTACATAACTCAAGCAGCGAATCTGACAGCCTGTCTGTTGAATACCAAATTTCCCACTTCTTGCCGAGTTCAACTTTGCTGGAGTGCGAGGTTCCACCTCCAATGGTAGCTTGGTGGACAACAGGCTGTTCGCAAATAATGACTGACCTTGACTGACCCTTCAAAAACAAGGCCCATCCTTTGAATCTGAATATTGAATGGAACACAGACTCTTCCTTCTATATGGCTAGGGGGGCCTGCACCAACTGTCATTGTTTCCGCCGTCCGCGAGTGCGACAACCGCCGGCCGCGGCACTAGCCCGGGGGGCGTGCTTCTTCCGCTGGCGCTGTTTGACGCGACAGCGAATGGCGTGATTGTGGACATGACATACAAACCTGCTGAGACGCCCCTTCTAATGCTCGCGAAGAGTGCAGCAGTTATGAGGGTTGAGGTGCTCCTGGAGCAGGGCTGTGTGCAATTTGAAACATGGACGGGACGTAGATGCCCGAAGCATGTCGTGTCGAAGAGTGTGTTGGAGAAATATTTTGCAGCTGCCTAGGTGGATCCAAGTCTGTGTTTGGATGCTAAAAGTCGTTGACATATGAGCTTGATATGAATATCATTATTTGCCCCAGCAGGTATCTACCGATGTCATTTATTGGTGTATTCCTTTTCTCCCGCCCGTCTGTTTCTGTTATGTAGTACTAGGCTGTTGTCCTAGCCGTCGTAATTAATAGCCGACGAGAGCTCCTCGCGCGGGTCATAGTCCACGAAGTTAGTCTCCAACTCCTCGCGCGGGTCATAGTCCACGAAGTTGGTCTCTAACTCCTCGCGCTTCTTGTCTGGTGCAAAAGGTTTGATACTCCAATGAATAAATGGCAGATTAGTTATATTCTCACCTCCTGGACCGTCGTACCAAGCATATATTATAGTGCCAGTATCCAGCTCCTCGCGCTTCTTAGTGATACCTGATGCAAAAGAGTTGATGCGTGAATGAATAAATGGCAAGTCAGTGTATCCCACCTTCAGGAATAACAAGGCCATCGCGTGTAACGTGCGAAATATAAGTCACGGAGTTGGTCTCAAGTTTGTCGGATTTCCTACCTTCTTCTGAGAGATCACGTCGAAAGTTCGCGTCAAGTTCCTTTGGTTTAGCTGAGTGATACATCGAGGCATTTGAGTTACTATGATAATGCTGAAGTTTGTCTGATTTCCTACCTTCTTCTGGGAGATCACGTCGAAAGTTCGCGTCAAGTTCCTTTGGTTTAGCTGTGTGGTACATCGAGGCATTTGAGTAACTATGATAATGCTGAAGTTTGTCGGATTTCCTACCTTCTTCTAGGAGATCACGTCGAAAGTTCGCGTCAAGTTCCTTTGGTTTAGCTGAGTGATACATTGAGGCATTTGAGTAACTATGATAATGCTGAAGTTTGTCAGATTTCCTACCTTCTTCTGGGAGATCACGTCGAAAGTTCGCGTCAAGTTCCTTTGGTTTAGCTGAGTGATACATCAGTAACTATGATAATGCTGAAGTTTGTCGGATTTCCTACCTTCTTCTAGGAGATCACGTCGAAAGTTCGCGTCAAGTTCCTTTGGTTTAGCTGAGTGATACATTGAGGCATTTGAGTAACTATGATAATGCTGAAGTTTGTCAGATTTCCTACCTTCTTCTGGGAGATCACGTCGAAAGTTCGCGTCAAGTTCCTTTGGTTTAACTGAGTGATACATCAGTAACTATGATAATGCTGAAGTTTGTCGGATTTCCTACCTTCTTCTAGGAGATCACGTCGAAAGTTCGCGTCAAGTTCCTTTGGTTTAGCTGAGTGATACATCGAGGCATTTGAGTAACTATGATATGCTGAAGTTTGTCGGATTTCCTACCTTCTTCTGGGAGATCACGTCGAAAGTTCGCGTCAAGTTCCTTTGGTTTGGCTGAGTGATACATCGAGGCATTTGAGTCACTATGATAATGCTGATGATCATGAATGCTCACAGGAAAGCTTCTCAATCGAGATGGCTCTTGGCGTGGGTGACGCTGCAGCGAGAATGACGAAAGATAAAAGCGCGCTAAAGAGAACAGACAGCTGCATGTTTAGGTGCGAGAGAAGTGAGTACTTCGTCAATGTTGCTACACTGGAAATTCAAGAGGACTCTTTATAAATCCTGACAGATCCGCTCGAAACGACACGATTACATACCCATTCAAACGGGGGCCAGCGGACCCTCAACCAGGAGTCATCGAGAAGGTGTGGCACCGCCACGATACAGCAATTAGGATCCCAGAACTAGGACCGGTAGACAAGTTCAAGGAAACAGCCGTGATAAGTTGCGTGGCAGTTGCTCTCTGACTAGTGCAGATCAGTCCGCTGTGGAAGCTTCATCGTCATGATGCATTCACAGTTGACCAACGTTTGGTAGTGTGAGGAGCTGCCACGTCATTTATGCAAGAGGGGCTGCGGCTTATCCTTAGGTGATTTGAAAGCACACTGTTATGCCACAGCACGTCATTGTCAGCGTCTTTGTGGTCATCAAGTGCATTTGTTAAAGTTTCGTTAACCTACGATGGAAAAACGAATCGTGATGATTGAAGGTTAAGTCTCTCCGCCTTGCCGGAGCGCTAGAGTCGAACATAACGCATGTGCCACAGGTCTCCGAGCAAAACGCTTGAGATGGCATGAGTGATTTTGAGATTCCTCAGAGCACCACGTCGGCCATACGTTTGAGAACAGCAGGATGTGCACAAGCGTCTCGTTTTACGGCAAGGTCAGATGGGTCGGGCGGACCGAGGAGCAAGGGGAAAAGTCCTTGGGAAAATTTCGCGACGAAGTAGCCACTCAGCTCATGACCCAAACATGCAACTTTCTCTTCTCTTCAGCACACTCACAGCCGTCGTCATTCTTTCTGTTGCGTACCCCATGCCAGGAGCCATCATAACACGATGCTGCGGACTGCCAGCAGCACTGTCAATTACTGAGATTAGTCGCAGATAAGCGACATGAACTTGACACGAACAGGCTCATTGCCTTGGCACGGGGAGCACTACAGGAGATAATGTGAACATCATCGTCGTCATCATCATCATCATCACCGTCATACTAATCTTCCCTGTGTAGACATAGAAGGATAATAAATTGTCATCCTGATCCAAAAGTTTGATGATAGGAATATTATTATGCCTCTGTTTCATCCAGAAGAACTTCACGGGAAGACTCTAGTGCACTTGATAGTGCATAATCGGTGGGTCCGATCCTAATAAAGGCTGAACTGTGTAAGTGATCATTAATCGTGTGGGTGGACGTACCTTGGTCGTCGACTCGTAACTCGTTAACCGAGGTTGACCGTTGTCAGGCTCCAGACCTCAGGCCTCAGAGTGGGTTCTCCAATACCTATTAGATGAAAACCTGACAAGGAAGCGTGAGAATATCACCTTCAAAACGTTCTTGACGCAACTCAAGAACAAGTTGCTCGGCGAAGTTCCATAATTGTCCAATATGAGCGATACTTATTGAATTAGAGTCTTTTTTCATGTGAGTGCTCTGCTAACAACGTTTCAGTATAGCGTCAAATTTCGGGGAACCTACGGGGGCCTTAGTCGAGCAACCAAGGCGAACTGACTTCGCGTCCGCCGTCCGACGATGTTGCTCAAAGTTGCACAAGGTCCGACTAGGCAATAATGCTTATATAAGCCTCCCTATACATTTTGCCAACAAAAATCGTTTATCATTCAGAGCTGCACACCGTACCGTATGCGGTAAACGGGTTCGCTGTCTACCATACATGATATTGGCGGACGAAGCAACTTGTAGTCAGCACTGCAAACTACTGTGTGATGTATGTATGGAGGACGTGTCAGTGACTCTGCGTGAATTTCCTTAGCTGGACAGTGAGGTGTCCGAGTGTTCGCATATCACTGTACCAAGTTGCCACTGACATTAATGTGACCCTTGCTGCTGACGGGATGCTGCCCCGCCCTCAAATGCTGATCGGCGGCCAAAGAAGAAGGGGCACGTCGCGCAGCCCAGCCTTCGTATACAGTCTCCCCTAGTCAGATCATATAGAAGGAAGAGTCTGTATCCGGTATCAACTTGCCATTCTTTTATCAGCATCCAAGATATCCTGAACAGTTTGAGATGAGCTTCAAATTCAAATTTGCGACTCCCTGGCCAGTATCGCAGGCATGGAGTTGCGTGCTCGCGGTGTTGAAGTCGCGCTTGTGCTTCGCGGTATGCAGGAATGGCAAATACTGAGGAAGAAGGAAGAGCTGTAGATATATATTCTGTGGCAGTCCGCTCGACATCCCTATCGGGTATTCCTAGTAGCAAGCAGGCCGGGCTCGCTAGAACGGGCGCTGAGCACTCAGGAATGAGGCTAAGGACCGAGGGAAAGAATGGCATCATTAGCCAAGCGACAATTGTGCTGTATGCGATGACAAGCTCAAAATGAGAAGGTAAGTTGGGCCTAACATTGTAATGAAAATTAGACCTTAGCGGCCTGTCTGCACGTTCTCCTTTAGTAGAGATAGAACCTCGGTAGCTACACCCCAGGATCTTTGGTAGCCTGCAGCTCTGAAACTGAAAGTCAGAACTCGCCCAACGTTCGAAGAGTTCTCTCACCCCATTCCATATGCGTGAATAACCGTTAGGTTCTGCTGTTCTTCCACATTCTTACCCAAATAAGGAGTCAAGCCGTCACTTCGTACAAGCGGAAGTGAGATACGTTCAGCTTCCACACGGGGACCACCTTTCCTGTCCGGCCTAAGGCCAACGTTGTGCATAAGGATTTTGGTCCCTTCTTCCTTCAGACAAGGCGCCAGGACAGAGCACCGTTCAAATATCCCTTTTGCAACCGACATATCCAAGGACGTGTCCCAGTTTCCTACTTGATGTGTTCCGTTTAGAAATGCGGTATTCGTTTGTGTCAGCCCAGGACGAGGAGTAATGGATGTCACCTGTTCTGACAGCCCGCCGCCTACATGAAAATGCACGTTAGGGATCGTGAGGACATAACTGTTTATATGTACTAACCAGACCGTACTGTTACGAATTCCTGTAAGCCAGTACATTCGACTATGATAGATTGACCCCTGATCGGATACATGGCTGTATCCTCTACTCCGATCAAAGACCGTGAACCTTCAAATCAAACCGTCAATGACTATTGGCAGCTGGCAATGGCTGGCTCACCGAGAGACGTCGCGTTGACCAACAACCCAGTTTCCCCAACAAAAGGCTTGATTTCATCCAGACTCCTTATGTGTTGACGATGAAACACAACACCACGAGACTCGAGCTCAGATCGGAGCCATGATAGATACTCCAATGGGTTGACCGTGACCGTGTTGAAAGCAATTCCCACTTTGTATGGTGTAGGGACTTCAGACTCTGACAGCAAACTGAACTATGATCCTTGTAGAATCCAAGAACAGCAAGATAAGAAATAGGACATACATCACGCACAAGGTCTTTCCACCAGATAGTAGAAAGAATGTCATCCGTCTCTCCGAGGACCTTAGAAGGTGATACCTGGAATCATTATCAGTCATGCCAATTGACAAGCGTTCAAACAAAGACTGACCTTGACTAAGCCTGATGGTGCCATATCCCATAATTTATCACTGAGAAGCCTTGTCCGTAAACCTCGAAACATCAGCGATGCACTTCTCACAAGGTTATCTGCTCCCATCTTCGTACACGCTCATCTGTAGCTCCCAACGGATGTGGAGACCAACTAGCACCCTAAGCAAGATTGAAGTAAGAAAGTGCCTCGAGAACGCTCGCCGCGAAAGGTACGCACAGCAAATGGACTTGCCCAAGCTTGAGAATGCCAATCCCCAGGCATATCTCTTGCAACGATCGTGATATCAAAAGCCACATCTGAGTCACAGGCTGCAATGTATGCGATGGTAAGCCCAATCACCCCCGCCCCGAGGATGACCAGGGGCACGTGGGACTTGGAGTCTGAAGACATAACTCCTGTAAAGTGCAAATCGATAGCAGAGATAAGGCAAGGAATAATGCTGAGCTTGGGGCTGGTACTTATAGATAAGAAGCGATTCGGTCACCATCGGACGAAAAATGCAGTCGCGTTAGTACCACGCTTGAGCTTGGGGCGGTGTTATAGTCAAGTGACTGTGAGTATTGTAGGCGGTTGAGGCAGTACGCTACCGTAGGAGATCTGCATAGACCACGCAATTTGCACTCGTCTCCCAGCCGATCCCTCTGGATCATTGGCGTAGGAGAACAACACTTGTACATCATGCTGATTGCGCACTCTGAAACTGGCGCGTGTTGAACAGAGTAGATCATGGTGCCGCTGATTGTCCGGGACCACCGATTATGAAAACGGATATCGGAGCCCCGAGAGAGAGATACATCCATCTGGATTCTGAGTACATACTAATACTAGTATGCAGCTGCGCTTTCAAATTTCGACTCCAATGATCCGTAAAAAGCGCAAGTGTACTCTGGGCCAAAATGAATGTGGGAGAGAAGAGTGGCATCATAGGGAGCTCGAGAACGACGACGACGACGAACAGCTATCTTGGTCTATCTTGGTGTTCCCCCGACCGTCGACCGACCAGTGAGGACCAGTGACTCTTCGAAACAGGTCAATGCACTTTGCAACTCTAATCGAAAACGGACATCACGTGGCGTTTTCAGGTCAATTGGTTCCGTGGAACCAATCAGCCCAGCGAGCATTCGGCCTCAACAGGTGGACACCTTGTATTTCTATCTTGCTTGTATTGACTGCCGGAGATAATATTGGGAAACAGAGGTGCAATCGTTTGATCAAAGAACAAAAGGAATAGCGCTCATCAGCAATTTAACAAGATACATGAGCAGTGACTAGCCTGTTCGCAAACCCTCAACGACAGGATGGCCGAAGCCGCAGTACTTATCTCGGATATCATCGCAAAAACACGCCAGGTAAACGAATTGAAGGAGGCGGTGGCGAGCAGATTTTTTTTGGGAGGCTCAAGGACATGTTACGCGGCACCAGGCAGACATTACATTTCTAGCTATAGAATCCACCAGATGGATTCTCTATTTTGTTGATTTTTTAAATCAGGATTTCGCGTTCGCCAAGAGCACATGCCAGCGCTCACGCTCGGATCAGACAAACAGTTTCCAACGTTGTTTGAAGAGTATCTTGCACAATGAGAGTCGATTCACCATAAATCCAAGGCGGACCAGCCGATGATATTGAGCTGCAACTTGATCTACCTATAAGTAGTTAATGCTCATACCTAGTCGATAAAGATACATAATAATACAATAGGTGGGTGGTACGTAGCCCGTCAACGGGCTGCACAAGTCGAGTCCGATCTACCACCCAAAGGTTTCTTCGTGGAGCTTAATTCCACCAACAGCCGTGCACAAACGAATGTCAGACTCTTTCACCACACGTGCCGTGGAATTCGCCAGTGCAACAGGACCACAGACGCCAACGAACACACCGTTAAAACCTCCGGCTGCCATCGTGTCCGTTATCGCTCCATCGAGCAGCTTATTAAGTTTGGGGCGGCCAGGCATGAAGCTGATACCTGGCGGAAGGTACATCCCGTCGAATGTCGTGCCGGTCGCACGGGTGTAGAATACACGTACGTTCACACGGGTAGATGGGCTCTTTTCTATCATAGACGTGAAGAGGGGGAGGAGAGGGGTTAAAGATGCTGTGCGTGGGCAGATGAGCATCATGATCAAGAAAGTGAGTGAGACGATGGTACGTACCAGGGTCTTGGATGGACCAAATGATATCAATCACCTTCACATCCGTGGCAGCCTGGATCAGATCCTGCACTGCTGACAACGCGAAGGAGACACCGCTCCCACCAACAACAAACATCGCCCCAGAATAGCTCGACATCACGGTGTGTCCTACACCGCCTGCGGGGAAAGAAAGAAATATGGTGAGATGCATTAATTCCCCGGTAACACGACAACGCACCATAGGGACCCTCGACCATCACTCTCACATCACGGCCGACTTCCATGCCGGTTTCACCATAAGTAGCCGTTTGAGCCATGTTGAAGAGACTGCTCGTCCAGCGGCCAGTCTTCTTACACATAAGAACCATTCCTTCTGACGTCTCTGTCACGTTCGCGATGGTGAAAGGATGCACCTCAGACCATCCCCACCATCCCATGGATGAAGACAGCACGCGCAGGCGGACGTGTTGCCCTGCACGCCAGCCTGCATTAAGCGATGGTACCTCGACTCGGGTAATCCCGAGCTCTGGGAGAGGACGCAACTTTGCTATAGTGACACGGGTCTTAACGGCACGAACGATGTGATCCAGGATATAGAAGACACATGCAGCCATCACGTAGGGAACACAGGTAGGCTCATGGTAGCATGCCTATACAAAATCAGTGTCGGTAACGAGATAGGGGGTAAATGCTTACAGCGAATAAGAAGATGATGAGGCTCACAACATGCGATACGATGAAGAGGTTGTATGATTTTGATCGAACGTATTCGGTCGAGCAGAATCCCAGGAGGTCCAAACATATCAATGCGACGATGCCCCAGCGAATATAATCCTCAGCGAGCTTCTCAGAAATGGTGCCTGCGAGGCTCCATTTGTAGACTACCCCGAGCACACATCAGATGAGACAAACGCGTAGAAAGCACAAGGCAGTACATACCATAACCGAGGAAGTGGACATTTGCACCAATGACCATCAGCCTTCCTACCAGGCGGTGAAGATAATTCAACTACATGCCGCGATCAGCGGAGTAGCAAAAAAACACGTTGATCAAGCACACCTTTTCGTATCCAACACCCACCATCATACCAATGATGTTGTTCTTGGTGGCTAATGCATATACAAAAGGAATTTGAGAAGTGATGACAAAACCGGCTCGGTGAGGGTCCGTGAACGGATTTGACTTGTAGAAAGATACGTAGAATATAATACTGATGTACGCCAGCATCAGAAGAATTTGACCAACGGAATAGTTGTCGTGAATACGGTGGCGGAACAAAGACGTCACATGGTGCAAGAGAGATGATGCAGTAGGGTCACGGTTGGGAATCATCGGCAGGGCTTTCTCATCAACGACAAACGCCAATCTGACTCGGTTTTGATATGGTAATGGCTCGCAGGTAGTCGAAGAGTCTGCGGGATCAAAATCCACAAAGGGCGCCTTCTGAGGGTCAACAGGGTATGAAAGAGATAGGTTGAGGTTGATCTTTGGCCTGGTAGAGGGGAGAGGTACTACTGAACGAAGAATGTGGCCTTGAGACCATTCCGACCTGCGGCTGAAACGAGCATACGCGCGGGGGAGACTGGCAAGGGTAAAGATGAGGATGATACCAAAAATCAAAATGTCTGCATGGTAAACAAGGTCGTCGTCCAGGGCCATGATGTTAAGGAGAGGCTATGTGAGTGGCGAAAGGAATGACAGAATTTCTGTGGGCTTGAAGATACAATCGGGACTTCCAGAAGCCCACTCGAAAAAAAGGAAGGAAGGGAGTGGCCTACTGGCTAAAGATCAAGTAGGTGGACAGGACGAGCGGGAAGGGAAAGGAAAAGACTCACTATATAAGTTCATTATTATAGACCAAACGCTCACAACAATGAATGTTCCGATATAGAAACACTGCAAGGCGAGTTGCGATTGTGTTGCGAAGCCCCGCATTAATGTCCATCCGTGTGGGACCTGGGTGTACCTTGTGCATTCTGCCAACGTTACAATCAGATTAGCCTGAGATATACCGTACTACGGGGGTTGCGACTGTTAAACATTTTGACTGCTGCCAGTGGGCTTGGCCCCGGTTCTGGAACGCTGTCTTGCGGATAGAAAATGCGAAGGGTGAAGAAACACACTCGGACATGCATGCCTGTCAACAACAACACATTGTCGTGGCGACAATGCGACATTCTCCCAACAAAAGGTTTGTTCCCTTTAGCATCGAACCAACTAATTTACCACGACAGAGTCGGACAGAGGGTATCCATAGGTGATATTGCCAGATCTCGGACCTCACTGGGCCTCAGGCCTCAACGTTCAACTCCAGAGAATCGTGCTCGAATTCGGAAAGCCCCGTTCCTGCTCAGCTCTCATAACGTTAGCTATTGCTTGACGATAGAGTTTAGCCCGTATCATGACGCGGCGCCCAACTGACTGATAGTTACTGGCACTGGTAACTACGATTGTTTTTAACACCGACAGGGGGTAGGTAGGCTTTCTGAATCGAAAAGCAAACAGAGTCCCCACAGTACTTAACCGTTGATCACCGTCGCATGCATGAATGGTATCTAACGCGTTCCTCTGCAATGCAGGCCAGTGCAAAACTTGCTCGATCAAGCTAGTACCTAGATCACTCGTCCTTGTTGGATATCCTCTTGTATAGATACAAAGAAGGGTACATCACCTTCACGACCCCAGTACGTAAATCTCTGAATGTGTGCCAAGCTTTTGTTACTTATTTTACATGGGACTGTCTCCAAGACCAAAGACCTCTTCTACAGAGCCACTTGCTAGATCTCAGAGCCTATCTCACCTCAGATAACGCGCGACATCCTCCCATGACTCCGCAGCAGACCAACGCGTTACATGTCTTATCATGATGATCAGCCTATGTGGATCACATGGCTGTTGTGCATCGCAAGAACGTTGGGTGTAGCATGTACATCATGATACACAGCCGAAACGTTTCGGACAGGATTGAGTTAGAGTCTACAGCTTGATTACAGTAGGGGAGGCCAGCTGTTTGAATAATAGAGCAAGCACGTGTTTGAACCCCTGCGTGGACAAGAAAGTCTCCTCGGACATGGTCCACATTGGCCCAAATACAGCAGCACGACGAGTGCGCAAAGTTTTCGGTATGTACAATAGTACGTGTGACACTGATAAGTGAGAACCCCACCAATCAGGTCACCCGTGCGTGTCATCCTCGTCGTTAACGTGGGATTCCAAGCACAATGCCAAGGGGACTTGTCGATAATCGTCGCCCAACGATGCTGGGAGTACTCTCATCTGAAGACTGTCAATGCGGATTCCAAACACGAATGTCAAGGGGACAGTAGGCGCGGCCACCTATCACCGATCTGATGATTGACTAGAATCTAGGCATGACAGTCATCACTGGAAAGCCAAAACGAGGATTGATCTCTCAGTATATCCCAAGCAGCAAGATGCGACCTGGTGAGTGAGCAACAGGCAAGCATTAATCGAATTTATCCGAAAACCCTATGTGGCATCGTGACGTATCCTGACCACGACACACCTACTGGCTGCCGACTCTACGGTTCTCTGGTTCCCTTGCCATCTGGCTCTTACTCCTCGTCCTTGGACGCATCTTTGAATACCATTCCCATGCCAGCCGAATAACTTCACCATCGGCGTCATAGGGTGTTGGAATTTCGCTGTATCCCGGGCGTGCCGTTGGGTGGCGCACATATATAGCGCTGCAGGTGGGGAAGGAGACCTCTGCATAGGCAGGGATGAAGATGAAAGGAGACGCATATGGTGGGAGGTGGAAAGGCGTTAACGAGGGCTTTGTAGATGTAAGTTTTGCAGCAGGATTGGTATGGGAAGGATCCAAGGACTCGGTTTTAGGCTCCGGGTCTCGGGGTTGTCCGCCTTCGGACTCTGCCATAGAAGACCCGGGCTCTTGGAGGAAACGAATGGCTGCAGGGTCAACGGAAATCATGTCACCTGGGGCTAAACGTGTATTGGCATCCGTATGCTGGAGATGTGTATTAGCGAATATAACACCAAAGAAGAAAACAAGCCACCTTCTTGCCATTGAGCAGGATGGATCCATGAATGACAAGTCTCCGTGCCTCATAGACACTGTGCGCAAAGCAGCACCGGAAGATGAACACATCAATGCGTCGCTCCACCTCTGCAAGCATCAAACTGCCCACAGGAGCCAAGCCTTTCCTTTGCTCATCATATGCTTTCTTCTTCGCTCTCTCCAGCTGTTCGGTACGTCCAGCGAACGCGTCGAGATCACCACTACTAGACAGCGCGTGCTGACGAGGCCGCACGTCAGGAAGGGTGTCAGGGAGGTACCACCGCTTGAATATTTTCTCGTTTATGAAGTCGCCGTGGTACGCACGCACGAGTGCTTTCGAGATCCAACGCTGTTGAAAGAGCGTCATAGGCGAGCGGGTGAAATCAATGGCCTTGGCCTCGGCCCCGCAGGAGCGCCTCCAGAGGTTGTAGAGGTTACGCGGAGACCAGCTCTGTTAGAAATGTTTTGCGCATTTAGGCTTTAGCTGAAAAGAAAAGCTAGGAACTGACCATTCGAGGCATGGCCTTCCGGAATGCAAAAACGTTGGCATCCCTCATGGTGGGCCTTGAGTGTCAATATATACTAGGGTGTCCCGAGCTGCTCCCAACAAAAATCTAGACAGAGCTGTTCGACCCCCAAGTGGGTTTTGGAAGAAAAACGTGACTACCAAAAACGGTAATCAGCTATCATTTCAACGCGTCTTGACTCTTGTGCATCTACCGCCGCGCGCGTCCAGCTTGCAAGTTGCAGTAAACTCCATTATGGACCCTTACACCCCACGAACGCGTCCAGGAGGCCGTAAGAAGAACCTTGGTTTGTCTGCGAAAGAGTACAGCAAGGTACGAGTCTTCTTGCCTGCCAAGTATACTTATTATGACATGCAGACGATCGACCATTCAGATCACAGGCACTATCGCTTCTGTTCGCAGAAACAGGCAACTGAGCGACGATATTTTTGAAGACGCAGATGTCCGCGTGCGCTCATCACGAGACAGCCTTGGAAAAAGTGCGTGGTTTTCGATGATTTGCGTACTAAAGTAGTGATGGCATGCAGACCACGAGCCATCATTTATCGCTGAGACTTCGTTCGTGCGCGCACCATTGAACTCGCGTGTTGGTGCATCTGCTTCAATACCAAAGTCAAAGGGTAAAGCAAAAGAGGATGTATTGGACAATCTTCCTGTGGATATCCAAGAGGCTTTGATTTTGGAGGATCTCCTTTATGTCTTGATGGTATGTCTTCACGAGTGGTTGTTATGTTCAAAGTGGATTTCTGTTATCAGCCCGGACATTCTGCGACCTTATTTGTGTCAGAATTTTCGTTCGCCGTTTTGTTCTTCTATCCATCTCAAATTTTGTCTCTCTCACTTTCCTTCGTCTCAGTCCATATCCATCTAGAAATTGCAGCAATGACCGGGGGTTTGGTACGCCCACTTAACATCACAACATGTCTCATCAATTTGTTTCTTCTTGGTTCTCGTGCATCTGTCATATGATTCACCTCGTCCTCTTGCTAAAACTCTGTAGGGCATTGAAGGAACATATATCTCCCATCATCCTGAATACTCGCCAGAAGATGACGACCCTCTAAAGGGAATATCTTTTGTCGTTTCCTCTCCCCTAGGTTTGTCTGACAGCTCAGTGGAGATCGATTTTGTTCATACCTTTACAGACTCGTCTCTTCGAGACCTGACGGAACGGATACTACCCCTTGGCACTTACTATACTGCTATCTCCTCTTTTGTGGAGAGCCGCAGCCACCTTGATTTTGGGCTTGTCAATCATGCCCTCTGCGCTGCTATCCGAGACATGCTCAAGGTCTGTTTTTCCCATTGCTCGAGCGTAGTCTTACTTACCCTTTCAAAGGACTATCAAACACTTCTCTCTCAACTCGAACATGCATTCAACACCTCGCCACAATTCAGTCTACAGAAATTATGGTTCTACGTCCACCCGACAGTGCATACTCTATCCCTTATCTACCAGCTCATCCTCGAGCTGGCTACCACCGATGACGACGACGCCTCTTCTTCCTCATCTTCTTCTGAGTCCGATCCAGAACAGGCAGCACGAGATGAAGCACTTGGGCTCGGCGGGGCGAAGCTGAAGGCCGTTTTGTCTGACATGAAGAAGAGTACATCAGACGCACCTATTAATGTGAAGGGTGGAGAAGTACTAACGGTGATATACGAGCGCATGCAGACCATGTCAGGTGATCCCACCGCGGTCAAGGTATACGGCACTCTTCTAACTGCTGCGGGGGTGCCCTATGTCGAGATGCTCCGAGTATGGACAACTACGGGTCGTCTCGAAGACCCGTACGAAGAGTTGTGTGTCAAGGAGAGCAAGTTCATTAGTAAGGGTATTTTGGAAGTGGATTACACGGATGAGTATTGGGAGAGGCGATATACGGTGAGCTTTGTGTCAGAACGGAGACGGGGTATGTGAGCTGATGTCTGAGTAGCTTCGCGATGGCTCGACACTTTCTTCGAAACGTCAGCATACAGGTGTTCCGCCACCACGTACTGCTGGGGGTCGATTACCCGGTGGTGCTTGTATACCTCCCCTTTTGGAGGGTTGGAAACACAAGTTTTTACTTGCGGGCAAATATCTCAACGTGATACGTGAATGTGGGATCGAGGTGCAAGCCGATCAGAAGGATTTGACGAAAAAGTCGCTGTCCATGGAAGATGAAAAGTATGTTTTCCGTTAGTTTGAGTCGCCGTGTCTTTTTTCATGGACATTTTCAGGCTTTACAAATTCATCGAAGACGCGTATACGCACGCGAACCGCACCCTCTTACGTCTCCTGCTGCAAGATCAACAGCTCATACCCCGGCTCCGCTCTCTCAAGCGTTATTTCTTCCTGGCCTCCTCATCCTTCCTCACCCACCTCTTAGACCTTGCCCACACAGAACTGAAGAAGCCCGCGAAAGGCGTCAGTATTGTGAAGCTACAGAGTCTGCTCGACCTCGCACTTACAGGGGAAGATGCTGCGTTCCGCGAAGATGTGCGAGTCAGCATCTCAAGCAGTGGTTTGTACGAATGGCTACTCAAGGTCATCAGCGTAAGTGGCGTGATCGGCGGTGAGGAAGGTGAGGGCGTACCAGATGAAGAAGCGAAGAAGGATCGCGACAAGGAGAAGGATGACAAGAAGCCCATGCTAGGTATGTGCGTCAAGCTTCTATGCTCATCCTTGCTCATTCCAAACAAGCAATCGATGCCCTTACACTCGACTACAACGTGAAATTCCCGCTTTCACTCGTCATCTCCCGTAAAACAATTCTGCGCTACCAGCTCCTCTTCCGTTTCCTCTTGCACCTCAAGCATGTAGAGCAGTCTCTCGCATCCATGTGGATAGAACAGAAGACAACTCCCTGGCGGCGCCCCGTGCCTGACCATCCCGAGTTTGAACAGTGGCGACTGCGAGTTGCCCTCCTGAGAGCTCGTATGCTCGCTTTCGTCCAGCAAATACTGGCGTTCACCACATTTGAGGTTCTTGAACCCAACTGGCGGGCGCTAGAGGCGAAATTAGCCAAGGTAACTACCGTAGACCAACTTCTGAGGGATCACGTAGACTTCCTTGATACATGTTTGAAAGAGTGCATGTTGACGAGTGCCAAACTATTGAGGGTATGTATGCGACCTCGGGCCCAAACACACGCTGATCATTGTATTGTCAGGCATACTCCCGCATGATAGTGACATGCTCCACGTTCGCACTGTACACCTCCTCCTTCACCAAGTCTGCCAATCAAGCACTCGCAGCAGCAGAGAGCGGCGACGGCGACCAAGCGATGAACAAACGCTGGGAATTCCTGAAGAAGTTTGAGTCCAACTTTAACCACTGGTGAGCGTCTCTTTTGTCTGCGTGTGTTGGAAAGTGAGATTCTGACTCTGCTCGTCTCTAGGTTCAAGGTAATGTTCTCTCATTCTTACGATTACCGCAGTCCCGGCTGATAATTATTTTTGTGCAAGTTTCATCTGGACTGCGTACAGTACTACGCGTCGAGTGAGAATGTGTCGCTACTTCCTCTTGTTGTGCGGTTGAGCAGCATCAAGACGATGTCGTAGCCTCAGAAGTCACAAGTGTCCTGGTCCAAATGCAGTTTTGAGTGACAGAGAACGACGCCAAACATTCTGGGTCCTTGCTTTCAGTTGCTGTTACTTTTTTTTGTTTTTCTAGCCATGCTCGATATATATATTGCTGTATTACGCCATTAGGATGTGAGGAATACGGGCTCCGGCGGTTATTTGAATAACTAATGATCGATGCTTGGGCGTCCAGTGCTATAGCACTCGAACCAGGCTATAATGCAATATATTATATTGTACATGTATGTCCTTCATGAAGTGAACTTGACTCGAGTGATATATCCTGCTGACTGCAGGTGCTTATGATGAACATCAAATGGATATGGAATATACTGCCGACCGTGTCAGATATTGAACCTTGCACATTATAATTATAATATTCTCATGGTCAGTACTCAGGTCAATGTTTGTGATTATCGGGCCTGACTCGCGGACGTCTTAAAACATGCCCTGCAAAGGTCCTCATGGTGCTAAACATCCAGTCCTCAAAAGCAGAGACTATAGCAAGTAGTAGATTTCTGTTACTAGAGCATAGCTAGTCTCCCCTAGCCAAACCATATAGAAGGAAGACAGTCGTTCCTTAGAGCGTAGCCAGAGGTTGATTATTGGCCAGACCTAGTTTTCAAATGGCGAGAGTATTTGTGATGAGGTAACGACACTGCACGAGTTGGAAATATACAATTCATTACGCACTGCCACCAGGTGATTGCTTAGTTGCGAGAACGCTGAGTCCACAATCAAGTTTAAAAGAGTCAGATCAAGATACTGGGATAGAGTTATTACATGAGACCAGGGAGTCATAGCAAAAGGCATGTGGAATGGTACAGGGAAGTCACTTGTAGGTGAAACGGTTGCCGTGACGAGGCCAGACCTTAATACACAATACTTGGTGAGTTACATCCACAAAAAAGTCAAGTCATAGTTATCACTCACCTATTCTATATATGTAGAACCTGGCGTTAGGTTCAGTAACTTGAAGGGTAGTAATTGAAGTTGACAAGTTCCTCACGCACTTCCTCGCGCGCTGTGTCGAGTTCCCCGTCCCTCTTGTAACCTTTGTAGTTAAAGTCATCGGCGTCAAGTTCCTCACGCTCCTCCATGTTGAGCTCCTCGTGCCTCTTGTAACCTTTGTAGTTAAAGTCATCGGCGTCAAGTTCCTCGCGCTTCTTGATGTTGAGCTCCTCTTCCCTCGCGTAATGTTGGTAGTTAAAGTCATCGGCGTCAAGTTCCACACGCTTCTTCATATTGAGCTCCTCGTCCCTCGAGTAATGTAAGTAGTTAAAGTCATCGGCGTCAAGTTCCTCGCGTTTCTCCGCATCTGGCAGCAGGTCGCGCTTGTCAACCTCCGCATATTCTAAGGCGTTGCTGACGGTCATGAACACTCACAGGAACGTTTCGTGCGGGCTTCTTGTAGGGGGTGCGCAGCAACAAGAATCATGATGGATGCGAACACGCTAAGGAGAAGAGAAAGCTTCATGTTTGAACTAAGATGAGGGATTATTACTTCGTCAATGTACTACGTTGAACATTAAAGAGGGCTTTTATACCTTTTCGAAGGTCTGCTCACGGCTCGGGTCATTTGGCTTTGCCGGGAAACAAGAGGATTGGGCATGTATTGAGACCACAACTTCACGACGCATTCCAATCGAAGATAGTCATCCCTTCTGAAAATTACGATCATGATGCACCCACCATGTAGCCGCTACGCCGATAATACGCAGTATCTAGATTGGATTCATCTAAGCCTTATCCCCTTCAGATTTTTACGAGGGATTTAGAAACTGACATTCTCATCGAGGACCGTTGTCAAAATGGACACAAGGTTTCAAAGTCCATTCAGCACTGAGCAATATTAAGTACTTGCGGAAATCTGAAAAATCCATTCGTGTGCTTCGGTCCATATCGAGACCACAAGGACTTTGATTCTTGACGTCCCTCAGGTCCCAGGTCCGATTATACGCTGCTATACGACTGCAATTGATCAACCAATTGTCAAGTGTCCAAGGTGGAGATCAGTTGTGGGGACAGCGACAAATGGGATGGCGCGGAATGTCAAATTTGATACTCCGTGAACGGTATGTGCGACCACTACATAGCACTCTGAAAGGTTTTTGAATACCCTATGGTAGATATCAGAGACCACGCATGTGCACAACATATCATTGCATGGGTGAAGCTATGTAAGTACTAGTAGTCCCTTCTCTGTAATAGTCCCTATGGGGCCTGGGTTTATCGGCTCGCAAGTGTCCTGACTCCAAGCCTTCAGCCCATCTCCTTTTTTTACTTACTTACTTGGATTGGGTCCGACAAACGCCTTGCTCGCTCCTTCAAGCTCCCTCATTGCCCTTCTTTGAATGATAATGAACCGGCAAAAGGAAAACCGGGTCACCGAGCTCATATATGTTCACAAGCTAGCTACTAGTCAGCACTATCCAGAAGCTTTCTAGCAAGCTTCCCCTTGATGTGAGGGAGCTTCGGGTTGAATGTAGCGGTTGATTCGCCGCCAATTTAATTTGACAATACTCTTGAACGGCTCAAGAGTGCTTTTGACGGAGAACCTTCCAAAGAAAAATGTGCGGTAGCTAGAAATGACAGTATCATAGTTCAGCTGGCAAGGCAGGATGTTCTTGCCTCAGAACTTGATGACAAAAGGCTCAGATAAGTCACCTGCAAAATACTCTCCTTCAAGTTCCGTTCGGAATGGTTAGAATGGCACGTCTGGAAGGTGCCATTCGGTTTGAACTCGTATACCAAGTGCCTAAGAGAATCATGAATACTTGTAACAGGACATCTGAATCATCCAACACCTTACCTGAGTCCAAGTGGATATACTCGTTTCTTTCCTCGCAAGAAATCGAGAGCACTTATCCTGAACCGTCATTTATTGAGAGTCGAGATGCGTCCTCGTTTACGCGGCTCACAACATTGCTTGCACAATGACACATTTGCATGGCTGGCTTTGTCGGAAGACCTGCCGTGGGGACGGGCACCCATGCACAGAGAATTCTGTACTATGGTGGTCACCAATTTGCAGAGCAGCCAAGGGATTCTCAATCCTCTCGCAAAGCTGGCGTGAATAATATTGCAGGCGGTTAATCCCGTCCAGAGTCTTCAGATGGAGGCGCAACCGCAGAGGTGATGGACGGGATCCCTATGCAAATAGGCCGGTAAACAAACATCAGGAATACGTGCATGTGTGGCGGGTATCAATCCGCATGCTTGAGAAACTTGCACATCGACGCCATGAACAAGAGCTATGACGAAAAGAATTCACAAGCCAAAAGGAATATGAGTAGTAGCTCATATCGTACACGTGCCAAGCTAGAGGGACATGCGAATGACTTCAGAAATAATGAACATTGCATCAAAAGCTAACTGATTGGGCTGAATGTTGGCGATGAAGTGGGTGAAAAATGCTATAATAACAAAAGGAAGGAATGACTGATCCATGCGAAATTACTGGCATTTCTGCTTCCTGACATGAGAGCTCCTAAGATTATGCACTCGCAGAAGCACTCTTGCTGGGGTGGGTTGCTTTGTAGTCAGCTGTTTCTTTCTGGAAAGCTTCAACATAGGGCTAAAAGAACATATCGTTAGACATCGAAGAAAATTTGTCAACAGGGTTCACTTACGGCTTTATCAGAGGCGCTCATAGCCCTCCACCGCCCACCGGCCTCACGAGCAACATTGACCGCTGCTCTACCTGTAGCAGTGACTCCAGCTTTTTGGATAGCCCTGCCATCATCTGATTGACGGAAGTATTCTATGAATCTGTGTGAACCGTCGTTTGTCGTCAGTCTTTATATTAACCATAGCATATAAAACTGACCTGAAGAAAGCTCCTTTAGGGCGCTTGGAGTCACCCTCTTGGGGGGGTCGGTGAATCTTGCCTTTGCCATCATGTTTGCGTCGTGCGTTAATTTTCCTGACGGTCTCCTGAGGGGTCGTTTTCCAATAGTTTTCTAGCTTCTCTTCATGTTGCTTCTTCAAGACCTCAACTTCGTTGTAGTAAGGCTGTCAGAAGCGATTTTAGCACGACGTATTGTGGACATGGCAGTCTAAATGACCTGTTTATCCGCAAGAGTTAAGTCCTTCCATGTAGCTGCAGCTTGCTTGGCCAAAGACTGGGTGTCCGAGATGGTCTTGATGTCGCCCTTCTTGTCTTGTACGAGCTTCGAGAAGAAAAGCACATAGGCATTAGGGGGACGAGAAGGAGGCCGCTCAGACTTGGGTACCCTCTTGGGTGCTATAGCGACACATTAACATTCACAGTATCACCACAGCCAACATGTCCACTCACGGAGCGGCCCATCAGCCTTCTTGGATGCTGCCGTTGACTTCGGTTTGGACTTTGCTTTCGTGGTGGCTTTCGCCTTCTTTGGGGCAATTTTTTTCTTTGTAATTTTCTTTGTGGTTTTCTTCGTTGCTGTGGTTGACGCGCTTTTGGATGCAGCAACCGGCAGCTGGATACGACGCGTAGTGAAGAACGTACGACGCGTCGCCACGAATGCGGACGAAGTTAAGACCGACAAAGACGACACATTTGTGCGCAACACGGGAAGGTTGGATGCTATGTGACGAGCAAAAAGCGAGAGCATTCTGAAAACAATTGGTGAAAAGAAGTTGCAGTAAAAGTGGCGGCTAGGAGAAGGGAGAGCGGCATTAGCGCATAAGAACTATTTGGTCTTGTTGTGCAAGAGCTTCATGATCCAACAACGCTTTCAAAATTCCCTTTTTTGGGGTCGATCCATCATGGCTACGAACAACCCTCAGCTCTCTTTCGATTCAAAGTCCCTTCCAATTGCTCAACTTGAGCTCTTAAAATTCAAGGCTAACCAAATTATTGAATCTATCCAGACTCTACAGCGCACAATCGATGTCGGCGGACAGCAAGCCATGCCCGCTTGGCCAGACATCCTCTCCAAATACAATGTCATCCTCTCCCAAACACATAGCTTTTCACAATCCCTATCATCGCCTCAGGCTCAGTCCCAACTCGTCCAGGCGCAAGCCAGACTCAGCTCCAGCGTGTACGAGAAGATCGCTCTGCATCCAAGCGTCGGAATGACGGATGCTCAGCTCGACAATGACCTTATTCCTCTCTTGCGTAATCAGCAGACGACGGACGTGCTGAATATGGAGACCGCTACTGTCCGGCGTCTGGCGGAGTGTATGGCCACCCGTGGCGCCATTGCCACCAACGGCGTTCAGACTAACCTTCCTCCTACCACGGGTAGTCGGGTGACACACGAGGATGTGCTCCAGGAATGCGAGGAGATACGGAGTGCACACGATCACCGTGTCGAGCGCGCTGTCAGGGCTGTTATGATGCTTAGAGACAAGTTTGAGTGGAAACAACGCGTCGAAGTGGAGGTGGAAGAGCCGGAAGAGCTTGAATGGGATCCACGTACGGGGCACGGGGACGCTCAGATGATCAATGAAACAGAAATAGCAGTGAGTCCTGACAATGGGGAGCTCGGAGAGGGACAAAGTAGCGATGAGGAAGATATTGTAGAAGGTGAACTCACGGGAAATGATGGTCCAACCCCGGTTGCTACTCCAGCTGCAGTAGATGTTGAGATGACTTCCGCTGATGCTTCATAATGATGTACTCATCCCGGTAGGTATCAAATCCATGCTTTTGTTTCATGCGTATAGCTAAGACTGGTATACAGTTACAGGACTCTACTATATCATTCTAGTGACAGGGCGCGTCCTTCAACGCCTCAACGCATCTTGGGAGGATCTCTCTCGCCCAATAGATCTTATGATGCGTTCCATGATCCACTTCCCCCTTCTCCTTATCTCTCCCAACTTCTGCCAGTACGACTAGAGCTAAGAACAACGTATACCACGTCCTCTTCGTCCTCTGCCTCGCAAAAACAATCAACGTTCCACCCTCTCCTTCCAGATACCCTTCTTCCAACGACTTGCTTGGCCCAGGCGGCATAAAAAACGCCTCCAACATCGGGTCTCCCCACACCACTCGATCAAACGCCGGCAGCACATACGCAATCTCCACTCTAGCTTCCTCGTTCGGTCCACGAGGCTCCAAAACTTGGACATACACATCATCCGCCGAACCTGTCAACCAAACCAACGTAGGCACTTCTGCGTCTTCAAATAAAAATGACCCGATGGCGCGGGATAGGTATCGGCGTATGTCCTCCACCAACGTCCTTTGTATCTCTCCAGTGGTTTCAAGCTCGCATAGCAACTCATCCAGGAGCAGCATGAATGTATCCTGCCAACTGTAACACACATCCTCGTCTGGCTGTGTTCCTGGGATACCGAACCAATCGTTTTGGCGTGAGTGCAGGGAATGGAGGAAGGTTCCTAACTTAAGGTCCAGAAGAGCATCTTGACGTGGAGTGAGAGCTCCGCTCGATCGCAGCGATGAGAGTGACTGGGCGTTTGATGAGGGCAGTCGGAGGAAGAGATAACGGAATGGATAGCGTGCGAGAGAATCGTCGAAGCCTCTGAGTTCTGGTACAGGCAAATTGGTGTTATCGGAGATTTCTGAGAGGAGATCGCGGATGGTGCTAAGGGGCAGTGGCTGTATCACCGAGACTGGTTTAGAGTCGGGCGTCTTGAGAGCGACAGCAAGAAGGTACGATGCATTGCGGAGCACGATATCGATCGTGTAAAACTTGATAGACGATGTGTAACTGGAGCATTGCATGTAGCGAAAATCCTGTGTGTGATTGATATCTTACCTAAATCGCTGGTTGCAGATCTCGTGAAACTGTTCGATCACAGCATTGTCACCCTCGAATTGAGCGACAATGTCCTGTACCTGCTGTCGACTCGGAGTGACATCCATGGAAATCACAACTTAGAATAGGACCCCGACCGGGGTTCCACAGGCTAGGTTCGATCCAGAAATTTCAAATAGGTCCTATGGTCGTCCGAGTCCGCCCAAATTCACGTTGGCACGACATATTTCCGAAAACTTGAATATCCTTCCAGCATCGGCCGGCACTAGAGTACTACATCGACTAGGCCCCAAATTTACATGTTTTGAAACCTACAGAGACACCACTAGACAGATACTGGTGCCAATGCTAGCTCATCCGAGTCCACGATGTACAGCCTGTAAGCGTTTTTTGGGCGTTGTCGACATCGTACCTTCGAGTCCCTTCAAACATTCACCAGTAATATTTTTGCCATCCATCCATCCATTTCTGCGTGCGTACGGCGGGTTCGAAGTGTTCAAACTAATTTGACTTAAGTTCTCCACTGTCGCAAGCTCACAATTGTAACCCAAAGCGACAGAATTGGCTTTCGACGATCATCCTGGTCACCATCTGGCTACAATTTCCGATCGTGACCGTTGCAACCACCTTCACCCACACACTTTGCTTTGCTAGCAATCGAGGTCCCCAGTTGTATGACACATTCGTGCGCGTGATGATCCAACCACGATACTGATGCAATACGGGATTCCGGTTTGCACTGTGCACAGATGTGCGCAACATTCAAATTGCCCTTCCGAAGTTCATCAATCATTCGCTGGCATGCATCGAGTACTTCCGCCCTCCGCAAGAACTGGAACTTTCTGATAGATGAGCTTGTAGACTTGGCAGGATCTACTAACACTGAAAACAGCTTCTGATCATTGTTGGACGAAATTCGTAACCAACGATGGTCAGGGTCCGTGGTCGGCCTTCCGCAATCAGATCATTTAAGTCCCAAATTTGGGTCCACAACGTTCCTCCCAGTGAGTTTGCTGCCGATGACTATTTCGTCACTACTACTTCATTGATTATTTGATACCCAGACTGAACTACATACACCGAGGTGATGTAGCGGGTGGGTGACAGTGGCTGTAATAATTTTCTGGAGGCCGTGGTTTCGCGCATAGCAATAAAGTTGAGTTAAGTAATGCAGAACGAGTCCAGGTGCCCCAGCAGCATCATCTTATCCTGGGGCGTGTATTAGCATTGACGTTGATGTGTGCGCGGATAGCGTACCACTTTTGACGAAGGTAAAGATGACTCGGCCGTCGACTTCCAATGTGGTCCTGCCTTGCCATCTCCGCACCAGCAACGACAATTGATACGAACGCAAACTGCAGAGTTTCAGCATCCATACCAAGTCGGTGTGTAAAATAGATTTATTGTGCGTCAATTGATTGAGGTCACTGCGGTTTAGAAATCCGTATGGATTATCGGATTGTCAGTGATTTCCAATGTTCTTCAAACACCCGTCTATTCATTTGCCCACAGCAGCAAGTCATCCATCGTCCACTGTCCAGCTGGATGACGGATAATTGATATGACAGATGCCCAGCATGCGAAGCTTCGCCCTGCAGATTCTTTTGACCACCCAAGCCCACAGGAAGATAGAGGAAGATCTATATGCGGATATGATAGTATACGCTGTTATTACACACGCGCCAGATTACAACGAATAGGATAGAGTTGGACTTTATGTTAACTCCGGTGCCACTCCGTGATCCCGTACGTCTGCGGCATTTGAGCATTTATTTAAGTCATGTACGACCACTACTTATATGCTACTTGGGATCCCTTGTAACTGGTTCTGCATAGAGGTCTGGTTCTGCATAGTTGCCCTGTGTACAATGTACCGTGAGGTCAACACGATTATATTTGATGGAAAGCAAGGCTTACCACTGCGATTTCACGCTTGCCAAGCGGTTCTGCATGGAGATCTGGTTCTGCGTAATTGCCCTGCGCACATTGTAACGTGAGGTCAACACGACGAGATTTGACGCGCAAACCAAGGCTTACCACTCCGATTTCGCGCTTGCCAAGCGGTTCTGCATAGAGGTCTGGTTCTGCATAGTTGCCCTGCGCACATTGTAATGCAAGGTCAACACGGTAAGATTTGATGCGCGGAGCAAGGCTTACCAGGGCATTGCTACGCTTATGAAGGTCACCAACTGCGCGAGCAGCCTGCGGACAACGTATGTAACTTTGACGTCAATGTGATAAGATTTGACGCGAATCGAGGCTTACTGGCACTATTCCAGCATCGACAAGGGCTGTCAAGCCGAGGATAATAACGAAAGCAGTAGAAAGGCGGGTAAACATGATGGTGAGTTTGTCTTACTTGTGCAAACCAGAGAAAATTTGTTGCAGCTTGATTGTTGGAGCTGTCTGATGTGCAATTATGCTCAGTTTTTATACCCCACAGACAAAGGAATGTTTCATGGGGATGTGAAGGAATTTCCAAATATATGACAGTACTGGAAGAATTGATGGTACAAAACTTCCAATGGTAATTGTCAAAAGGAGGTTTTGGTCATCAACACATACGTGGCCCAAGTCACGAGGAATGGCAGTCCGGTAGAAAACTGTTCAAGTTACTGCAGGACCACACGTTCGTATACTTTGATATACACAGCAGCAACGATCCGGAAAGAATCCGTTCCAGATTGTAGGACCTTGCCAAGGCCCAATATTAAGTCCAAGACCCTCAGTAACTCGTGATGGTCGATTTGAATTATGTGTACCACATTGTGCCAGTGAGCCATGTATGGTGACCAATGCTGAGCACTGAGCGCCGAAGTAATAATAGACACGGGCTCGTGTTGAGGAGCTGTGCCAGGCAGTGGAGTCAACGTGAATAAGTATAACTTGAAGTGATATGACGATTGTCCAGCATGGAAGGAGCTCGGTCTAGCTCGGTAGGTGTAGCGGTGGTGTATAAGTGTTCCGTCATGATGCATGATTTTAAATAATTAATGAAGATGTAGTGAAAAAAGCCACCGGGAACATTAACATGCTCATTGATCATAAGGAGAGATGATCCATGCTTGATTAAATGTAGCCCACCGGAATAACCCGGGGACCATAGAACATCAAGCTGAGCGGAACGCGTCGTTTTCTTTCTACATTCGCCTCTCAATCCACGACGTCGATGAGGTTGGCATACTTAGCTCGGCTCGCGTATCCTCACTCGCGCCTACATATATACCCGCCCGCCACCCCCTTTTCTATTTACACTACATAGTACTGCAGCTCGCACTTTGGTCTGTCACGATGTCCATCGAACTTGTGTGCTTCGAAGTCCAAAAGGGATAAGTACTACATACAAATAAATAAATAAATGCTATGCGGCAGACAGCCTGATGATCACTGGGCAGAAGAGGAGTTGATATGAAGTGAAACACACCCTGCCCATCCGATTCGTGGTAATCCACATGCACTAGTAAAAGTATACTTAATGTGAGGATTCGGTGCGGTCATGCCCTCTCGTGCGACCTGACATGCGATGCATCGAAATTTGCACCAGTACGTGACATGGTGCCACAACTTGGAGCCTGCCCGGGCTCCGAAATTCGTCGAGTAAGAATGTCTTCACGGCGTGAGACACTAGCTATCAATGCGTTCATGGCGCTTGGGACAGCGGATCATACAGAAGAAGCGCGAGTCTGAAATTCCGTGCAGATGGAGTGCCTAAGTACCGAACTCCAGCCCGCCGTGAATGCAGGAAAGTCACCCAGCGTGTAATTTTTAACAAGCAGCTATACACAAGCATGATGCTGAAGGAAGTTGCAATTGCATTCGACGTACATTCGGGCATCTTCTGGTATAATAGCCTATGGAACTCAATTCGTAGTAAAACCATACGTTTCTGTGGATACGTCCGGCGTATAGTGATCTATGTCAAAACCGCATCAGGAACAAATTGGATCAGGAATGCAATCAAGGAGGGGAAAGCAGGTCGATGGTATCCTCCAAGCGGACCATCTTGGATTTAGGGACAATTACGCGATGCTCGTCTACCCAATCCAATATCTTCTCGAAGTTTCTGCATTGATGGGGAACATCGAAATTAGGAGAGGGAAGTTCGTCACCCTCAACCCAGTCATAAGTGACCATTGACACGTCACCACGACACATAATGTTCTGCCTGAGCATTTCGATGCAGTGGTCTGAGGAATAACATAAGGAGGACTTGCGATGGGAAGGAAGCCATATAACTACCGAGATGAGTACGCCATATCTCGGGGGAGCCGTTGAGGGCATAATCAGAGGATCTGTAATAGTCGCCGTAGCTCGCTCTGCGAAGTATGTTCTACATGGGAGTGAGCAAAGATTCAGCCCTCCCTGTATTACAACTGACTGTACAATGGAGCATGTGAATGGCTGAAATCGTCGCCATATAACCTCCGCCATATTCGTCTGGATATCTAGCCATGGAGGGAGAAGGTTTCTCCCCTGATCTGAGCAGTTCATCAGGCATCAAACGAACTGAGCGCGCTGGATAATATTGCCTATTAATAATTGCATATGTAATAAGCGAAGCATGACACAACCATCGTCAGATATAGCATCCCAAGCGGCATCGAGTTCTGGGTTCGGGGTGCCACGATATATGGAAGTAGCATCAAAACTTCCGTTGAGTCTGATGATGCCGATAGATTCGATAGCCTCATTTGCTGGAGCTGTGACGAGAAAGTGAGTTCCAGGACGTCGACAATATCTGTCCTCCTACAGTATAGTACTACGTCATCGATCGAAGGCGCCTGCACCCATAGCATGAAGAACAGCATCGTTATGGACATCAGCACACTATGACTTAGCCATGGCCATAGGTGAAGGAAGCGGGATGTTGGTGGAAGTCTGGTTTCTGTACTATCAAGGAGTTTTGCACCGTCATCGTCATCGTTTGCTCCTTCGACAGGAGAATAGCGAGAGTAAGATTCCTTGTCCATAGTTCCGGCAGAAAATTTGGATCTGAAGTTCGTGTGGGTCGAATGTGAACCAGACAGTCAGGATGTAGCACTTGCAAAAAATAGTACTGAGATTGGGCAAGCTGGAGTTGGCACGGGAGGACCCAGAAGCAGCTTGTCTGATTGTGACAGCAAGAGAGGAACGTTCCTACCACTTCTAAGGAATCTCCACGTTCCACAAGGATAAGGATGTGAATATGTCGGCGGAACCAACTTAGATTGTAGATTTTCAGGCGATGGCTAGCGTCCACAAGTGGCTCATTTTGTATGTTTATTTTTGAGCAGCGTCAGATCTAATAGGATTTCATGTCCTTCATCAGGGAATTTGGATTAGGTGTGAGTCATCGAAGGTCATCAAATTGGAAACGCTTACAATTCAAGCTTCAAGACGTGGCATAACCTCAACAAGTGTTGCATATACTACTAGCAGCAGTTGCCTAGTCGTGTACCTGCGAGGGTCAGCATACGGGACATGTTAGTTTCCTGTAGGCGTTGATTCAAATTTCCCAATTTTGGGCTACGCGACCGTGATGCCAGTGGTTGAACGTTGACCGGATGGTGAAAGTGGGCATTACTTCTGGTGGGGGCAAGTCTGTCAGTCACAGACTCTGGAGAATTTCATTATACCAGATGAACCACTTGAATTAGACGTTCCCGCCCCACCCCACCCCACTATCCTTAACGCTCTCAGCTTCAGCCATCACATTCACGACCACGACCACAGAAGTACATCGAGATTGCAATATCCCCTCCGGAGTGCAGCGATGCGAACTGCGAAGCTTGACACCACGAAAATTAGGAGGGTGCGCTCACTTGTTGGCTATCGCGAAGGTGGCATGGTGTGACATGTGAAAGGTTCGAGCGAGGGCGAGGCTTGGATGTATGGTGCGCGTATGATTGCGTACCATCAGCAAACTGTTGATTTCGCGACAATTCTCACACTTTTGACAAATCCGCACAACTCCGCACAAGGCATGATGATGTCACAGATCTCACAGACATCACGGCCCCTCTCGTGCGACCTGACATGCGATGCATCGAAATTTGCACCAGTACGTGACATGGTGCCACAACTTGGAGCCTGCCCGGGTCTCCGAAATTCGTCGAGTAAGAATGTCTTCACGGCGTGGGACACTAGCTATCAATGCGTTCATGCCGCTTGGGACAGCGGATCATACAGAAGAAGCGCGAATCTGAAATTCCGTGTAGATGGAGTGCCTCAGTGCCGCACTCCAGCCCGCCGTGAATGCAGGAAAAGTCACCCAGCGTGTAATGTTTAACAAGCAGCCATACACAAGCATGATGCTGAAGGAAGTTGCAATTGCATTCGACTTACATTCGGGCATCTTCTGGTATAATAGTCTATGGAACTCAATTCGTAGTAAAACCATACGTTTCTGTGGATACGTCCGGCGTATTATGATCTATGTCAAAGCCGTCATCAGGAACAAATTGGATCAAGAATGCAATCAAGGAGGGGAAAGCAGGTCGATGGTATCCTCCGAGCGGACCATTTTGGATTGAGGGAGAATTACGCGATTCTCTTCTACCCAATCCAATATCTTCTCGAAGTTTCTGCATTGATGGGGAACGTCGAAATTAGGAGTGGGAAGTTCGTCATCCTCCACCCAGTCATAAGTGACCATTGACACGTCACCACGACACATAATGTTCTGCCTGAGCATTTCGATGCAGTGGTCTGAGGAATAACATGAGGACTTGCGATGGGAAGGAAGCCATATAACTACCAAGATTAGTACGCCATATCTCGGGGGAGCCGTGGAGGGAATAATCAGAGGATCTGTAATAGTCGCCCCGGCTCGCTCTGCGAAGTATGTTCTACATGGGAGTGAGCAAAGATTCAGCCCTCCTTGTATTATAACTGACTGTACAATGGAGCATGTGAATGGCTGTAATCGTCGCCATATAACCTCCGCCATATTCGTCTGGATATCTAACCATGGAGGGAGAAGGTTTTTCCCCTGATCTGAGCAGTTCATCAGGCATTATACGAACTGCCCCCGCTGGAAAATATCGTCAGTAATTGCCTATGATGGGAGCGAAGAACAGGATGCAACCATCGATAGATATCGCTTCCCAAGCGGCTTCGAGTTCTGGGTTCGGGGTGCCACGATATATGGAAGTAGCACCAAAACTTCCGTTGAGTCTGATGATGCCGATAGATTCGATAGCCTCATTTGCTGGAGCTGTGACGAGAAAGTGAGTTCCAGGACGTCGACAATATATGCCCTCCTACAATACGGTACTAAGTCATCGATCGACGGCGCCTGCACCCATAGCATGAAGAACAGCATCGTTGTGGACATCAGCACACTATAACTTAGCCATGGCCATAGGTGAAGGAAGCGGGATGTTGATGGAAGTCTGGTTTCTGTACTATCAAGGAGTTTTGCACCGTCATCGTCGTCGTTTGCTCCATCGACAGGAGAATAGCGAGAGTAATATTCCTTGTCCATAGTTCCGGCAGAAAATTTGGATCTGAAGTTCGTGTGGGTCGAATGTGAACCAGACAGTCAGAATATAGCACTTCGCAAAAAATAGTACTGAAATTGGGCAGGCTTGGGTTGGCACGGGAGAACCTAGAAGCAGCTTGTCTGATTGTGACAGCAAGAGAGAAACGTTCCCATCACTTATAACGAATCACCACGTTTCACAAGGACAAGGATGTGAATATGCCGGCGGAACCAACTTAGATAGTAGATCTTTGGGTGCTGGCTAACGTCCACAAGTAGCTCATTCTTCATTTTCATTTTTGAGCAGTGTGAGATCTAATGGGATTTCATGTCCTTCGTGAGGGTTCGTGAGGGAATTTGGATTAGGTGGAGTGATCAAATGTCATCAAATTGGTAGCACTTACAATTCAAGACGTGGCAGAGCCTCAACAAGTGTTGCATATACTACAACAGTTGCCTAGTCGTGTAGCTGCGAGGGTCAGTATACGGGACATTTTAGTTTCCTGTAGGCGTTGATTCCAATTTCTCAACTTTGGGCTACGCGTCCGTGATGCCAGTGGTTGAACGTTGACCGGGATGGTGAAAGTGGGTAGAGTACTTCTGGGGGCAAGTCTGTCAGTCACAGACTCTGGGGAAATTGGCCCAATTTTGTCGGAGTTTCAATACCAGATGAATTCAACCTACCACTTGAATTGAACGTTCATGCCATCCCGCCCCACCCGTATCAGTACTAGTGCCTATCCTTAACGCTCTCAGCTTCAGCTATCACGACCACGACCACAAAAGTACATCGAGATTGCAATATCCCCTCCCATAGTATGTACGATCCATCATACTCTCTAGAGCTCTGCTCCCACCTGTACAGTGATGCATTCTCTCCTTCTGGTCATGGATCCAGATTCTTTTATGCGCCCTACACTCGCCGTGATGCATCAGGGCCTTCGCCTGCCTCTTTCGTGCTCTCGCACCCGTCGTCACTGATTACTGATACATCAGTACCTTTGCTGCTGTGATGCACACTCCAGAATCAATAACTGCTGTCCCATCGCCATTGTTCCCGCCCTACCCTCCATAATGTTACTACCCAGTTTCATTGTAATATACTCCAATACATTCAATGAAATCAACATAGTCCATCTCATCCGAGCCGCATCCACTCTCTGACGCTACGCAGACCTAACGAATTTCTCACCGAATAGCCGATCGGCTGACACGAAACCAGACTGGGACCCAGACATGTCCTGACCAGGGTCTGTGACGAACTTGCCCCCAGAATGTCCATTTCTCCTCCAACGTTGAATAGTACTTGTATGCAAAACCTCCGCCAGTTGCGGTGTACCATGTGGCCCATTGTCATCGAACACTATTACGTGGGTATGCTGCAGTACTGGCTATCCATTTTTGAATCAATGAACTCTAACCACTTCTAAAATTCTAGGACAGCGCTCGAGTAGTCACTCGTTTTCCTACTCGGCTAGGTATGGCCTTTGTAACTCCGCGGACCTTGATAGCGCCTGTCAAAGTTGGGGGATCAAGCACCTTAGAAAGGCTCGATAGTACTTCTAGAGCGTTTTTTCACCAACTTGACTTGGACTTGACTTTTTGGACTGGAGTTCGTGCCACGAGGTGTGAGGGCAGCCGCATGACTTCTCAATTGGTGGGTAGCGCCAGGCCTTTCAGATCGGAATAACTTGAACAGGGTTCAGCTAATCGTGATTACTCGGCACACCAGTACTGATACAGCGATATCCAGTTCTGTCATCAGGAGGTCCAGCGTCTTAAGAATCGCCATAATTCCGCATGAAGGGCTCCCACAGCGAAGTTGCAAGTGCTTGTGCTATTCCCGGACCCTCGCATTTAGTGGCAAACGGCGTTGCTTCCCCTAAGCACCATGCTCAAAGATTCCTCACAGTACTCTCTCGTTCACGATGCCTTTGACGACGACGACGACGGAAAACCATTTGGTGACCCAGAAGGGTTCGGTGCGTCTGCTGCAGAACCTCGTCCAAAGTCGTGCATCCTCCACCTGTGGCCTTGGTTGAGCGATGGCGTACTTATTTGCACATCGATGTTCTTTTTCATACTATGGATGCGCACGCCTTCGGCTCCCTTGCACGACGACATTCCTGTATACTGTGGGTGAACAGACCTCGTACGTTGAACGGTCAACAAATAGTCTAAATCATCCATCACAGCTCCAGCAAGTGGTGCTGTGGAGTCCATTCTTGTGAGGTTTAACGGCACCCTCAACTTTCCTTCCATCTATCGTGGCCCTCCTTCCCCAGAAATTGATGCCGCTTGGGCCAGAATAGCTCACAATGGTACGCTGTTTCGTTCCTCCTCCTCATACTACATACTTAGCACTAACTGCTGAAACCCCAGTGCTACCGACTCGAATGACGCTTGAGGAGATGACCAAAGCCGGTGAAGTCGACTTACTTTCCAAAGTCAAGTATCCGAAAAGCACTGGTGGAGGTTTCATGGTATCTATGGAATCCCCTCATCAACTACATTGTTTGGTAAGTTATATTACACCGACAGTCTGATCGTTCTAGGCTCAGACTTATGTAGAACTTGCTTCGCAAATCCTCTTGGTTGGAGTATTATGGGCCCACAGATCCTTCGTTCCAGGACGCCCCCGAAGTAGTCCGTATGCATCTTGGTAAATATTCTTTCCGACTTGAGGCATCTCGCGCTTATGAGATCCCGCTGTCACGCTCCAGACCACTGCATCGAAATGATCAGGCAGACTATCATGTGCAATGCCGACGTGACGATGATTACTTGGGACTGGGTCCAGGGACACAAGATCCCCTATCCTAACTTCAACACCCGTCACCAATGCAGGGACTATGAGAAAATCTTGGATTGGGCTAGCATGCATGCTGTTCATATCGATAAATCGGAGGTTGGTCGCTTCGAAGATACGGTCGATCTTCCGTATTACCCAATCATCTGATTCGGATGTGGAATATCGTATTGCGTGCTAAATAGACGCCCTTCCGCATATCTTGTGAGGATTGGGAGCTTTGCAGAATTATCGTATTGTTGTTGCATCAATCATATGGCGCTTAAAGTCAAAAATTGATGGCCCAAGGCAATGGGGTTTGTGTCAAGTCCTCTCAAACCACTCGTCCCTCAGTGATGTGCCTCAGAGGCCCTCGGGTCACGGTACACATCTGCCAGTAGCATGTAACCTTGGTCATCATGGTTCGTACCATCCACCGTAGGTTGATGTTTACGCAACTGAAATATGCACTTGATAGCTGCGAGCGGCCGCCATCATATCTATGAAAGCAACATAATCGCAGTGATGTGCTATTCCGGGGTCCATCGTCGTTGATACGCGCAGACAAATACATCCACTCTAAGCCGCGCACAAATGACGAGTGTTGCAAACGATTTGCAAACGCTGGTGATGTTTGAAATTATGTGGCAAAGCCATGATGAGTTGCGTAGCTGCCTACTAGATCATGGAATGCGCATGATGATCATCGTAGGTCCGTCTCGAAATAGCCGCCACGTCAGTAATTAAGTTATCTGAGAAGGTTGTAGGAACTCAAAGGTGGCAGTTTTCATTTCCGAATCGAAAGGACGATCTGGCAGCCAGCAGTGGCTGATCAAGTGACTCAGCTTGTTCATTCTTGAACTGAACTTCTGGACGTGTCAATGCTGCATTTAGTGACCTTGAATCTCATTCGCTGGCAGAACCAAATTCCGATGTACCGAATCCAAATGGTTGTGAAGCCGCGAGCACCACGGATATCCTACCAAGGCCTATGATTCATCTATATAACACACGCTACGTATATGATGCTCAATGTCAGCACTTTCCAGCTGGCACTCCACACAAAGGCTCTCACTACTTAGACTCGGACCCAGAGCAAGTACTACCTTCAAGTGCTTGTGTGTCCCCCCCAACTGCCCCTGCTTCCTCACATTCAGTGACAGATGGTGTTGTTTTACCCAAAGGTCATGATCAAAGAATTCTCACAGTACTCTCCCGTTGATGCTGTTGACGACGACTCGGAGACACTACTTGGCGATGCAGAAAGGTTAGATGTAGAACCTCGTGCTAAGTCGCGTATCCTCCACCTGTGGTTGGGCCATGGCGCACTAATTTGCGCATCAATGCTCTTTTTCACGCTATGGATGCGTACGCCTTCGACTCACCTGCGCGACGACATTCCTGTATACTGTGAGTGAATGGACAGCATCAAACGGTATAGTCATTGATTCAGCATAGCCCCGGCACATGATGCTGTCGAGTCCATGTTTGTAAGGTTTAACGGAACCCTCGACTTTCCTTCCATCTATCGTGGCCCCCCTTCCCCAGAACTCGATCTCGCTTGGAGTAAATTAACTCGTAGTAATGGTGCGTCGTTGATCTCGTTATATTAGTTTGTAATTGTTCACCTCCGCAAAATACAGAGGGACCAAACCGAATGACCCGTGAGGAGATGATCAAAGCAGGCGAAACCGATTTGCGTTCGAAAGTCGGGTTTCCGGACAAAATTGGTGGAGGTTACATGGCCACTTTGGAATACAGCCATCAATTGCATTGTGTGGCAAGCCATACTACACCGACAATCTGATCGTTCTTGACTCACACTTGGGTAGAACTTGCTTCGCAAAGCCTCTTGGGTGGAGTATTATGGGCCCATAGATATTTCATTCCAGAACAGCCCCAAAATGCTCCGTCTGCATCTTGGTGAATGTTATTTTTGGCTTGAGGCGCTATTGCTTATGTTATACCGTTACGCTCCAGATCACTGCCTCGAAATGATCAGGCAAAATATTATGTGCAATGCCGACGTAACGATGATCACATGGGACTGGGTGAAGGGACACAGCGTCCCCTACCCTAACTTCAACACCCGTCGTCAATGCAGGAACATCGAGAAAATCATGAATTGGAATATCGAGCACGCTATTCATATTAATGAATCGGAGGTCACTCGCTTTGAAGATACGGTTGACCTCCCAAAACACCCTCTCATGTTGACATGATCTATGATTTACAAGGAATCATACTACTTGCCTGCTTGCTCACTCCACTTGTTCAGGGACACCTTGGGGAGGAGAGTGGTCATTGGGGCCTTGAGAAGAATTATTGTATTAAAACAAACGTGATGTATATCGATGTGACCCAGAATGTCAGAAAGCCTTGCACATTTAGACCAGAAGAAAAGAATGCACTAATCAGTCATTATTGGGCGCTATCGACTGAAAGCGGGTACTTGGGAATTGCATTCGGTTGTGCGTTGCTTGCTGAATAAGTAAGTTCCGAGTCTACTATGTCAAACCCCCCCCCCCCGGTGTCCTCAAGTAATTCCGTTCCCGCTGATCTCATTTATATTTAGCCTCGTACCACACAGGCGAGTGAATCATTCTGCAGGTGGACTGAAGAACTCGCCTTTCAGATGCTCACTGAGATCACCGAAGACGAGGGATATCAAACAACTTGACAAGGCTTGTTTCCAGTTCCCAGTGGCTTGAATCCAAGAAATCAAGGTGTTCCGAGCCATGGCATAGTAGATAGTAGTTGGTACCATTTTTCATTTCATTGCATACTTATTTACACATTGATTGAGCGCGAGGAGCTTGGGTCGGCTATTGATTACGTCGACTAGGACAACACAGTAGTACTACATAATCCTGCAACATTGAGCTGAGTTAATCATATCATGACCTCAGCAGAGAATAAGACACAAGGGATAGACGGAGGCACGGTGTGGGATAGTTCGATCCAGGACCAAGATTCAACGGTTGCTCTCCTACAGCAGGAGTGATAGTACCCATGATAGTAAGGGTCAAGTTTCCGATATATTAACAGCTGACTATTATTCAAGGTGGGTGAAAATTTCGACACCACTAGGTTTCCGGCATTTTCACGGCTGGCGGATAGTTGATGGCGGAGAAGATGGCAGAACTTTTTGGACAACACGCAGTACTAGTACTTGGTAGTGTTGCGCCGTTACATATCATAGTCACCGTATAGTATGTACTAGTACTACTACTACAGTCAAAAATTCAACGACCTAGTATTCGGAGCCCTTAACATCGCAGACCTCTTGCCCGCGCCTTTGATTCGCTCGAAGACCTTACTCTATTTCTCTGCTCGTTCCTCGAAAGAATCCCAAGCGGTCCCCAAATCCTCCGCCCGTTCCTCGAAAGAATCCCAAGAGGTCCCTAATTCCTTTGCTGGTTCCTCGAAAGAATCCCAACCAGTCCCCAAATCCTCCGCTCGTTCCTCGAAAGAATCCCAACCAGTCCCCAAATCCTCCGCTCGTTCCTCGAAAGAATCCCAAGAGGTCCCTAATTCCTTTGTTGGTTCCTCGAAAGAATCCCAAGAGGTCCCCAATTCCTCGCGCACGCGGTACTCCAATAACTTGGTGTCAGATTCCTCTCGTTTAGCTGAGTGATCCATCAAGGCATCTGAGTAACTATGATAATGCTGATGATCATGAATGCTCACAGGAGAGTTCCTCAATCGAGATGGCTCTTGGCGTGGGTGACGCTGCAGCGAGAACGACAAAAGATATAAGCGCGGTAAAGAGCACAGAAAGCTGCATGTTTAAAGACAAGAGAAGAGAAGAGGTTACTTTGTTGATGTACTGGAAATTCGAGAGGACTCTTTATACATCCTGACGGGCCGGCTCGATGTTCACAAACGACATGATTACATACCTGTTCATATCGGAACCAGCGGACCCTCAGCAAGTTGTTGAGAGCTTCGAGGTGTCACACCGCCACGATACAGCAATATAGTATCACAGAACCAGGACCAATAGACGGGTTGGAGGAAAGAGGCGTGATAAATTGCGTGGCAGTTTCTCAGTCGCTGGTGCAGATCAGTTCGTTGGGGAAGCTTCATCGTCATGAAGCATTCATAGTTGACCAACGTTCAGCAGTATGCGAGGAGCTGCCACGTCACTTATGCACGAGCATCTGCAGCTTATCGTTTAGGTGATTTGAGTGCACATCTGGCGGGATAAAAAGATGATGCCATGCCACAGCATATCATCGTTAGAGTCATCAAATGACCCCGAACATGCGACTTTCTCTTCTCTTCAGCACACTCGCATCCATTGACATTATGTCTGTTGCGTTCTCCGCACCAGGAGCGATCACGAGACGATCTACGAGATACTCATTGCTCAATTAGAGCCTTTTTCATGCGTGCTTTGCTGGCAACGTTTAAGCACAGCGCCAAATTTCGGGGAACCTACAGCCTGAGGAGAGCTTCAGTTCGGGATACCGAGGCGAACTGACTTCGCGTCGATGACGAGACAAGGCAAGGCAATGGCGATATATGATGATAATTGTATAGGAAAGGATTTCATAACCGTGACAGTTCAAGTTCGAACTTCGAACCATTATGACCATGTAAGACCATGTAAAAGCACCGCAATCAGCATTATGTAATCGGCAGCAATATTCCACCGCCGGCGCAGTTGTATACGTGACATCTGACCCTCCACGCCCATGTTGATCGCAATTATCGGTTTTGCATCCCGCTGCAGGTTAGCCGTTGCAACGAAATCATGCAACACAAAGTTGTTCTGCATCGTGCCCACCTTTCCGACGATCTTGACAATATAATTGGGAGACTGCGACTTGTGCGGCAACATAAGCCTGTGACGGGATAGCACCCAGGGTGTCAGGGGCGCGCAGTAGGTCCACACGCAGCTTCATAGCATCAACACGCGCCGTTGAGGTCCGGCATGTGTCGCAAAGCAGGTATCACGTTGGGGTACATATCAGAACCAAGCCTGAGCGAGAGCGAGGAAGGATGTGAGTCACACCTTGTTCTCCAAATCATCCCACCAGTTCGGCCACGTCTTTTCGACGCAGCGCTTCTCCTCGATGATTGTGTCGGGTACAACAGTACCCAGGACGCTGAACGCCATCGCGACACGGTTGGTCGTCATAGCAGTGCACGCTCGCGCCACGGGCGAGGGTGTTGAATGGGCGACCGTACACCGCGAGTCCATCATCCAGTTGTTTGGTCTGCACGCCGAATTTGGCTGTGACGGTCAAGTCAGTTATACGAGAGTGAGCAGCAATTAGATGTAATCAAAACACACACCTAACTGATTAATCATTGCCTTGATACGATTACAACTCCTTCACTGTCTTGTTCGCAATCCCAACAATCCTTGTCGTATTCTCTTGCCCGCTCTGCGCATTGGTAGCAAGGGTGCACGGTGACAAAAACGCATCCGTCATCGGCTCCATATCCACCTCCCAATCGCCCTCAGCTCGCCCTTCTTCGAGTCCGTGAAGGTCGTTTCGTTTGTGGTCTAGACCACATCACATCCCATGCGTGCAAGCACGTCTACGGCGAACCGGGCATCACCCTGCAAACTTTCGCTTCCGATGTTCTCGAGCGTGCAAGTTGTCCCCGTGATCGCAGCGATCGAAAGCGGGTACGTCGCGCTATTCGCGTCACTTTCAATTGCGTAAGGATTGGGTAAGGCTTCTACAAGAGGGCCGATAGGCCACTGTTTCATGCGAGCATTGCCTATTATCTATTAAAATCACCTCATGGCCGATTTCCTGATGTTCCGCTCGGACTCTCTACTCGTTATCGTGCCTGCGCGTCGGCTCTCTGGGCGTTCCTCGGAGACGTCGGATTTCAACAGACTCGTCACTATTCAATGGGCAGTTGCAGTCACGTTCAACTTTTGCAAGACGCGTGTTTGCACCTTGTGGAACTCGGCCCATAGAAATCAATTGTGTAATGTTTCTGTGTCTACATCCACTGTCATAGGAAGATAATGCTTCATAAGGAGAGAGAATACAGTAAGAATGTGATTAAGGAGGAGAAGGCAAGTCAATGTTGCCGTCCAGGCGGACTATCTTGGATGTAGGGATAGAAACACGATGCTCATCAACCCAATCCAAGATCTTCTCGAAGTTTCTGCATTTGTGAGGAACGTTGAAATTAGCGAATGGACTATTGGATCCCTCCATCCAATCGTTGGTTATCATGGTCACATCACCGCGACACATAGTGATCTGTCTCAGCATTTCAATGCAGTGGTCTGAGGTGCAACATAAGCAAGACGTATGCAGAGCAAGGAACAATATACCTACCAAGATGCATGCGGAATTCCTCAGGGGATTCGTGCGTGTTCCCATGATGATAGTAATCGTCATCCCAGCTGCCTCTTCGAAGCATGTCCTACAGAGAATTGAGCAAAGGTCGACCAGCCTCCCTGTTTCATAACTGACCACGCAATGGAGCTGGTGGATGACTTCTACCGAAGCCATGTAGCCTCCGCCGTATTCATCCGGATACCTAACCATCGAAGGAGAAGGTTTCTCCCCTGTTCTGAGCAGTTGCTCAAGTGTCATACGAAGTGGGCGTGCTGGAAAATATCGTCAGTAATTGCCTATGATGGGAGCGAAGCACAGGATGCAACCATCGAGAGATATCTTATCCCAAGCGGCGTCGATTTCTGGGGACGGACTGCCACGATATATGGAAGTATCACCAAAAGTTCCATTGAATTTTATGATGCCGATGGATTCAATAGCCTCGTTTGCTGGAGCTGGGACGGGTAAGTAAGGTCATGTGCGTTGATTCTAGTTATCCACATACAGTACAGAACTACGTCGTCTATCGAAGGCGCCCGTGCCCATAGCGTGAAGAACACCAAAGTTATAGACATCAGCACACCATGAGATAGCCATAGCCATAGGTGAAGGAAGCGAGATTTTGGTAGACTGGTTGTTATACCACTATCAAGAAGCTTGGTATCGTCATCGTCGACCCCGTCGATAGGAGAATAATATTCCTTTGACATGAGTTGGGCAAGAAAATTTGAATCTGTAGTTGATGGGTCAAGTGTGAACCAAACAGGCCGGAGTATTGGAATACTTTCAAAGGTACCTTTATTCATCCCAGAAGCTGCGACAATGCCCATGAACTATGACAAGGCTTGAGTTGGCACCCGCCCGAGGACAGCCGAGGACCTGGTAAAACTTTTCTGAATCATTACCCACTTTCCTTTTTGAAAGGCGTTCCCAGCTGCTCCCATGGTTTTGCTGGCTTATCTACGCCATTTAAATCGTGTCTGCATTTGAGGTGCGGGAATTGAATGCTACAGATATTGATGGTCCTAGCATGAACCTGAGCTTCCCCAATGATCCGTACTTAAGTCAGATGCAATCAAGTGTTTGATGGATCGTGGAACACCAGCAAGTCCGATTTCCGACGGTTTCCGGGCTGGTATGCCGTTAGTCACCCAACATGTGCAATGGCAGAACGAATCCTTGGATGTGGAAAAGCCGTGAGATGAGCTACTTAGATCATGAAATGCGCATGATTCGTAGTTCCATCTCGAAACAGCCGCCACGTCAGTAGGTTATGCCAGGTGCCTGCTAGGAACTTCTTTCCGAATCAAAAGAACAATCTGGCAGCCAGCAGTCAGCTTGTTCATTCTTGAACTGAATGAACGTCTCAATGCTGCATTTGGTTACCAGTCTCATTCAGGACCAAAGGATCCAGGTTCGCGATATTCAACTTTCGACATTGGCCGCTTCATCTTCCACGTCGTTGGATTTGCTTGGCCCGGATCTGGAATGCACCGAATTCAAATGGCTGTGAAGCCGCAAGCGCCGAGGATATCCTACTCAGCCTAGGCTATGATTCATCCATATAACGCCCGCTACGTATCCGGTGATCAATGTCAGCACTTGAGACAAGTCCAGCTGGCGCATCCCACACAAACACCCTTAGACTCGGACCCAAAGCGAGAACTGTCAACAAGTGTTTGTATGTCCTTAACTGTTCCTGCTTCCTCACATTCAGTGACAAACAGAGTTGCTTTACCCAAAGGTCCGAATGGTCAAAGATTTTTCACAGTACTCTCCCGTTGATGCTGTCGACGACGACGAGACACTACTTGGTGATGCAGAAAGGTTCGATGCAGAACCTCGTGCTAAGTCGCTTATCCTCCGCCCCAGGCTGTGGTTGAGCCACGGCACACTTATTTTCACATCGATGCTCTTTTTTACGCTATGGATGCGTACGCCTTCGGCTCACCTGCGCGACGAAATTGCTGTATACTGTGAGTACATAGACAGCGTCAAACGGTATGGTCATTGATCCACCATAGCCCCGGCACATGTTGCTGTCGAGCCTACGATTACAAGGTTTAACGGAACCCTCGACTTTCCTTCTATATATCGTGGCCCCCCTTCCCCAGAACTCGATCTCAATTGGAATAGAATATCTCGCAATGGTGCGTTGTTGGTCTCGTTATACTAGTTTATAATTGTTCACCTACGTAAAACCCAGTGGGGCCAACCCGAATGACCCGTGAGGAGATGCTCAAAGCAGGCGAAACCGATTTGCGTTCGAAAGTCAGGTATCCGGACAGCATTGGTGGAGGCTACATGGTCTCTTTGGAAGTCGGCCATCAATTGCATTGTGTGGCAAGCCATACTACACCGACAGTATGATCGTTTTTGGCTCACACTTGTGTAGAACTTGCTTCGCAAAGCCTCTTGGGTGGATTATTATGGGCCCATAGATATTTCATTCCAGGACTCCCCCAAAATCCTCCGTCTGCATCTTGGTGAATATTATTTCTGGCTTGAGGCACTATTGCTTATGTTATACCGTTACGCTCCAGATCACTGCCTCGAAATGATCAGGCAGAATATTATGTGCAATGCCGACGTGACGATGATCACATGGGACTGGGTGCAGGGACACAAGATCCCCTACCCTAACTTCAACACCCGTCATCAATGCAGGAACTTCGAGAAAATCATGGATTGGCATGTCGAACACGCTATTCATATCGAGAAATCGGAGGTTACTCGCTTCGAAGACACGGTTGACATCCCCAAACTCAACCTCAATGACATCGATGTATGAATCAATGATTTACAAGGAATCATACTATACTTGCTCACTCCACTTGTTCACCTTGGAAGTTGGGGAGGAGAGTGGTCATTGGGGTCTTGGGAAGAACTGTATTAAAACAAATGTGATGTAGATCGATGTGACCCAGAATGTCAGTGTGCGCTGTTTACATTACCGTGTCCACCAAACCGCACGTGCTGACTAAGTAAGATTCATAATCAGGTAAGTTGACATTTACTGCCAGATGCATCTCGATTCTCGGATGCGTTCATCTATTCTCGTTTCATCATCCCAGGTAGTGACGCAGAGTCCATCCTTGACGATTTCTTTGCCATCCGAAGAACATTCAAGTTATATCAGTAGTTCACTCGACCCACTCGCTTGATACACCCCGTTCTGCTAGCTAGGTTATATGGGATCTAGGCGGCCTGTCGTTTCTCTTTTGAAGGACGTCGACAACTACGTGATCAACGTTAGCACGGTATAATCATATCGTAGGGTATGTTCACGGGTATCCCACTACTACTTGAATCACAAACCTAACAGCGCCACAGTGTTTCAGTCCTAACAGGCAGTTTGTTAGGAGTGTGATTCAAGCAGTCCCGAAGTTTCTGATATCTTCAAATGGGATGATACTATGTCAATCCCTTATCGAATAGATAACTATTCCAGATCAGCTTGGGCGCTACTATATCGAAGCTTCCGGGGCCCCATCGCTTCGAAAGCTTATCCGCTGAAACGAAGTGGTATTAAGCATGTCACTTGCTTGTTTACTTACGTGAATTAAGTTGGGATGTGGATGCAATGCGCATTCCATATAGGAATATCAATTTACTTCAGGTAAGTATACTTACTTAGATTTTGCTTTCGAGTGCCGAGCAAAACCCCGGATCGAACTAAGTCAACCCATTATCTTGTTAAGACAAGTCCACAAGAGTCGCTAAGTATCTGATATAGGTCTTCGGGTCATCACTCATGAAAGTGGAGGCGCTGTGGCCATACTTATTCAGCTTCAAAGGCATCGAAACGCTCAAGGTTTCCCACCCACTTACATAAGTAAGTATCAGTCCACTTAGGTCCTCGGTTCCAAGGCGGGATATCGATTCCAAATGGCCAGCCCAAAGTACCAAAGTACTTATCTTGTGCGTGTTCCAAACGTCCTCACTGAGATTTTGTTCACCCACACCCACTAACTTCAGGCCCATTTTTTTCGCAATTTATGCACAAGGAATGTACTACTCCGTATGCTCGTGTCGATAGAGTCGACGACCTTGACGATACGCACCTTCTTGATAGCAGTATAGAAAGAAGGCCTTCAAAATCACGTCTCCTTTGTTCGTTGCCGTGGCTAAGGCATGGTGTGCTGATGTCCATAATGATGCTGTTCTTCACGCTATGGGTGCGGGCGCCGTCGATTGATGACGTAGTACTGTACTGTAGGAGGACAAATATTGTCGACTTTCTGGAGCTTACTTTCTCGTCACAGCTCCAGCAAATGAGGCTATTCAATCCATCGGCATTATAAGATTCAATGGAAGTCTGGGCGCTCATTCCGTATTTCGTGGCAGTCCGTCCCCGGAAATCGACGCCGCTTGGGATAGGATATCTCTCGATGGTTGCGTCCTGTGCTTCGACCCCATCATAGGCAATTACTGACGATATTTTCCAGCACGCCCACTTCGTATGACACTTGAGCAACTGCTCAGAACAGGGGAGAAACCTTCTCCTTCGATGGTTAGGTATCCTGACGAATACGGCGGAGGTTACGTGGCAACGGTAGAAGTCATCCACCAGCTCCATTGCGTGGTCAGTTGCGAAACATGGAGGCTGGTCGATCTTTGCTCAATTCTCTGTAGGACATGCTTCGAAGAGTCAGCTGGCATGACGAATCTTATGGTCATGACTCGAACGCATCCCCCGAGGAATCCCGCATCCATCTCGGTGGGTATACTGTTACCCGCCTGGACCATGCCATGCTTATTATACCTTAGACCACTGCATCGAGATGCTCAGGCAGAACATTATGTGTCGTGGTGACGTGACAATGCTGACTTACGACTGGGTGAAGGGAGCCAAAGATCCTTTTCCTAACTTCAACATTCCTCACCAATGCAGAGACTTTGAGAAGGTATTGGATTGGGTTGATGAGCATCGTGTTTTCGTCCCTAAATCTAAGGTGGTCCGATTGGAGGATAACGTGAACCTGCCTTCCCCTCCTTGATTATTGCAGTTCGATGCATTCTTTCCGCTGGCAGTCCTCGCGTAGATCACGATATGACGAATGTAGTAAACACCTAAAGTCGTCAAGTGGAAACCCTCCTTCTGGATTGCTACGGTTTTTACAAAAAAAACTCGACAGCACACCTTGTTTGTGTCATATTTGAAGACACTAATCAAGACTCAATGTTCAATGTTCAACCACCTGACTCGGATGGGCCACTACACATAGCAAGTACCTCGTTAGCTCATTGTAACAGACAATCATGATTTATGAACGGGGAGATGTTGCAAGCGTATGGATAAATCAAATGAGCACAGACAACTGCGCCGGCGGTGGAGTATTGCTGCCGATTCCATAATGCTGATTGCGGTGCTTTTACATGGTCTTATATGGTCATAATGGTTCGAACTAAGCTTGCACTTCCATTAATGTCACGGTGATGAAATCCTTCCTATACAATTATCATCATATATCGCCACTTGCCTTGCCTTGTCTCGTCATCGATGCGAAGTCAGTTCGCCTCGGTAACCCGAACTGAAGCTCTCCTCACGCTGTAGGTTCCCCGAAATTTGGCGCTGTGCTTAAACGTTGCCAGCAAAGCACGCATGAAAAAAAACGCTCTAATTGAGCAGTGAGTATCTCGATCGTCTCATGATCGCTCCTGGCGCGTGGTACGCAACAGAAATAGTGTCAATGGATGCGAGCGTGCTGAAGAGAAGAGAAAGTCGCATGTTCGGGGTCATGAGCTGAGTGGCTACTTCGTCATGAAATTTTAGAGAAGACTTTTTGTTCCCCCTGCTCCTTGACCCATCTGGCCTTGCCGTAAAATGAGACGTTTATGCACATCCTGCTGCTCTCGAACACATGGCCGACGCGGTGCTTCGATGAATCTCAAATTCACTCGTGCCATCCCAAGTATTTTTCTCAGAGACCCGGGCCCGTGGCACATGCGTTATGTTCGACTCTAGCGCTTAAACAAGGTGTAGAGACTGAACGTTCAGCCATCACGATTCATCCTTCCATCTCAGGCTGACGGAGCTTTAACAAGATGCATTTGATGACCCTGACGATGATATGCTGTGGCATGGCATTATCTTTTTATCCCGCCAGGTGTGAACTCAAATCACCTAAATGATAAGCTGCAGATGCTCGTGCATACCTGACGTGGCAGCTCCTTGCATACTGCCGAACGTTGGTCAACTATGAATGCTTCATGACGATGAAACTTCCGCAACGGACTAATCTGCACCAGTGATTGAGCCACTCCCACGCAACTTATCACGGCGTTTCCTTCAACCTGTTTATTAGTCCTAGTTCTGGGATCCTATATTGCTGTATCGTGGCGGTGTGACGCCTCGAAGATCTCGACAACTGGCTGATGATCCGCTGGTTCTGATATGAAAAGGTATGTAATTGTGCCGTTTGTGAACATCGAGCCGGCCTGTCAGGATGTATAAAGAGTCCTCTTGAATTTTCAGTACATTGACAAAGTAGCCTCTTCTCTACTCTTCTCTTTAAACATGCAGCTTTCTGTGCTCTTTACCGCGCTTATATCTTTTGTCGTTCTCGCTACAGCGTCACCCACGCCAAGAGCTATCTCGACCGAGGAACTCTCCTGTGAGCATTCATGATCATCAGCATTATTATAGTTACTCAGATGCCTCAATGTATCACTCAGCTAAACGAGAGGGACTTGACTCCAAGTTCGCCAAGCGTTGTTTGGAGGAAGGAGCGGATGAATTAGACAATTGTTTCAACTTCTACCAGGAGCGCGAGGAACTTGACTCCAAGTTCGTGGACCACCCGACGGAGCGCGAACTTGATAACGTAGTCTCGAACGACAAGCGTTGTTTGGAGGAAGGAGCGGATGAATTAGACAATTGTTTCAACTTCTACCAGGAGCGCGAGGAACTTGACTCCAAGTTCGTGGACCACCCGACGGAGCGCGAACTTGATAACGTAGTCTCGAACGACAAGCGTTGTTTGGAGGAAGGAGCGGATGAATTAGATAATTGTTTCAACTTCTACCAGGAGCGCGAACTTGATGACGTAGTCTCTTTCCACGTCTACGAGAAGCGCGAAGTTGATAACGTAGTCTCGAACGACAAGCGTTGTCTCGAGGAAGGAGCGGAGGAATTGGATAATTGTTTCAACTTCTACCAGGAGCGCGAGGAACGGGCGGAGGATTTGGGGACCGGTTGGGATGCTTTCGAGGAACTAGCGGAGAAATAGAGTAAGGTCTTCGAGCGAATCAGAGGCGCGGGCAAAAAGTCTGCGATGTTAAGGGCTCCGAATACTAGATCGTTGGATTTTTGACTTTAGTAGTAGTACTAGTACTGCGTGTTGTCCAAAAAGTTCTGCCATCTTCTCCGCCATCAGGCTATAATGTCATTTTAATGCACAAAAACAGGCCAAGTAGCAGAGACTTCTAATGCAACAACACTGCTAGTGGTTGATGCATCGATGCATCAGCGCTCAGCGCTCAGCCTTCGCTCCATTTGAGAATGTGATGCATACCTTAGCACAGCCACTCACAGGGTCACATGTTCGCATTTTCAGGTACCTACTGTGGGAACTTCTCCGCAACACCCAAAACATAGCCCATTTTAGGTATTCTCCCAAATATCAACCTTTCCCACACCCTCCCCATCAATCCCTGGCTCCCCACCACACCACAATTAGATACAGCTTCTAGTTAAGTAGTATAGGTTATATACATAACATAGAACATAATAAACCGCTTTTTCTCTTTATTTTTGTACCAATACCTGCTACAGAGCCTCTGTGAGTGTGACCTAATAGAAAACATATCAAAAACTGTTTCGCATTTTTGCCCCTCTGGTACTGGGTTACTTTACATAAAGTGTTTATAATATGTTTCTAAATATATATGTACCTATCCCATTTCTCGTCTGAGTCTCCCGCCCACCACCCCTGCAATTTTCGATCGCCGGGATTTCGCCCGATGGGGAAGCGCGATCGAGATCACGTGACTTCTCGCAGAGGCGAGGCGTAAATTTCTCGACATAAGTCAGCGGCACGAACGCCGTTTGCGCACCCCCACATATTACATCGTCGCGAAATTTTGAAGAGGGTTTTTGTACCTTTTGCCCCTGCTCCTCAGTCCGCCTTAGGGCTCCGTGAAAAACTCCCCACGGAGTTATCGACGAGTTTTTAACCTACCCCCACCTTCGAGGGGTTTTTGACACGAGTTAAAAACTAGTTTTTGACCAGTTTTTGACACACTCAAAAAATGTGTTTTTCCAGGTCATTTTGACATTTTTTCGCTGCGGTAATGCAAACTCCCACTGTACGGGCCCTCCCAATGGCGCTGTAACTGTACCAGTGTCCTGTAGTTGAGGTATCGTGCTTGCTCCTTCCACCGGCTTCTCTGATAGTAAGTCTAACAATCGAGGGGCATCAAGATGAGCATCCTCGCTACCCACAAGCACTCTTGTATCACACGACCTGTACATTGGATCACACTCGATCTCTGGGTCCTCACCCTCCTCCAACCAACTGTCCTCTGAGTCCGAATTAGCGCCCTGCGGCGCCTCCAAGTTTTGCGAGTCGTTATTTTTCCTTTTTTGACCGTTCCTATCAAGATCGACGGGATAAAAACACGTTAAAAACCGGTCAAAAACTCCAACGTCAAAAACTCCGAAGTTTTTAACGGAGCCCTAGTCCGCCTGACCCATCTGACCTTGCCGTAAAACGAGACGCTTGTGCACATCCTACTGCTCTCAAACGCATGGCCGACGTAGTGCTCCGAGGAATCTCAAAATCACTCATGCCATCCCAAGTGTTTTTCTCAGAGACCGTGGGCCGTGGCACATGCGTTATGTTCGACTCTAGCGCTCCAGCAAAGCGGAGAGACTTAACCTTCAGCTGCCACGATTCATCCTTCCATCGTAGGTTGACGAAACTTGAAAAAAAATGCACTTCGTTACCGCAAGAGACCCAGGCTGACAATGATATGCTGTGACATGACAATTTCTTTGAATCAAGTGTCCTTCCGCCAGGTATGCACTCAAATCACCTAAACGATAAGCCGCCGTGCATAACTGACGTGGCAGCTCCTCACACACTGCCGAACGTTGGTCAACTATGAATGCATCATGACGATGAAGCTTCTGCAACGGACTGATCTGCGCCAGTCACTAGGCATCTGCCACGCAACTTATCACGGCTGTTTCCTCGAGCCTGTCTATTGGTCTCGGTCCTGGTCTCCCGTGTCAGACATTGCTGTATCGTGGCGGGGACACACCTTGAAGCTCTCGACAACTCCTGGCTGAGGTTTGCTGGCCCCGATCTGAACAGGTATGTAATTGTGTTGTTTGTGGAAGTCGAGCAGACCTATCAGAATGTATAAAGAGTCCTCTCTAATTTCCAGTGTAGTACATTGACGCACTAGTCACTTCTCTTTTCTTCTCTCTAAACATGCAACTTTCTGTGCTCTTTAGCGCGCTTGCATCTTTCGTCATTCTCGCCGCAGCGTCACCCACGCCAGTAGCCATTTCGGCTGAGAAACTTTCTGGTGAGCATTCATGATCATCAGCATTATCATAGTTACTCAGATGCCTCAATGTATCACTCAGCTAAACGACGCGAACTTGACTCCAAGTTCGTGGACTATAAGGAGCCGGAGATTGACTCCAAGTTCGTGGACTATAAGGAGCGGGAACTTGACTCCAAGTTCGTGGACTATAAGGAGCCGGAGATTGACTCCAAGTTCGTGGACTATCAGGAGCGGGAACTTGACTCCAAGTTCGTGGACTATCAGGAGCGGGAACTCTAAGTTTGTGGACTACCAGGAGCGCGAGGAGTACTAGAACAACACACTAGTACTACATAGCATAATCATGCAGCACTGACACGGCTACGGATTCGACATGACGCGGGGAAGTGAGACAACTGTTTACGAAACATTCAAATAGAGAATGAATGTGCTGAGTTAATTATATTATGACCTCAGCAGAGAATAAGAGACAACCAGGGATAAAGGGGAGGCACGGTGCGGGACAGCTCGATCCGGGACAAGATTCAACGGTTGGGTCTCCTAGTAGATAATTCGGAACGTTGAAGCAGACAGGCGGGAGAAAAGGAATACGCCGATAAATTACATCGATAGTAGATCCTACAACAAATATTGATATCAAGCTCATGTCAACGATTTTTAACATCCAAACAGACTTAGATCCACCTAGGCAGCTGCAAAATAATTCTCCAACACACTCTTCGACACGACATGCTTCGGGCATCTACGTCCCGTCCATGTTTCAAATTGCACATAGCCCTGCTCCAGGAGCACCTCAACCCCCATAACCCTCGCCCACTTGGGAGCTGCACTCTTCGCGAGTATTAGAAGAGGCGTCTCGGAAGGTTTGTATGCCATGTCTACAACTACGCCATTCGCTGTTGCATCAAACAGCGCCAACGGAAGAAGCACGCCACCCGGGCTAGTGCCGTCAGTGGTTGTCGCACTCGCTGGGACGGTGGATACAATGACAGTTGGTGCAGGCCCCTCAGCAGGCCAGGCGTCAAGCGTATGGATCAGTTTGACGGGGGCGTTGGGGAAAGCATCAACGAGCGCCTGCGCCTTGCTTGCAGTCCGGTTGAACAGGTAGATACGCTGAGCCCCCAGGGACTGAAGCGCAAAGATGGCGGCCCTGGCGGTCCCTCCTGCGCCGATAACGAGGGCAGCAGCAGGCGCACCAATGGATGGCGCACGAGAGAGGATGGATTCACGAATGCCGAGCCAGTCGGTGTTGTCTCCGCAGAGGATGCGGTTTCCTCCTTCGATGACCGGTATGATGGTATTGACAGCTCCGATAGCTTCAGCGGCTGGCGAAAGCTTGTCAAGCAGGGGTATGACATCGAGTTTGAAGGGAATGGTAACAGAGGCGCCTCCAAAGTCAGGAGCAGCCAAGGTAGCTTTAATTTGTTCACCGACATCAGCTGTCTCGAGAAGCCCATAAGTGTGAGGAAGCCCGAGGACCTCAAATCCAGTGTTGTGCAAAGTCGGGGACATGGAATGTGCAATGGGATTTCCAAACAAGAAGTAGCGTCTCGCAGGAAGCTGGCCCAGCAGGTTCAGCGCTTTCTGAATCTGGGCAAAGGAGAGCTGCCCAGGTGCTGCCTTTGAGGGGAGAAGTGGGTGCGTCACGGGGCTCAAAGTAGCATTCAGTATACGTGACATCTGACCCTCCACGCCCATGTTGATCGCAATGATCGGTTTTGCACCCCGCTGTAGGTTAGCCTTTGCAACGAAATCATGTAATGCAAAGTTGTCCTGCAACGTGTCCGCCTTTCCGACGATCTTGACGATATCCCCGAGTCGGCTCGCAAGCGCGTACTTGCTTCTCACTACGTCCTCATTCCACTTCATCTTGCCACTCCAGTCGTGCCACGATGCAATGATTTGGGAGAATCCCTTGCGAGCGGCGAGGTCTGTAATGAGCTTCTCAGATGCAGAGATCTCCACATCAATGTACTCCACTCCAAGTCGCAGCGCAAGCCTAAGAAGCTCAAACGCACCCCTCTCCGCGTTGTCCGGGAACGCACCGCCCTGGCCTATCGTGCGCACTGTGAATATAATTGGGAGAGTCGTCGCCCGGCGTAGCGCAGCGACTTGTGCAGCAACATAAGCCTGTGACGGGATAGCACCCAGGGTGTCAGGGGCGCGCAGTAGGTCCACACGCAGCTCCACAGCATCCACGCCCGTCGTAAGGTCTGACATATGTCGCAAAGCAGGCATCACGTCGGGGTATGTGAGTGCCACGAAGTAGCTACGCTTCCCAGCGGCTACATTCTCCGCGAGGTTCGGCTGCCCTGTAATGTGCTTGAAGAAGCGCGACGTCTCTGCATTAGTCGTTTCGCCGCCGTCAACGGTTATGCGATTGATGAAATCGTAATTGGCGCATTCAGCAAACCATGGTTCTCGTCGTTTGAATACCTCGGTAATCGACTCGCCGTACGCAGGACGTGCGGTCTCATGACCAAGGTAGATCACAATCTCCTCGATGTCCCTGAGGACATGCACAACCGGGCCCGTCTTTGCATAGTTCTTCAGCACATCCCTGGCCTGAGGCGTCTCCACAATCCCGCCACCCATACTGATCACGTGTCCCGTTCCAGCCTCTTGAATGATCTCCTTCAATATCTCCGTCTCTGCAACGCGGAATGCTGGCCACCCGTTGGCATATACGAACTCGCGTACGCCAATGTTGTGTTTGGTTTCGAAGTAAGTGTCTGCATCGATAAACCGGCGAGAGAGAGCAGCGCTCGCGAGTGTTCCGACATGCGTCTTGCCCGAGCCGCGCATGCCAATAAGGATCACAGATGCGGAGGTTGCAGGGGAAGGTGTTCCAGAAGGGGCAGTGGTAGAGCTCTCAGCACGCGGCAGCTCAATGCCCCCAACTTTAAGGCCTATCTGGGTATACATGTCAGAACCAAGCTTGAGTGAGAGCGAGGAAGGATGTGAGTCACACCTTGTTCTCCAAATCGTCCCACCAGTTCGGCCACGTCTTTTCGACGCAGCGCTTCTCCTCGATGATTGTGTCGGGTACAACAGTACCCAGGACACTGAACGCCATCGCAACACGGTGGTCGTCATAACAGTGCACGCTCGCGCCACGGGTGAGGGTGTTAAACGGGCGACCGTACACCTCGAGTCCGTCATCCAATTCTTTTGTCTGCACGCCGAATTTGGCTGTGATGGTCAAGTCAGTTATACGAGAGTGAGCAGCAATGAGATGTAATCAAAACACACACCTAACTGATCAATCATTGCCTTGATACGATTACACTCCTTCACTCTCTGGTTCGCAATCCCAACGATTCTTGTCGTGTTCCCTTCTCCGCCCTGCGCAACGGCAGCAAGGGCGCACGCTGTCAAAAACGCATCCGTCATCGGCTCCATATCCACCTCCCCAATCGCCTTCAGCTCGCCCTTCTTCGGACCCGTGACGGTCGTTTCGTTTGCGGTCTGAACCACCTCGCAACCCATGCGTGCAAGCACGTCTACGGCGAACCGGGCATCACCCTGCAAACTTTCGCTTCCGATGTTCTCGAGCGTGCAAGTTGTCCCCGTAATCGCAGCGATCGCAAGCGGGTAGGTCGCGCTACTCGCGTCACTTTCAATCGCGTATTGGGCGGGGTTCACGTATGTGCTCTGAGGAATTCGGTACACATCGGTCCCCGGGTCGCGTGTGACAATCACCCCGAATGTGCGCATCATGGCGATCGTCATGTCGATGTACGGCTGCGAGATCACAGCACCACCCACGAGTTCGAGAGTCACCGCCTCCTTCGCATATGGCGCGCAGAGAAGGATGCTGCTTACGTACTGGCTCGATACGCTCGCTGCGAGACGGATCACGCCGCCTTGCAGTCCCTTGGGCGCGATGCTTAGCGGCAGGCAGCCCTCAGATTCGTTGTAGGTGATTTCAGATCCGTTGGCGCGCAGGGCATCTACAAGAGGGCCAATAGGCCGCTGCTTCATGCGAGCATTGCCTGTGATGACAGTGGTGGTCCCAGCATCGACAGCGGCAGAGGGAGACACGAGCGAACAGACAGTGGTGAGGAAGCGCGCAGCGGTTCCTGCATTCCCAAGGTAGATTTCCTTTCCTGCTGTGGGGACTTGAAGAGCTCCTGCACCACCTGTGACTACCAATGTTTCACCCCCGTCTTCCCAAGCAAAAGAAGCGCCCTATACAAAGTGAGTTAGCAACATTAATGATGGATGGAGATGAAACAGCTGGACCTTGAGCTCTTGCAATGCCGCCATCATCACTTGGGTATCATCCGAATGCAATAAGTTCTTCAACTTACACGTGCCCTGCGCAAGCGCAGCCAGCACCAGGGCGCGATTGGAGATACTCTTGCTGCCCGGCGTCGCCATCTTCACATGTTGTGTTCCCGTCGAAGAAGCGCTGGGATCAACCTTGACTGTAACAGCCTCCGAAAGCGCCTTCGCGATAATCGCATCATCAACGGCTGTCGCTTTTTGCTCGTAGGTGGCTCCAATGCGGGAGAGGATGACCACCTTTTTCTGAGGGCCAGAGTTTTTCTTATCGACGCGCATGATATCCAGGAGCCTGTCGACGCTCAGGCCACGAGCACCAGGGCATCTGCTTACTCTCTGATCTGCCAAGCTTACAGGCAACCCATACCCTCTCAAACACCTCACGAGTCTTCCCACAGCCACCTGCTTCAATATGCCCATTCCCCGTGCGACTTCTGCTTCAAATATCATACCGATACTGACGCACTCTCCGTGTAGCATATGTGGCGTGAGGACGGCTTCGATAGCGTGGCCAATTGTGTGTCCGAAGTTGACAAGGTTGCGGAGTCCGGTCTCGCGTTCGTCGATGGTGACGATGTGGGATTTGACGTAGATACTGCCTCGGATAACGGAGAGGAGGAGAGATTGAGATGTAGAGCGCGTACTGATGTGACGACCTGCAGAGCCGGTGGAAGGCGTGCGGATAGCATTGTAGATCAATTGAGCGTTAGTTTCGAGAGAAGTAAATTCGTCTTCGTCCCATATCGCCGCGGTCTTTAGGGGCACGTCAGTATAAGGTGGGCTTGAGGGAAGAAGATAGGAACAAGCGCACCTTTACAACCTCAGCCATTCCATTACTGAACTCTCGCTCAGGAAGGCTCTCGAGGAATGCAGCGTCAATGAATATGTATTCAGGTTGCCAGAACGCGCCGATGAGGTTCTTGCCAGCGGGCGTGTCAATGGCGGTTTTTCCGCCTACGGAGGAATCCACCATTGCAAGGAGGGTGGTAGGAATCTGGACAAAGCGTACACCACGCATGCTATGAGAATGTTAGTAGTAGCCAAAGAAGAACCAATTACAAGAAGAATAAGAAAAATCGAGGATAGGATAATCGTACAGAATAACGGATAGTGATAAAATAGCTTGCAGGGAAGTCCATATGGTATACTCACAAGGTCGCAGCAACAAAACCAACAAGATCACCGATGACACCTCCACCAAGAGCGAGGATGACGGTGTCACGAGTACAGCGCTCGAGAAGGAGGAAGTCTTCGATATCAGCTTTTCCTTCACGGGACTTTGTCGTCTCTCCAGGCAAAATAATACGGGAGAGGAAACGCGGTTTCGCGGAAGAAAGCTGGAATGCGAGTCAGATGAGATGAACGAATGGACAGGACACGTACCTTACTGATCTCTGCACTGAAGGCCTTTTCGAATGCAGAGAGGTAGAACTGGGCTACATTTGTGTCTGTGACGAGGACATACGCAGATGCAGGAAGTGTGGTGAGCACTGTACGTGCGATATATGGGATCAAGTGGAAACCACAGTGGATGGACTCTCGTCCAAGGATGGACACTTTCAAGATGTCCGGGGCAATGTCCATAATGTGCACTTTTGTCTGCGATCAAGTCAAGGGAAGATGGAAAGAAAGACAAAGAGACAATCCGATTTGAAGGGAAGATATACTTAAGTATCGAAACGCGATCAATATGGTCTGATCACACTAGCATTCTCGTCGTGCCTAATCTGGAAATAAATCGGCTCAGATGCGAATTAGCAACCGGTTCATATCATTTCACGTTAGAGCGAACAAGAGGCAGTGACTATTAGCCTCAAGCTAATGGATGCAAGGCGGCATCGTTGTGGCGAATAGCGTGGGCAGTGTGTGCGTTGATATGATCATGGTGATAGTGTAGACTAAGACATTGACAGGACAGACTCCGTCGCTATCGCTTTGTTTACACGCCGAAAGCGCCGAGAATCCACCAACAAAGTGGCCACTACTAGTAGATCTCAGTGGACGAAATACGCCTTTCTCTGGATCACCCTCGAATACATAATCTATGGGTGATATCTATGATACACCCACAATGAACATGTGAGATTACGACCTGTCAGTACAGATAAATAGATAGTTGGCATGTCTATTTGTTGTTCCAAGAAAACTTACAGTGACCTGGGTAGTATCCGATCGCACAATTCGCTTTTCAGTTGGGTCGCTGGAAATTCTTGTCCGCTTTATGCACACTTCCATGCCAGATCTATGCTCCTCGGCCTCGATCTGACGACCACTGTGACAGCATTATTCAAGGGGTTGCGGTGTCATTAATGCGTCTTGGCGATAATTTACATCACCTCTGCGAGCGAGCACTGGGAAGCCTTGAACGAATTCGGCGGCCTGGTAGTTGAACAGCTGGTTATGCAGTGCTAATTTGAGAGAACTGTGGGTAAGAAAATTTCTTTGCACTCGTGTTCCGCGTCCTTCCACGCTCGGACACACCTTATCGTGTTTGAATGAATCATTTGTTGCAGAGCGCGCATTTCCAAGTTCAAGCAGGGTGTGACGCTGCCAGAGCCGCGTACGCATGCATCCGTGTTTCACCTGGGTAGAGGGAAAGTTTCGTCGTGTTTTGGCAGGGGCAAACCCGCAGCAAGGCCAGAGATGTTCGCGACCATGAATGGTTCACACGCCAGCTGAATGAGACTTCCCGGAGATGATCAGCAGTCTGGCAGATTGTTCGGAACACCAATAAGAAAACACGCATCAGATAGAATTCCTTTTGTGTACCTGATGGGTCCCCATGATCTACATTTTAGTGCAGATAAACCACGCACCTTGAGCTTTCATTCTAGTGAATCTCAACCGGCAATGCACCAGGTCGAGCCAAATCCGATAGATTACGCGTAAGACAAGAGGGGGCGATTGCAGGGTCAAAGACTAGTTTGCTTCTAGACTGTATGTATTCTTCTCCAACTGCAACAGCTTCTTGTCAGATGTGTTTCCAGATGCAATACAATTCATACCTCAGCTTCAAGCTCCCTCCTCACTCTGAATTCCTCATCTGCCTTGATAACCAGATGGTAATCATCTAGGTCCTCGATGACGAAAGGATCCTTCTCGTTCATTGTGAGCAGTATTTGCTTGACAGCTGAATCACTGCAAGCGCAAGTGCCAACGATCGGTCTACGATTCGTTCGAAAGACAAAAAATGACTGCAAACCAAGTTAAAAGCACTCCTGCGCATGGTGAATTACCTCAAAGAGGTTGAATGGTAGGGCCCACCTTTAATGGCCCTCATGTTTGAGCGACTGCACCCCTTCTGTGACACAAAAGCACACGGCTTTCCACACTCTTCTGCGATCCAGTCTAGTATGCGCGGGATATTTCCCAGAACAACGAAGTGTATGGAACACACAAACGGAAGTTAATGAGAAGAATGCAGAGTTGTTCTCAGCGTTGCCGTGAAATGCGAGCCTGAAAGTGGTTGTTGGCGATGAGCGCGTGAGTAATACAGATGTCCGGCCGAGAATATTTGACTAGTCGAGCACACGCATGTCCTTGCTATATCTAAGACTATGCAACCCTCATAAGTATCTATGCTTCCCCTCGCGCACTACATCATATCGAATATTCGTCTACCACCGTAACCTTCCATTCTCTTCAGTAAAAACGCACTTGACGTCCGCACAGACTCCGTAAGTGGTCCACTTTGCTGTGCTGGACCGTAGTCACGCTTCCGACTTCACGGAGACTTGGAGCCAAGACGGTCCTGAACGATTTGGGACTAGCTTGACGTTTCGCATTATCCTGCTTCACCGAACCGCTTCCCGGAACCGCCTCTTATCAATTGAAAACCAAGCTGACATACTTTGGTGTGTCCAGAATAACTCCCGTCCCGCGCCCCGTCACTATGCCGGCCAGCAGTGTGTATTTCGCTCGTAGAATATGACTAGAACGCTGACCAGCATGCAAGCCACCACCACGCTCAGTGCCATTGAGCAATCCAAGCGCTTGGCAGCGTACACTGCTGTGGACAAACACATTCTCCCAGAACATAAGGCGAGTCCCAGTTTCATTTTTATTTATCTTTTGGAACTCATCATTCTTTGCCGCAAGGTAATCGGAATAGGATCTGGTTTGCACGTATTACGGCTAGGATAAATCTCTTATTCACCACATTCCAGGATCTACTGTGCCCTATGTTGTGGAGCGAATCGTCGCACAAGGGCGCGAGCTCAACAAGGATCGCGTGTTCATTCCGACTGGATTCCAGTCGAAGGAACTCATCGTCATGTCGAATCTCAACCTGGGAGATGTTGATCAATTCCCTATCATTGATGTCACTATAGACGGTGCTGATGAGTAAGTTTCGTCTAATTCCTCAGAAAAGTCGATGATCCTGACCATCGTCAGAGTTGATCTTGACCTCAACTGTATCAAAGGTGGCGGAGCCTGCCACTTGCGGGAAAAGGTGCTCGCGGAGGCTGCGAACACGTGCGTCCATGATCTTTTTGGGATATCTCAGTTCCCTCATTACCGGACTGCAGATTTATTGTAGTAGCCGACTACCGCAAAAACGCGGAGTACCTTGGCACGAACGTGCGTACCTTTTGTTGCAAGTGAGAAATATCGTAATCTTCATTCGCAGTTCACCCCTGGTGTTCCAGTCGAAGTCGTGCCATTTGCATACGCCCAAGTTTTGCGTAAATTACACGATGTTCTGGGCTCCCCAAACGCTACCCTGCGCATGGCGAAGGCTAAAGCTGGTCCTGTGGTGACGGACAATAGCAATTTCGTCATCGATGCACCATTTCCCAGGGAGATGATGAAGGACCCCACAACTGTGCGAGAAATTCTGCCACTGCCTCAGGCTTATACTAAATCACGTTACTGCAGATTTTGGCAAAAATCAAAATGCTCACAGGTGTCGTGGAAGTCGGTCTGTTTTGCGATATGGCTCAGGCCGCATACTTTGGTAACGAGGTCAGTTGACACGAATCTTGCCTACTTATATTTCTGACGTCGAAAACTGGCAGGATGGCAGCGTGACCGTGAAGAGAAAGGTAGAGTCCAAGGTTGTCGAAGAATTAATCCTTCCTTCGTGACGACAGTTCACAATACACAATTTTTGATTGCGAAACAGAGAGATCGTGAATCTTGCACACAAGTGTTGTTTAGGAATGGATGTGTGGAGCGGGTTTAAAATATAGATGTATTTATCTTAACGAGTCTTAACCATGTTGCATGCTGCTCTCGGGCATCCACTAACACTGGCAACGTAAGCATACTGCAGATCGGACAGTACCTGAATTTCTAGGATATACGTGCTGTATATATTGTGTCCGTTGTATAGTATTTATTCATTGGTCCAGGCAATTGCGAGGGCATAAAGGCCAGCAGCTAATATATCACACATATAGACGCCTGGTTACAATGAGACTTCCCATGATCCTACAAAACATCTTTGTGCTCCCCCACTTCATCTCCCAACATAGACGCAGCTACGCCCCCACCCGCAGACCCTCCGCCATTATAGAGCGCAGTAGGTAGGATGGCAAGGAGGCTTCTGTCATGGCTGGAGCCACTTCCTGAACAATCACCAGTTTTTTCCGTACATCTGCTAATGCGAGCCACATAGTATTACCGGGCGCTTCATACCAGGTGAGATCACCTAGATTTGGAAACACTACGGCTAGCCAGAAAGGGACATATGCGTCTGCCGCCACCTTCGAGTGTCCGACATGCAGCTTTTGGAGCGCTGTTTGTGTGGGCCAAAACTCCGGTCTTCCATCCGCTGCATGAGGAAATGTCGGGAATGCTGTAGCATTGAACGTTAAATGCAGGATACGAAGTGATCTGCACCGCGAAGCCAATGAAAGAATTCCGGTTAACGTGACTCGGACTGTGGAAGTATCGGTTTGATTTGAGGCAAACCTTAGTTCACGAAGATCTGCCCACGCAGCTGCAGCATCTTCGATGAATGCATCATCAAGACGGTATCTTCCCACCTCGATGAAATTGACAATTGCCAGTTTTCTGAATTTTAGTAAAGGCCGGAAAATGTCAGAAGGGAGAGTGCTGCCGGGGTGAGGCTCCCAAGCCGAAAGCGAGCCAACAGAAATCTCTTCAAGGGATGCGAATGTTTGGCAATATGTTGGGAGAGACAGCACGAACTCCCTGACCTCCTCTTGTAAGGCATGTTTATGATACTTGATAGAAATGCTGGATAATTGTGGGGTGACGACGCGAAGAAGGAAATGTGTGCACCGTTGAATGCGATCGGCATAGAGCACGAAGCTTTTGAGGGTACTCAATTCCAGTGGCATATCACCCGAAGGTAATTTTTCCATGCCACCAGATCCTTCTTGTAAAGTAAGTACGAGGGAATGAAGGTGGCGCAGATGCTGGAGATTAGAAATGTTATGCATCATCGGACACGCATCGACCCCGTCCATGGACAGTACATTTAACTTTTGCATGTTCTGGAGAGGCAGTGTCAAATGAGAACCATGCGGACTCGGATCCACCGAAATTGACAGTTGCCGCAGGCCCGACGCTTCTGGAAGAGCAGCGACCAATCGGTCTAGCTCGTCCGCTAGAACACCTGACGGTACGTCAAAGGAGAGCAATTCTAATGCGGGCGAAAGGAACTGGCGAAGTAGCGAGAGGTCTGAACGACACTCCAGCAGATTAGACACTGCTTCGAAATGCAATGCGCACAGATTCGGGAAGATGGAAGTAGGCGGGAACGACGCGAAAAGTTGATGTAGGACGCTAATATGCAGTTTGGGGTAAGAAGTGCGATTGGAGTTGGGAATAAGCCTGCGTATCCTGGACGCGTTCATTTTGATACGCTCCCATTCCATGGGGAGCGGCTCGTGACACAAGTACTGCAAATTGGAGCACATTGAGTAGTGTCCTGTCATATAGCGCACATAACTCACTATGTAATTGTCCTTTCCGACTTCCCAGGTGTCTCGAGGGAGACACCTGATGAGGGGCACCAGGCTTGACTGTTCAGACCAGAGTATATCGAGGGCAGGGTCAGAAACTGCCGAGCACGTTCGGGCAAAGTTGAAAATGTCCGTGGACGTGACATGTGTCAGAATTGCGTGAACGATATCGTCGACTAGAAGAGCGTGATGCATGATTAACTCGAAAGGTGCTCTACCATTGCAAAATACTTATCTATCCAATCTTACAAGAGTCCACAGACCCACAGGCCTTCTGGTGTTTTACTCTGGTAGGTGTCCGCTTTTGAAGGTCCGCGATCGGCTGCTCTGTTGTGGACTCATCAATAGACACAAGACATTGTTCCACTGGCACTGCAACTATTTTTACCAATGTACAGCGGGATCCTTTCGCTAGATTGTACGGCAGTCGCTGCAGTATCGCTGAAAGCAAGATAAGCGTACACAGTCATTCACGTCAAAAGGTGAAAACCTTACCGTTCATATCGAGCAACTTTGGGAGGAGAGCGCCGGCAGGCTCCACATGTCGGGAACTTGCTTGTCTCACTCATCACTCTTGTTGTCCTCAGAATAGCAGCCAAATTATGCCAACTGCCAGAGGTCCGAGCAGTGGTTCAACGTACTGACTCAGATGTTCGTCAGCGATTGACTGTCGATCCAAGCACTGGTAAGACCGCCGTAGGATAGTTGCTAAAGGATAGTTGCTGAAGAGATGCCGAACACAAATTATTCATCCGAGAAAATCTCCAGAATTATCCGGAAATCAGTCTATGATACATCTTGCTAACGCCACTTCGATTACAGTACTTCCAATCCACCTGTAAGCAACAATCAGCGCGAGAGTGTGACGACACATACTTGTACACCTCGATTAGCTAGCGCGTTGGCTATCAATGCAACGACGCTGGCCGGCTGAACTCTTGTAATGTTCCACGATTTTTCTGTCCAACTTCTCCCACTTCCCCAAACGATTCATGCTCTTAATATCCATGTCGATGATGGTGGCATCAAATGATCGTGCAGGACCAATCTGCGTCGTAGACAGAGGGTGTAGTCTGGGCCTGATAATAATGGAGCAATCTTTGAATGTTGCTGAAAGAAGGTATGCCATGAGGTAATGCCGGAGGTGTCCAGGACTTGGAGCTGTGTGATCCCACAAATGATAATCAGAATGATAGACTTTAACAAAGTCCTCCCATTCTTCCATGGAAGGATCAAGAACAGAGGACCCGAGGCCTTCACTTGGGAAATCTAGCGAGGTTTGTGTGTGCAACTTGGATAAACCCTCAATATCGAGGATGTCCAGTGTTCGTTGTAAGGTTGACAGGAGGGGAAGAATGGGACTGTCAACCAGTGCCTGTGCAAGAGCAGTTGTGAATGATTCTTGGAGGTTCTGGGCATCAGTCGATTCGTCCGCCGTGAAGAAGTGTGCCAACAATTTCATCGAGTGGTCCTGTCGAAATCTATGAGAAACCGTGTGGTCGTGATGTGCTGAAGACGTACATCGTCTGGTTTTGCCATTCTGCCCTCAACGAAGAACCGCAGGTTATTGAGAGACCCGCCGCTCTCGTACCACCCAGCCCATAAATCACCTAGGGCTTTTCTAACACGCATCTCATCGCGAGAGAAAAGGTCCAAGGGACAATATGTGGTATCGAAGTCCCCCTGTTTCACCATGAAACTCGTGTGCATACAAAATCTGCACGTTGCAGTCTTCAGAGCAACAGTCTCAGGCGAGAGATGACAATCTCTCGGTAAAAATCCCCATTTCGGCTGAGAAATAAGCAGTCAGACCCAGTTCTTCTCCCGATAAACTGGAGATCACCTTGATTTCTATCGCGATGGGCGTACCCCCAATGAGATCCGTGGCTAACACACCCTTTTTCCTGTGAACATCAATCTGATCCGTCTGCCTTCTCCCGGCTGGGCGGTCGGCATCGCGTAGGTCAATAAGCGACCTGAGCCACTCTTCATCGAGCACCACCACCACAAGGCTCGCTAGCAACTCAGAAGGGATGAGCTTTGAGATGATGTTATCTTGGAAGGCAATCATGGGGTCGTCTGGTTGTTCAGCGTTGGTATCGAGCAGTGTGTTGTCTAATGACCCACGAGCGACTTTGCGGAGGCGTAGAACGTGATCGGAAAATTGGACATTGCGAGGTCCTCGATACGAGAATACGATAGAGGCCCCTCCCTCAGAGATATATGTCCAATCCTCAGGTTTTGTTTCAGTGATCAATATCGGAGTCATTGCAGAGATGGGGCAAAGTCAGGTGTACTTGCCACTGATATGTAGACTCCGGGCCATGTGGCCGCAGCCAAGCTGTAGCGCAAAATACAACAACTACAAGCAACAAGCGCCAAACAAGCGCCCAGTGGGATAAACTCGGACTAAATACTCCGCACAGTGCTTTGGCCTTCTGCCACACCGTTTTTGTGGAACAATAGACGATGTGGTATCAACGCTGCCCTGACCACAATATTTATTGCCCTGCATGTCTGAAGTCTCTATTTTGCAACCTTCATTATTCCACACCAGTGCAACGTTGACTTCTCGTCGCTCGCAAGCTTCACGAAACATCTAACACCATCAGAATAAGAATGCGATACCCAACCCCCTCATCAACCAAGCCATCTGAAAGTTCACGGGCCACGAAACATCCTTCTCGGTCCCCGAAAGAAAATGCAGCGCCCTCCAAAGGTGTTCATGCACGCAAGCACGATCTCAAAGCTCTCAAGACTCGACGCGCTTCGCATTATGATCCTAAACCGGTCTGTGCTCCCTGGTGCCTTTCCGGTTCCTCCAAGCTCACTGACTGTCGTCTATAGCCACGTATCACAGTCCATGGGTTACCTGGTTATACTGGCGGCATCTTGCCACCCGATGCAGTAGACCCTCGCCCTCCCGCACTTCCCTTGGACGGTTTCGAATGTATTCGCACATTAGGTACACCATCACTATTTCAGCACAGAGAGTTAGATTGAGCTTATTCGATGTAGGCGACGGCGCTTATGGTCTCGTCCTACTCGTGCGAGCGTGCGATCGTCCAAACGTAACGAAACTGGAACGCCCAGGATCACTATTCGCCGTGAAAGTGCTCTCCAAAGAAAAGATGAAAATGATCGATCAAGCACGTACACCTCCACTACATCATCTGTCCGAACAATAACCCCCCATCCAGAAACACCCTGCGGATGCTAATGCCGAGAGGACGCACCTGTCTGAATTGCCCTGGAGTCCCTGGGTGAACGGTGTCGTAGGCGCCTTCAGAGACGAATTGAACCTTTACCTCATGCTGGAATTTATACCGAGCGGGTGTTTCTACGACGTGATCCAGACGCGTGGCCCTTTCGACGCTGCCACCGCCCGGTTCTACTTCGCCAACATCACAGCTGGGCTTTATTTCCTTCATGGAGAAGGAATTATTCATCGGGATCTCAAACCAGCAAACATCCTCGTTAGACCCGATGGGTATTTGACCATCGCAGATTTTGGATACGCCCGTTCAGCTGATGATGAAGGACAAATCACGGACTGGATGATGATCGGGACGCCACTTTACATGTCCCCTGAGGTCTTATGTTACCAACATATGACAGGACGAAGCGTCGACTGGTGGGCGGCAGGTGTCACGTTGTACGAAATGCTGACGAAGAGAACGGTCAGTACCATTGAATTCTAACCCATAACACGTTTCTCATATTTCCCTCGTTTCCTTCAGCCATTCTTCGGCACGAGCGAAAATAAAATATTCAAGAGGATCTCCTTGGGGAAGTACAAGTGGCCCAAGGGCCTCCGCGTGGGCGCATCTCTCAAGTCCATCGTCAAAGGACTCTTGAACACGACGGCCGAGCATCGTCTGGGTGTGATTGATTCCGTTCTCGAGCACCCATGGCTCAACAACATCGATTGGGATAAAATGGAGGCCGGGCGCTACATGGTATGTCCCCTTGTGTAACCAAACGAGATTGCTATGTCTGACAGATGGATGGTATAGGCCCCTTGGGTTCCTGAGGTGCCTGCACCTACTCAGACATGGTTAAATAAAGGCCTTCCGCCGCCGCATTACCTCCCTGGTCTCAAGGTTTGCGCACCGGCTGTGCACCGTGAGTGGGATGATCGTCAACCCAGGAAAAAATTGCCCATCTAGTTGACTCCAACTGCCATGACTTTTCTATTATTACTTATTGCACACCAATGACTCGCCTGTACCGCTTCCACTACTGTACTGATCCAGAAACTTCACAAATAAAACTTATTTTTCACTTCACATGTGCCGAACGTAGCCATCGAGTCATCTGGGTGTGGTCTGGGGGCAGCCAACCGGCACTTCAACGCAAGTGACCTCAAGGCTGTTTCAGATGCCAACGGAAGCATCAACCACGAAACGTGTATTATGACAATGATCTGAAAATATACCTCATTATACAGACTCGACATCCAAAATTGCAAGTCCCCGTGGATCAATCGTATCGTATGGAAGTAACGAAAGTGGTGGAAGAAACGTGGGGGTTCAGAGGAAGGGATACAATACGCTATAAGTCAAAATCCGACCTCTGGAGGTTATTGAACGTCTTTCGCAGGAACAGGAGCTGATGGGTCGCAGAATGAGCTGTTTTGCGTAGGTGCGTCGAGATATATCGTTCCATCGCTGCCAGCTTTCGTATCTCGGGCCGCTTCTGCCAGAGTAGAATCGCCCTCCGCGACAGCACCAGTCGTCTCATCCTCGCTCTTACCCCATGACAAGCTAGACATACTCAGCACCCCATAACTGCCTCCGCTCGCAGAAGCATCTGATCTCTCGCTCATCCTGCTAGGCACACGGCCTACGTCCTCTTTCCCACTCGGCACGCTCCCCATAGCACTCATGCGTCCGTCAGATCGAAGACTCCCTCGACTGGGCACACGCAAGCTTTCAGGGCGCTTTAAAATCGCATCGGCCAGTATACTATTTTGCCATGCGTCCTCTTGGTCTTCCTCTACTTCGCTGATGCTCATGTCTTCGCTATTATTCTCCTGAGCAGACGAAGACTCTGAACCACGGCGGCGTCGCCTTCCGCGCGATGGCGATGACCCCGCCGAGGAAGACGTATCAGGGGTATATTGGCCTTTTCCTCCGCCATTCCTCACACTGCTTCCCGGACTCATTGTCATTCTCAGACCAGTATAAAACAAGGGTGACACTCCTGCACCTCCGTAAGCAACCGGAAACCCGGGGTATGGGTGGTAGGATGATGCAAGGAGTGCCTGGACGTGTGCGGGAGGATTGTGAGAGAGATTTTGGGGAAGGCCGTTGTGAGAGAGATTGGGACTCTGAGGATGCAGGCGTGAGGATGGAGACGTGGGTGAGGAGAAGGATGATGAGGGAGATTGGGCTTGAGCCTGGGATTGCAAAGTCGCAAGGACAGAATATGCTGCCTGGAGCTGCTGCATGAGATGATGGGCTTGGGCTTGTAGCTGAGGGACATGGTCAGTGAAATTATAATAACGAAGACTACCATACGACAGAACGAACACTCACCTCGCCTTCTCTCCTCCTCCAAGCCATCGTATCCTCATTCCATCGCCACTTTAGCTCTTCATTTTCCTTCACCACGCGTTCAGCCTCTGCGCGAGCCTTCTCTTCTCGTAGTCTCGCAGCCTCAAGTGCACCACGCATGGACGCGAGCTGTGTTTGAGCACTCAAGGGGCCAGTAGGCGAGCATATATGTCCAGTATGAATAGTTACTCCTGGTGGGGGCGTTGAGCCCCGCGAAGCAGTTGGTATTGAGGGACCTGCGGCTTTCTTTCCATTCATGATGGGGCTTTCAATTGTGCTCGAGTGGGTATGTGTGTGATCATTAGGAGACGCTTGAAGTGGATTCAAAGTTGGGAATGTAATATGTGGAAGTGTTGGTGCAGGAGCAAGTTGTGGGGAGCCGGAGGGAGATGATGACGGTTCATTACTGGATCCCAGATTTATGTGTAACGGGGAACTGGATACGGATGCAGAGTTGGGTAACGTAATTCGGGCGGGAGGAACGCAGTGAGAGGCTGATGACGATGCCAAGGGGGTGTTGTGCGAGATAGAGGCTGAAATAGCGCAACTCCCATTGGACTTGTCAGTTCCACGTTGCTTGGCCATCAATCGTGGAGGCATGGTGTGAGCGCCTGTCCTGTATGCCTGTGATTGTCCATCCCAATCCAACGCGTGGGTAGATGTAGATACGTGGAGTGGCATGGACTGAGATTGAGGGCACGAAGTGAATGAAGATGAGTGTTCACGGCTATCATTGTCTTCTGTGGAGGTGGATGGGGAAGATGATCCTGGTATGGAGGGAGCGGGATCGTCGTGACAGGGGCTGCCAGCATGTTGTATGTTGTCAGCGGTGTCATGAGGATGCATGTGCTCAGAGCGTGAAGTACGCATGGTGGAGTTATGGGATGTGACGTGACGCGAAACCGATGCTGGCTCAGAACTGGATGCTGACATGCAAGTAGGTAGCAAATGGTCCTCGTGGGATTCAACCGCTGGCGGTGATTCTACGCCCAAATGGGATTCCAGATTCTCTTCAAGGTGATCTGGAGTTGGTGAAGGTAAACGAGAAGTGGATGGCGCGACTGGCGCGATATTATTGTTGTTTGTGGTCGACTTGGACTCTGTCTCGAACGCCGGAGAATCACTACCGCTGTTATCTTGGTGAGCGGATGTTCTGGGCTGGTTGGCCTTGGATGAGACCTTTGTCTTCTTCCCGCCCTTGAGAAGCTCCTTAAAAGGGACTTTTCCTCTCCTGCGTCGCTCCTTGGACCGAGAGGCTTTCTGGTCTGCGTCGGCCGATGTGGATGCTTCCGGGGTGCTCGGTTGTTCTGGTTCGGTCATATCGTACTCACCAGGAGTGTTACTGGCAATATGAAAGGTGGAGAGAGCGGCGGTGATTATGGATTGAGCAGAATGAGCTTGCTGTGGGTCGGGTCCGTGGTTGTTCACGGGAATCTCCACGTGCTTTGCCCGCCAGAGGAGGATGGAGGCAACAGCGAGGGCGAGAGAAGAGAAAGTGAGCAGAACGATGCGGGCGTTGTCCTCAGCTAGCAGCCAGGTCTGTGCGTGCTCTCGCTCACCATCGTCCATAACGACAACGAACGAACAGAACACAAAGTAATCGACCATAAACAATTTCACATTTTCAGTCTCCGATTACGGTATTCTATATATAAATACACCCCCTCTTTTTATTTATCTCACCTGGATACTTGCTCTGCCTGAGTGCAGCAGTGCCCAACAGTGCTTGCATACTTATCCATCGACATCCGCACTATCATCGCACACGGTAAGAAAGCAAGTCCGGAAATCGCACGGTGATTGTGCAGGAGATCTCTAAACTTCTTATGGAAACTATGCGGAACTCTAAAACTTAAAGCTTAACCACCTTCTTCAGGTCAGGTCAAAAGAGAAGCATGATAATGGCCCTGGAAGGGAAATACCGTCGAACAGCTGGTTGTTCATGTCCGATTGTTCATGCTTTACCTGGCATATCACATCGATACATCCAGCGGAAACGTCCAACGACCAAGCACATGCGGAGCGGAAACGACCCTGCACACGGCCCTGTTGCTTTCACCTCATGTCCAAGGTTGGCCGCATCAGCAATAAGAACCGATCTGATAACCTCTGTCGTCATGAAGCAATGCCCCCCTCATGTTTGTCTTGACTGTGAATCGCGATGCCGCTATCACCCCACCTTTTCAAGCATGAGGTTATCACGTGTTAAGAACGACCGGTTCCGGTGTTCTCTCTTGATATCGACCTCTCAAACTACCTCTCGTGAGTCGATTACTTTATCGGTTGTCTGCATCGTGCAGACGGGGATTACTGAACATGAACAACCCGAGGTTTGTAGGTGTGGTAGTTGAGCTATGATGACTTGATGATTGATGTAGAGCAATCTAAGACTGCGCGACTCACCGACTGAACCTAGTAGCCCAAGTTACTAAATCGTTTCGTGTCTTTAATGCGGACAGAGTCCCGCGGAACAGTTATAATTGCGACTTACATTGGTCGTGGTATCTCATGGCCACAAGCTATATTCCGTGATTTTTCGCGACCGGCCTCAGTAGGCGTTACGTACAGCGGCCATGAACATTCCCGCTAAGGTAGAACGCAACGCTAAAAGTTTCTCAGGTCGTGACGATCCTGAATGCGGGGCGACCACAACGTGCGTAATTTTTGAGGGTGGCATCGAGGAAAAACTCACTGAATGCCTCATTGGCAATATTGCATAAGTACCACATTGGCCGAGCATGGAGATCGCTTTGCAATGGAAGCTGAAATGGAAGTCCCATCGGGCGGGTCAGTTTACTCGCCGATGATAATGTTTGTTGCTGTTTGCAGGGATTTACAACCTCCTCACGCTGGCTAGCACCCTTTAGAACCCACTGTCTGGTTGGTTTAGGCGAGAGGATGTTGAACGTCTCACACAACCTTCGTGATACACTGCCTGCAGGATTTATGGATGGCATCTTGTTCCAAGTTCCTGCGGGTTAGTGTACGGGCGAGGCATCCAAATTTATTACTAACTGATTTTGACTAGATGCCTAGATCACAGCTGGTCTCATACAGGTAGGCGCCATTTCATCGTCGTCAACGTTCCCTTCGTTGAATATTACTTGTCTCTCTCACAGTAACTTGATTGCAAGCCGGCGTCGTTGGTGTACACGATGACTTGATGTATATTCACAGCTCGAGTCAGGCAAGTAGTGTGTCTGAGTTGAAAATTGGTGAATGGATGCCGAGAATTTGCTAGGGCGTGGTGGTGTGCGCTCATGCGCCGCTCGGCCGCTCATCTTACGCTAGGGGTAGCTTCAAGGGACACGTGGATATGGATGAACAGGCATCTTGTTGATCTTGCAGCAGGAGAATCGGATTGCAAATAATGACAGTCGACCTTTCAGGATGTGATCAATAAGACATGGGATGCATGAGCAAAAAAACAGTGACAATAAGTACAAAGCAAGGTTTGGTAACACTTATAATTCAAGCCAGGGCGTCTAAATCATTGCTGCGAGTTCATATTATTGCGATGGGATGTTTAGTGTGACGAAGAACCTGATGGCGCGTCTGTCTGTTCCTTCTGAGCTTGTTGCGCCAGTAATCGCCTGGGGATAAATGATTAATCAAAGGTATTGACTACAAAGATAAAGACGCACTGTCTGGCGGCCAAAATCATCTGTGCTTTCCTCTCCTGCAAACTGGCCTCGCGCTTCTCCGATGTGCTCTCCCAGTTGGCTTTGCCGAAGGCAAGATCATCTTCCGGTGAGAAGCTGGGAGATACCACTCTGTCTTGTAGCTTGTAACGAGATATGAGGTTCTCCTTCGGGGTTGGTGCTAAACCTGTCGTCTGCCCTTGGGGAGTAACTTGCCGAGCTTGTGGGGGAGCCTCTGTGCGAGGATAAATAGTGTAATATGCTGGAGGGGGCTATAAAAGAGAATGTGTTTGAATGCAAGGAATTGTCAACAGGTGAGATATTTACACACCGCATCAAGATATCCACGCTCCAATATTTTATTCGAGGTGATCTCGACACTCCCTGTCCTCAGCAAGTCATAACGGATATTATCTCTGTAACAATGATATTTGAAATCTGCGTTTCACAAGCACGAGCATGAACATACTGTGGTATAGTTGGAAACATGGCATATATCTGGTCGACCTGCGGGGAGGGATTCAGCATAATGACTCGGCATAAAAGGTTCCAGATCAACCATTTCCTGTGTCACATTCTTTGGCCTGAATCCAAGAGCTGAAGACGCCGACCTCCTACCGGAAGAGTCGCTGGCTGCCGTAGGAATTTGTTAGAAGTGTAAATATTAGTAGAATCGATGAAACTTACATGAAGTTGCCCATCGGAAGATGATGACAATGACTGCAAAAGCAACGATAGCGTTTACGACCTCGCCCATTGAGAAAAACCACGGATGATGCTGGCGAGAATATTTGAAACGGATTGAAGGCTTGCGCTGTCAGTGGCAGTGTTCGTTTTACCATCGGAATCCGGGTAGAACCCGGACCGAAAGAAGTGAAATTGACGCGGCACCGTGAGAAATTCTAGGTTTTCATGTCGCTCGAACTGAATTCAATTCCACACACTTTGAATATCCCAAACGGTTGGACGGTTAAATGCATCAGCACGGTTAAATGCATCAGCATGTGAGTGTCCGTCTGCGTACAGGCCCCTAGACCGCTTCTCACCATATTTACAGTGCTTGTGCTCTGTGTCCGCACTACTAGTATCACACGGTGCATCTTAGTACTTTCGTCCAGCATTGTTGTGTTGTTTCTAATTCATTGACCTAATGTTGGTTTTCAGACGCACTGTCAAGTGTTGTCTCGCTAAATGTCAAGCCTCGACCTGACATTGTCAAGTCCGATACAATCTCTATACTCATGTACTACCATGTGAAGCCCCAACCATGTCATCTCTAGCCCCATTCAGGCTGGGTCAAGCACCACTCATACCACGACAGGTTATCCCAAACATCTTCAAATGTCAACCTTCACACTTGCCTGTGCCGTGTTAATGCTGCATCACATGCGCGTCACGCCGCGTGAAACCCCAGCATGTTTGACAGCGCAGCCACTTATTCAGCGATAAATCTGATGCTACATCTCCAGAGTCTGCAGACGAGTTATCAGAAGTTGTAACTCCTTCTCTGCCGGCTGAAGAATGCGCACCCGTTAAGTGTCGGCGTGCTACACAGACTCGGAGGGTCCAGAAAAGAAAATAGTCATTGGCTGATGTAGCCAGTAGTACATGTACATGTCCCCATGGCGAATAAAATAACAATTGAGGAATGGTCATGAACTTGATGTGGGAGAACTTCCATGTAGGAACGACTGCATTGGCGCGTCAAGGCTCGTCAATGCTGCATCACGACCGCGGCAGGTTGCGGCAGGACCACGTCAAAATAGCAACGCCCGGACCGAATTAATGGTCGTACCTTTATGTGCGTGTTATCACAAGCATCAAATCAGGTCAAGTACTGTCAAGTACTTGGTACTTGGTACTTAAAGGCTGACTCAAGGTCAAGGTTAACTGCACATAGTCCGTCTCCTAATCTTTACGATGTCCGAGTCGAGAGCACACCGTCGTATCGCGCTCCTCTTATGCGACATACCCGCTGATCCGGTTCGGGAATTGCATGGGGACTACACAAGGATTTTCGGAACCTTGCTACAAGAATCACTTAAGCCCATCAACGAGACTCGTTCACCTGGTTCGTTGTACATTTATAAATGAATCCGCGGTGAGGCTCAATCTCACGTCACTGATCCAGGTTCACAAACAACATTCACACTTGAGCCTTTCGACGTACGAGCGCAGGTTTACCCTGAAGATGATGAATACGATGCAATGCTACTTACCGGTTCTGGTGCGTGGACACATTTACATGTGCATGCATGAGCATAATTTTTGTTCCCCACCATGCGCAGCATCTACCGCCCACGAATATGACCAACCAGGTAGAGAATGGATTAAAAGGTTGATTGAGTACGTGAGGGTTGTCGCGACAGAGAAACCGCGGATAAAGATTTTTGGTGTGTGAACACATTTTATAAAAGGTCTACAGGTACTAACAGTCGTCTAACAGGCATATGCTTCGGACATCAGATTATCGCGCTTGCTATGGGTGGGACGTGTGTTCGCAACACGCGTTTCGAAGTTTCTGCGACAAAGCTCCAATTGACTGAACTTGGAAAGAAAGTATACGGCGTCGAATCTGGCATTTTGGTTAGATTTCCCTACTTTTCATTGCTATCGTACTCATTCTTTCTTTCTAAATTCTCAAGAACATTTATGTAATGAATCGTGACCACGTTCCCAATGAGCCGCCATCATTCCATGTTCTTTCTTCATCTAATCTATCGCCAAATCATGGGATGGTCCTCTTTTCTCAATCAGAGTCCTCAGAGGATGTATCGCACTCGAATTTCCGGCTCACCGACATTCATATTCTCACCAGTCAAGGCCACCCCGAATTCACAGAGTCCATAATGCATCAACTTCTCGGGTGGCGGCGAGAGCTTCTTGGTCCCGAACTTTACAATGACGGCGAGAGTCGTGTAGGTAATCAGGTCGACGGGGTCGCAATCATTGGAAAGGCCATATGGGGTGTTATGGGGGTAGAATGACGCATTTCTATTGACGTTTATCTCCGGGCTATCAGGTGTAACATAATCCTCTCAAGAGAACTTATCTGTTCAGACAAGTTGTTATTCAGCGAGCTCGCGTATAGTCTTTGAGATGTCATACCTACTCGTCACACATACGGCGCACCAGCGGAGGCAATATGGCATGCTACTTGCTCAGACGCATGTGCTACTACTGCTTTGTTCTTTTCAGGTGAGTTGACGACCGACATCTATTTACCTCTATTGTCTCCGACTTTTTTTTGCACATCCTCGAAGAGATAATTCTACGGTCTTTTCTGATCTCTTGGATGTAACCCAACATTGTCTCAGAGGACCCGTCCGAGTGCCCACGGTTGTACTCATCGCGGCACTGTTCGCCGATCTATCCTCACAGTTGTGACGTTCTGCTCGGGAGCGAATTGAGAACCGACACCTATCAAGTATGTTACGGCTACCCGGCGCTTTCCGAAACAAATGTATAAAGTACTTTGCAGAGATCGGGGATAGAGGTGAGTATTTGTCTTCCCGCTTAAGTAGGAGTCGGTGATCTTATCGGCTAATAGCTGTCCCCCACGATGCGTGAGCTGAGGACACATTGTCGTATCGCACTTCTCGTATGCGATGTACCTGTGGATGCGATTCGGGAAAAACATGGAGACTATACAAGAATTTTCGGAACCTTGCTAGAAGAATCACTCCAGCCCATAAATCACACTCGTTCAGCTGGTTCGTTGTCCATTTCTCAAAGGACTCCGCAGGCTCATTTTCAGCTGACACAGACTCACAAGCGACCTTCACGCTTGAGCCTTTCGACGTGTACGCACAGATTTACCCTAGGGATGATGAATACGATGCAATGATAATTACTGAGGCTGGTGCGTTGACATCATTTTGATGTATATGTAGGTATTTTAATTTTGCCCCTCATGCGCAGCTGCCACCGCCTACGAATATGACCAGCCAGGTAAGGAGTGGATTAAAAAACTGATCGAGTACGTGAGATATGTCGCCACAGAGACATCACGGATAAAGATTTTCGGTCAGTGGATATATTTTATGATGTCTTCAAGCCTTGATTCCAGGTTCAACAGGTGTATGCTTCGGACATCAGGTCATCGCACTTGCCATGGGCGGGACATGTGTTCGTAACACGCGTGAAGTTTCCGCAACGAAGTTGCGACTAAATGAGCTCGGAAAGAGAGTGTACGGGGTCGAATCTGGCGTTTTGGTTGGATTTTTTCAGTTTCCATTGCTATCATGCTCATACTCTAATAAGAACCTTCATTTGATGAATCGGGACCACGTTCCCGCCGAACCACCATCATTTCATATCATTGTTTCGTCTGCACATTCACCAAATCATGGGATGGTCCGCTTTTCCCAGTCAGAATCCTCAGGGGATGCACCGCCCTTGAATTTCCGCCTGACTGATATTCATATTCTGACCAGCCAAGGTCACCCTGAATTTACGGAGTCCATTATGCGTATGCTCCTCAGCGCGCGGCGAGAACTCCTGGGCACTGAAGTTGTTGATGACGGTCTGAGTCGTGCCGGCGATCAGAACGATGGGGTTGCGGTGGTCGGAAAGGCAATATGGGGTATGTTGGGAGTAGAATGAGCAATGTATTTCGGAACCATATGTATCAAGAGAACTTAATTAACCAGTGTCGTAGGTCAGGATGCTTTGTAACTTAGGTATGGAAAGCCAGACAGCCGCGCTCCTGTAGTCAGCGTCACGTGTCCACAAGAGGTAACAGGACTTCGTACACCTTTGAGTCATCAAGTGAATCGGATTTCTGCTACCAAAACTTTGGATTTACGGTGTTCGTTATTCAAGAATCGAACGCGTGGGTCAAGCTAGGTAACTTAGTGCTCGTGTGGCGTGCATTTGTGGCCGTGGTCCGACCTGAAATCTTTCCATCATGACTTCCCACACATATGATATATCCGATAAGTCCAGACTACTTATCCATCTCATCTTCAATCAAGAGAGTCACGGTGGACCACGAAATGAAGCCCAATACAGTGTTCCTGTCTCTTGCTGAAGAACTCCAGGTTTTCATACTGAGCTTTCTTCCTTACCGAGATATCCTTCATTGCACATCTGTGAGTGGCGGTCTTTGACTCATGTTATTGTTGTCTTATACTGACGATTTTCTTGCAGATATGCAAGGCCCTTCGCCAGACATATGTGTCCTCCTCCGAGCTTCAGTACATAGTTGAACTCGGCGGCCAACATTTGCTCCCTGTACCCAACACGGACAACCACACACCTATTTCCCAGCGTCTACGACTCTTGAGGAATAAAGCTCACGCATGGTTCAAGGCTGACGTCGACTCTTTCGAACCATTCCCTATACCGTATAAACTGTACACTACGGGTATGATCATCGCTAGTGGGCATGTCTATTTCTGGGACAAAGACGACGATACTGCCAGGATCATTCCGCTTCTTCCGAAGCCCCCACAACAAACATTCCAGCGCTACTGGTCTCCAGGAACGTTGTGTTCAGTCCCCCACTCAACCAACATCGCTGTGTTCATGGACCCAGCACAAAATTTGATCGCCGTCGCGTATATTGTTGATCACAAGACAACTTTTATTGACCTTAAAGCATTGAGTGTCGATGGTGTTCACCCCCGCGCTGCTGGACAAACAATGTTTCTGTCTGGGCTGCCCGGACACGATGACTCGGAAATCCGCACGAAAACCGTCGAGCTCAAAGGGTTGGGGAGGCATATCGCTTTGGAGCGTTGTTTGTCCGTTGAACAAGGGACTTCGTCAAACGACATGTGGCAGTTACAGATTTGGGACTGGCAACATTCAACGACACCCAACGTGAGCTTTGATCAGACGGTTGAAGACTTGTCAGCTGATTTCCAAGTTAGAGCGTCCTTAGCGGCTTAACAGATCCCGAATACGGCACCACATTCGATTTTTGTTTCCTCGGAGATAATAGGTTGCTCGTTTTGACCAACGATTTGAAGATCTATTCCATCGAGGATATGTCCCAGACGCCACAATTGCTGGCGTGTTTCCTGTTACCCATCCCATTGGATGGCACACGGTTTTATCTTCCGCTTGATCAGATCCAAGCCCAACAATCTATGTACACTTCTGACCCTGCACATCGCATACTATGTATCGTCGCGGGCTATCCCACTTCTCATGTCTTCATCATTTCCACAAAGGTTTTCTTCGACCTTAACGGAATAGCAGCAACAACACCAATACCATGGGAGAATTGGGGCCCCTCAAATACTCGTGTTTTCAACCAATCAGAGTTCTGCGCCATTTGCGGCAATCGAGTTTTGCAGAGATTTTGTGTCCGCGAGGAGTACAAATTACATGTGATGGATTTCAGTCCGCTAGCTGTGACGAACAGGCGGGGTCTGGGACGAGTGGTGAAAGAGCCATCTACGATATACATCAGTGGCTACACTTACACGCCAGGGGACAGCTTGACAACATTCCTGCCTTATGTCGAGGTCGTATTGGACAGAACCTTCCAAGATGATGTGCCTGATATATGGATAGATGAAGATAGAATGTATTTATTCGATTCTGAAGAACAGACCATGGAAGGTACTAGCACGCTCAGGGTTGTCGCCGTCTAGAACTTAGGCTATCAGGTAGTTACTTATGAAGATATATCGAGGCTGGCTTACTGATCAATGTACTGGGTCTCGACTTTCGAGCATGTGTTCACCATAGTGTCTTCGAACGTTGCAACTCGAAGGAGTTCGTGGCCAAAAGCATGTAAAGTTTGAACCTGATTGATCTGATGATCACTGATCAGTACTATCAGTACTCGGTACTCTCGATGAGGACTTATCGATTATCGATTATCCATGATGACTTTTTGTGGTGTGATATGATACAGTGTGTGGGTAACGAAGACTCGACTGAAAACATGAGGAGATATAGGATGTTGTGTGTAGTCGCGCTACGGGTTATCATCCCTCCAAACGCATGCCCCTGCCCTTCTAACCAAGTGATACCCAATGGTCCTATATAAACTTCTCTAAGGTTGTTTCAGCATTCGGACGCCACATCAACGTTCAACACCCAGAGTTACAAGTGTTCCAACGTACGCCTTTGCTGAAACTTATGATACGCACACGTCTGAGCGAGTGGTACGAGAAAAACACAACAACACTAAGGTATCATTACTGCCAGTAGATGGAGAGTCCCTTCCAATAAGTCTTACCGTAGGGTGTGCACGATACATGAACATGGCTCTCATCAGGTCTTAAACACTACAATAAGGATCAGGAGTATTAGTATGAGAAGCGCAATCGTGACTGTAGAGCCTGAACCAAAGAAATGAGCAAATTGGACGTCCGGAGGTCATCAACGATGGGAGTTACCGTTTCGTTTCGCGCCTTGAGCGACACGTTCAAGTCTGCGCCTCGCATTCGACATGCGGGCACCGGTGCCATCGAGCTCGCTGTCCAGGGCATCAAGGAGCCCTGTATGTACCTCCAGTTCGTCGCCTATCTGGAGCGAAATGTGATGCTGTCGACCAATTGAAGAAGAAAGGTGGTCAAGGTGAGCATCTTGCGCTAGCGAATCGAACGTTAGAAATCACAAATGAGGGTTTGACTGTGCGCTTACCATCTATCATCTGTCTCTGTTGCAGCAAAATGCCATTTTCATCTGTGTCCGGTGAGGGATCGTCAGTGTATGGTTCGTATGCTGTCTCAGGACTGGGAACACGTTCAGCTACAGGTGGGGGTGACGGCGGCATCGGAGGGGGTATGCTGGCATGAGATTTGAGTACACATTTGCGGTCACAGAAGGCACAACATACGGATGCAGTCCAGCCTTCTCCGCCTCTTCTTCCCCAAACATACCGCGCAGCCGTTCGTAGTGTGCTCTAAGACTTTCTGCAGCTTCATCATCGGAAGCGGTGCGGAGGATTATGATACCATCCCTAATCTTATGTAAATTAGTCGATATTGGTTGCAGATGTAGAGTGGGATGGGAAGCCTGGAGGCGCTGTCGTTCGAGCAGGAGAGAAAGTGTTGAGGTAGCAAGAGATGTTAGCTTCGCAGCAGACATTGTTTGTGTACAGATGTGGGACTCCGAGGCCCCTCAAGCGGAGTGGATGAACGGGAGCTGAGAAGGAAGAAAAGCTTTGAAGGTGCTCTCTGAGAGTCTGAGAGCTGTCGACATTAAAGTTTCGCAGCCCTAAGGACAACTTGGGCTATAGCCCGCAGGCAGTCACATGTCCTATCACGTGAACAAAAACGCGACCTCACCTCGCTTCACGGAGTAAACAGATACGCAAGTGACATGAAAGCTGATGCATGATACCTTGATAAAGCCCCGATATTTGCAGGAAGCACAGGCATGAGAGTATGTAGCATTGTAGTAGTCGAATAGCATCTTATCTTATCTTATCTTATCTGATCAGCATCTACTGTAATAATCAGGTGACGCTAGGCATTTCAAGTTCCAACCTCTACTTACAACCCCCAGCACGAAAGAGAGCTTGACTCACAATCTTCATGTCGGATCAGTCTCTGCCTCCCGGTGCTCTGGAAGCATTACAACGCCCTTCGAATGCCGGAAACCGCTCCACAGTTCGCAAACTCTCTGATTTTGATCAAGGCGTACTGGCGGTTTCTGTATCACATCATAAGGATCTAGGAGAATTGACACACAAATTCGACCTTCTCTGTCCCCGTAGCGGGTGCGGTAGCGTAATATTGAAAGCGGGCATCGGCCGATGGGTGGAGAGTGAAAGTGTTGAGGTCTGACTCGTTTCTGATTAATCCATACCATCAACATAACTCAGCGATGTCGTTAGCTTGATATCACAGAGAAGTCTCTTCACCCAGACCTGCAAGCACTGCCAGCTCCACCTGCGACTACCCAGTGGTGGTTGGTGACTCCCAATGTCATGGATTTTGAAAACATTGGTTTTACGAGGCCTGTCCAGCAAGACGGTCAGTATAACACTGGTGTCTTATTCATCTTCCCTAATAACGGAACGCCGCAGTTGCAGCGAAAAAGCTCAAGTTTCTGATTTGCGCAGAGTGCGACCTTGGTCCATTGGGGTGGTGCGAAGAAGGGGGTAAAGAGTTTTGGCTAGCTTGTTCGCGGGTGGGATATCGCTGAGACATCTTCTGTCACGTTACCACCAAGTACAAGTCCAATTATTATCCCCGTCAGGCTAGGCGCTCGGCGACACTTTGTTCGCTTCATTGGAGCTGAGGTTGTAAGGCTCTCACTTCGCTTAATCAGCGACCGGCTGCACAGTATCAATAGTATTGGGTTTCAACTACCTTTTTGCAACTATCCTGCAGTGCATTCGGGAGGGTTTAAATAACGAATTAGCATACGGGAAGCATTAAGACATGGTGAGTGTGTATTGAGCATAGAAAGAAAAGTACAGGGCATTGCCTCCAGGAAATACCAGGACTTAAACGAATGTAGTGAGGCAGCCATTCAAGTGAGTTTGGTTCTGTAAATAGGAAGGTGGATGAAAATGAGAATGAGGTGATCCGAAAACAAGGTGACTTGTTGCAGGGATGACCAAGGACAAGAGCAAGCGACAACATAAATGACAATGGTATTTCCGAGGTTTGTGGAAGGAAACAGTGTGAATTTGGTAGATGAAACGACCGATCAAAAGGAAAGACAACAGGGAAAACGGAAGGGAAGACAGAAGGGAGAATGGCTGAAGCCCTGAATTTTCAGGACGTTGAATGGCTCACAAGCTGCATATGTCAAGGCATCTGCATTGAGATTGCAAATTGAGGTGTGAATGCCTCAGGAGATGCAATGCGTTGCCACAAACCCACAGCCTACATGGACATGGACATAAACAATCTTTCCTTCAAAGTCACGAGACGCCACTTTACCTTTGCTCGCCTAGTACCTGCAGTGCACGCAGACTCCCTTCCGTTCCACACCTTCAGTCGCTCGGGTCGATATTCTATCATTACACATCCACATATATCAGAATGGGTTCTCCGACGCCCTCAATCTCGGGAATGACGCATTTGAGATCAAATGCCTTTGCGAGCACAATTTTGAAGATCTTTTGTACGTTTATTGACGCAGATGTCGAGCAGAAAACCAAGGAAGCATGCATCGCGCGAGCAAATCGTTTTGCCTAATGAAATCTGTTACGGGATCACATCATCTAAATGATCTGAAGACGTACTTGCTTGGTAATCTCCTCCTGTTCGTCTCTTGGGAACGTCGCGAACGTATCAAATTTTGTGCCAATGAGAAATGGTATAGCAGTCTAGTACCAGAAATAAGCAATGTCGTCGAACAATATTCGATGAAATATGAACAAACTTTGTTAAATCCTCGAGCCTGGCGATACCACTCTTTCACCGAATTGAGCGTTGACTTTCGAGAAAGGTCGAACATGAATAGAATCGCCACTGCATCGTTACAGACAAGCGGCAGCATGTTGACAAACTCTCGCTGACCACCCAAATCCCATATTGAGAACGTGATGGTGGTGCGCCGAACAGAGATCGTTTTCTCCATGAAATTGACACCTGCGGCCCAACTCATCAGGATGGCAAAGCGCAATTGGAGAGATAACATGTCCTCACCTAGTGTCTGGATATAATCCTCATCAAAGCTGCCTTCTACATACTTGACCATGAGGCTGGTCTTGCCTATCTGTGAATCTCCAACCATCCCGACTTTGATGACTACGCTGTTCTTCTCTTCGTTGTTCTCCAGCATTGGATGCGGGTTCTGACCACTAGGGCCAGCGATTGAAGATGAAGATGCAGAACTTGTATGTGGGGACATCGTTGATCAATGTAGAGTGGTATCCAGCAAGAGGAAATAAATTTTGAAACTGCGGTGACAATGAAATCAATAGGTAACAGGGTATCGAGGTGGGAGACTGTAAGATGAATCAAAGGAATTTGAAGACTGATAGAAAAGAAAGACGTGTTCTGTCGTGCGTTGGTGAGATGTTCGATAAGTGCCTCCAGTGATAATTGCTAGCTCACGCTCAGTACTGTACACTGAGACGCGAGCGACTCGACTTGTTGCGTAGTCGCCCGTCAGCACCCAACGCAGAGAACAGAGAGAATGTGGAAAGTTGGAGGAAGGTAACGTGCAGTTGGGTTTGCTGGCGCTTGACCTCGTTTGACAGCCGCGGCTGTGTAGTCTGTTTTCAAACAATGATATCAACAAACAGCGGTTAGCACTCTGGTTGGTGTTTGGCGTTCCCTAGCCAGACCAATCGAAGGATATGGTATCAAGGTCGGCGCTCGACTTATAATGTCTCGCTGATCACAAGTTGGAGTCCAGTTGGAACGTCTTCGGAGTGGTACTACAACTTGGGTACAACAGTCCTGGCAGCACAGAAGTGCATATCATCATTATTTGTCCTACGATCAGCATTAATACTATAGCCTAGGGTTGGTTCAATTTTCTTGTTTCTGGTGCGGTCGTCAGATACTGATATGATTAAGATGCACTTCTCTGTTGAACAACTTTTCTAGCCAATTTCTACTGGCAGAGTACGTTCTCAGTCTTGACTTCCGCCACAAATATGCTCACCTGTTATCGACTGCTTTAATGTTCCAATCAGATGCAGCATCGTGGAGAGCTGCTGTCCCCGTCGCCTTATAACACTGCGCAAAGAGCGAGAATGTTTATTCAGGTCATTGTTTCTCCTTAATTTCAATCAAAGGACTGGGATGCGTTCCCCAATACCTTTGAACACGAAAGCTACTGAACTAATGCCACCACTGCATTTCGATTTCATTCCGCTGGCGAACATTGTCTCATCTCTCCGCAACGATATTTCATGCACAACCCCGGCTCTCAACGCAGCCACAGACGACTGCCCTATGCTGTCGAAGATGATGAGCGAATTCGCAACATTGATCAGTGGGCAGTTAATGAATATTATTTTACCTTATCTATCGCTTTCTGATAGATGTATATCCCCGCACCGTCCCAGCCGGCTCAGTGAACAGCGAGCTTGTTTTATCTACGCCATGGCTATGACAATGGCCACAAACTCGTCATCTGAGCGGCCGATCAGCTTGAAAAATCATCAACTGGGAGTGGTCAAACGTTGTAGGGATATAATTCGCATTCGCTGCGCCTGTGATGTTATTGTCACTCGCATCTGATCAAGGTGATAGCCAGCTATTGCAGGATGGAGAAATTATGGAAATATTCGAGCCGATTGGGTAGGCAGATATGGCCACGTTCCACCACCGAGTTTCATTCGTCCTTGGAATGGGTGACCGTCCTCTCACGGCGCGTGCAAGCCACGCATGAAAAGACTTTACCAGCTGCTAGAGAACGAAAGTTGAGAGTGGGAGACACGGCGTTTGGGGGTGTCTCAAATCGGTTCTTCAGGTGAAGTAGCTGAGATCTCCACCCCTAGATTGTATATCATACCTGCTGGTGACGGTGCTCAATTTTTGTTCAAGTGAAATCGTCATCTTGCTTCATGAATCGTGGCTCCGCGGCGAGACAAAGAAGACCGCATCGATGCTGCATGTCTCGCACAGATGCAAATAAAAAGGGGATGAGTTGGCATCACACGGGCCCGCGATCCATATCAGTACTTCTGATCGCAATAACGGACACTACCAATTGCAATTGGACTTCCGCCGTCGACGGAATGAAATATTCCGACCCATCTATAAATTTCAAGTCATGATCGCCGCGGGGTCCGCTTGGCATGCCAGGCGAACTTGCAAATCGTCTATTTTACGACCTCATGGACTTCAAAGTTTCACAATATTTAGAAACTGAGAGAATTCTGAAGAGCATGTAACCATTGGGGTGGAGATTGTGATTGGTCTCTCTATTTAAATGTACATACGTATATTAATACGATGTGCATGTGCATAACTAAGTATAAGTATATGTGCCCTCAACATATCACGTATGTAATTGCGTTGATCTGCTGAAACGATTGACACGATACTATGAAATGCGCGGGAGCTAATTCAGCATATTGATCACGGGTGAAAGTGAACTTCGGAAAATGCTCTACCAACTGCCGCAAGCACACAGTCGGCGCTTCCCAAGTTGCAGGGGGGCGTTGTTTTATGAGACTAGTTACTTCCCGCCGTAGTACCAACCCGAATGATACATGTTTGTCGCGTGAATGCAAGGCGTTTCACAGTCCATGCTACAGCGTCAGACAGCGATGATAGTAATAAAAAATACAGTCAGTGAGCTAAACATATCGTGAGCTGTCCATGGCCTTTGAGACGAGCACTATAGACAGCAAAGCCTGCATTACACAAAGGATGATTGATATACCGTTAACTCTCACTGATTTGAAAGAAAACGTAGGTGCGACAAATTTAGCAGACCAAACGAAGGCGAAAACGACAAGTGCATGCGAATGTATAAATACACAAAGCGGACTAAGACGAAAAAAAATCCGAAAATCTTTCAAGAGCACGCCAGCGTACGGCGAAAAATAAATAATCAGTGCGAGAGCTTAACCCATCACGTGTCCGTAGTTGACGCTCTCGCTGAGGTGCTCATTGGCGGGATTGTATGTGAATCCCTTAAACTGCTCTTGCACGGTAGACGAAAGAGCGGAGTCCTCAACAACGGAGTCTTGAGGATCCTCATTCGTGAAGTCGGGGTCGAAATTAGCCACGTCGAGTACGGATTCCTGGAAGAATATTTTGCATTGGTAAAACAAAGAGAAAATGACCGTGGTCACTCACAACGCTTGGCTTGAATGGTGGTTGAATTTTTTTGTGGAGGAGCCTAGCGCGATTCATGAGTGACGCACAGAGAGTCTAAGAGTATGATACGTGCCTGTTCCAGTCCACATATTTGGCAAAGAAAGGGTGACGCTTAATCTCCTCACCACCATTTGCTCCCAGACGTCGGGCAGGATCACGCTGAAGAAGCCCGATCATGACGCTCCTAGCCTCTGATGGCATATCCGAGGGGAATTGGAGTGGGTCACTGAGGATGCGTTGATACATCATATTTACATTCTCGTCATAGAAAGGGGGTAGTCCCGTCTGTGAGTTTGACTAAGTTATGGAGAGAAGCAATTATTTTGAAAGAACGCACCATCATTTCGTAGAGCAGGACACCGAGCGTCCACCAGTCAACTGTTTTCGTGTACCCCTGGCTCTCAAGTAGCTCTGGAGCAATGTACTCCGGTGTACCACAGAATGCTATAGCGACAGTTTACATCTTTTCATTAACATAAAAGTTATTCTCACTGTTTGTTTTCTCAGTCTCTGACATGTTGAGCTTACAAAGACCTGTCCGGATGTCAATCAACGCATCAGCCACCAGATTGTAATGCACCAACCAAAATCACAGAGAGCAATATGACCCGTGTAATCGAGCAGTATATTTTCAGGCTTCAGGTCGCTATGGGACCGTTAGCAAGAGGGCACAGGTATCCGCATTTAGAACGCACCGGTAAACTACATTAAATCCGTGCAAATGCTCGAGCGCACATAGAAGTTCTGCGGCGTAAAATCGGCTGCGATCCTGATCAAATTTGCCTTCCCTCTGCAGATGATAAAAGAGTTCGCCGCCATTTACTGCGCAGAAATGAGCTACTACCAACCTAGCAAAGGTAAAGTACTCACCGAATGACATTACGAGGTATAACTTGTCAGGATTTTGGAAAGAAAATTTGAGCGGAACGATAAATGGGTTGTTGACCAGTGCCAGGACCGTCCGCTCAGCCAATATGTGTGTAATTTCGCCGGGGCGTGATGCGATATGGGCTTTTCGAATAGTTTTGAGAGCATATATCCGCTGCGTATCCTTTTTGCGCACTTGCATCACTTTACCAAAGCTCCCTTTACCAATAACTTTCAACAAATCGAATGCATCGATAGTCAAAGACTCGTTCCTTATTGGCCTGTAGTCGATCTTGAGGTGAAACGAGCCAGTACCAGCGGTGGCAATGTACCATTGATCTGAAGCATGCTGAATGCAAAGTGTGGCAATCAGGGGAGAGTACGGGCTCAAGAAAGTGGACTTACATGACCATCAAGTGTAGGAGTAAGATCTACACGGGCCATGAGCAGGTCGTTACCCATATCTTCTTGACTGTGCACCGCAGCGGCTGTCCGAAGGTATGCTGAGACTGATATTGTCGATGTGCGAGACACATCACTACACAGACAATCAGAGATGCCCGAGGGATCACACATAGACCACGCACAAGTCTGCCCGGTACGACCACACAGGGTTGTCCAGATCTCCGCCCATGGCGTCTACCAGAACTTGATTGTTGTCGAACTCGAGGACGACATATGGAAGCCACCATAATCGCCTCCTCTGCATGCTTTCGCGGTTGCTGGTCGACCTTCGTGCGGGCGGATTGTCGAGCGCTTTTTGAATGACCTCTGGGACATGGACGCCAGGTGCTAAGGAGAGACCGCGTCCTATATATGACGTCAGAATAGTGCAGTTCCAAGGCTGGACAGTGAACTTACCGGAGAAGATACGAATCGTGAGCATACCAGATCGAAGATGAGCTTGCTGGTCGAGAGCACCAGGAGGCTTGGGAGTTGTGGGCCGCGACGGTATCGGCGTGACTGATCGTGAGACGACGCCATTTTCTTTGGTGTCCTTGGACTCTGTGTGGTCATCAGAACATGAGATCTCATGGAAAACATTGACCGGTGATGTGGATGGGAGAGATCAGTAAAGGGGTCCGGCGCGGATGGACTTACTTTTGGAAGTGCCTAGTTTCCAGGACATGTTGGATGTAAGTAAACAAGGTTGAATAAAGAGAGAGCTATTTGGCCTGTGAGAAGGGTGTAGTGTGGGCGGTGATGCCGGTCTGGCAGCAACTCGTAGCCTATGAGTACTTGTATGGTTAAAGATAAGATGTCATACATAAGCAGAACAGCCTTGCAATGTGCTAGGCCTGATCAATAATCAATGACTTTCTGCATCTCTACAACTTTGTTCGTTCTCTGTACGTATATATGGTCGCCGTTGGATATCTGCCGTCACAGCATTCACAATATTAATACTGTTTCTTCTCATGACCTCTGCTTAACACTGGTTTGGGCAGCCACTGCCCGACATCCACTATATTTTGATCATCATAACGATGCCCCACGCTGTTAAGATGGTTTTTAGAGGTATGATCATCAGATAACAAACATAAGTACTCTATAGTGTCTACACGCAACGAGTCTTCTGAAAGTAAGACGGCTTTAGCCCAAAGCCTTCTTCGTCGTCCCAAATTTGCTCGCTCTCATTTGCTGTATGAGACGACTCGAGGGTGTCTGATGATGAGATCCGTCCATCAACAGATGAGCCATGACGTTTCGAGTCCCTGCTGTATCGCCGGCCATCAAGCCGTCGTGAAACAAGGTTCTAATGATAAATAGCGTCAAGTTTCTGCAGATGTGCCACATTGAAGGTTCTGACCTCACTCAGCGGGGACTCTGCAGGAGTCCTGAATGGAGGGTCCTTTCGACTCTGCTGTAGCCTAGCCATCCGATGTCCACTGAGATCCTGCTTAAGCATGTCGAATCCATCAATGATATCCGCCATGTCGACGCCCCGCTCCAATAGCCCGACAGCACTCGTGCACTCAGCCTGAAACATGTGTAATGCTTGAGCGTTAATGTTCCTGGTGACGTTCTGAGAAGATACGGGTCAGACGGGAACAGTGATTCCTTTCCACACGTACATACTTTTGATCGAATGAATGGGTCTACGACAGAAATTGGATAACGTTCTAACATTGACATCGAATCCACATCGGGACCAAGAACCGCCGACCAACTATTGTGGAGTTCAGATCGAAGGCGTCGGGAGACGTGGTCAGATTGCGCAGCTCCTTCAAAATGCGGAATGCGGGGGAAAACGCCTCCACGCTTGATGTCAATTACATGACGCGAAAATTGAAAATGAGCCCAAAACCTGAGAAGTGATGAAGTCTCAGTCACAAGATAGAAGCCTTTCCAACTGTCCTTCACCTGAACCATTCCTCTACGAGGTTGTCCACTGCATCCATGCGTGGTGTTGCCCACGCTGTGGGCTTGCGATATCGTGTATCACAAGGTATCCGCTTGGATGAGTTTGTTGGCCGCATCCATAATAGATCCTCATTGGATCCCATTGGCTGAAAGCCAACTTGAAGTCTCGGAGCCAAGCCCCTGGTCTCTTAGACATTAAGGTTCCAATGATCCAGTCAAAGCAATACAGATCGTACCTGGAGCCATGCAATCGTCATAAGCACCAAGGCATAGGAATTGAAAGTTTGGAGTGCTCCAGAGGCAGAGGGTTGATTGAGGGCCCTTGGACGAGCCCATTTTTTAATGGCAGATACTAAATAACGAAGGCTGGGTACGACATCACAATATGTCTTGATAAGGTCAGTGTTCATCAACCCCAGCCTCTCGTTCACATTTATGTCGATGTGAAGCCCAGATGAAGGATCGGTGAATTTAACTAGAAATCGAGAGCGAGGGTGAGGAGCCCGAAACAACCCTCCCAAATTCGCGGTGACGAACCAATGGGAACCCGGGCCCAGGGAATTGCCTCAACGTCAGTGAAGCCTGCATATCGCATTGTCAAAGCAAGCTTTCTGCCGTTTGATCAGTTGTTGACGTTGGCTCATGACATGTAGCAATGTTACCTAGTATGGTAGATGACTTCTAAGTGTTAGGGTTATTGATACCTCAGTTATGCAAATGGAACATACGAGGTAGATGCTCCATGTCCATTTCCGGAGAAAAACCTTGTGGCCACTTGGAATCCTGCCAGCAATATTAATCAACAAGAACACGACAGTGTCTGTTGACTCACAAGCACAACAAGATCCAAGTCTCCATCTCCTGTTGTTGACAGATCTTGCATTGGCATATACACCGAACTTCCATAGGGCTGCACGTCATATCTTGTTCCATATTTGTATTGGATGATATTTCTAACATAGCGAATTAATCGGTGTCTCGTATTGATTCTCTCGCCATTCCGACTTGGACGAGTGTCGTAGTTAGTGTCAATCTGTGGGAACTCTAACGACAAAATAAATGGTAAAAAAAAACGGCGAGCTCGCTAGACATACCAATTTTAATATTGTCGGCATGACTGGCCTATCATGAATAGCAGGAAGTCAGCCGATGAAGATGCAGATTCGAAAGGAAGACAAATTACATTTTTGGGGTTGCAATTGACCGTCCTATCATTAGGCAGCGCATGTGCCGCACTTGTGTGCACACCACGTGAAAACTGGCCCGCACTGCATGGTCGACTGTGTGTCAAGGGCTTGAGACTAGTAAGGATGTCACTGGAGTGACCTGTTACTTGATCGCTCGTGTTCGATTTCGCCTGCATATTTTCGTTCTCCAATAACCGAAACTTCTCAGGCTCTATACGTGCACGTTCTGCAGCTTGCTTTTGAAGACATATAAGACCTGTCCAATGGCTTGAACACTCATCACCGAACTGAAACAGATGCGCTCTAGTGGCATCCGCAGCACCCGTTGCACTGTTGGCTGTCTCTATTGCATCAGATTCCTTTAGACTTTGGCGAGTGTTCCCGGTCTTGGTGTCTGCCGCGCTTCGAAGTTGCTGGAAAGCGCTTGAGACGGTAGACGGCGGTCCGAATGTGGCCCACAATGGATCCCTGCAGACGATCCACCCTCGCGCCATCTTTGCGCGCCGGGGAATCCAATGCAAAGCGACACCGGATGAAAATGCAGCATGATTCTGTGATCGTAGTAAGGGAGTGAACAACAGAGATGATCAGTAGGCTCACAAGCGATATCACCTCCAAGATTCGGGATGATGTTGGAGAACGCCCTGTAGAATCCACAATGCGCAGAGCCGTAGAACAAGCGACTGGCCAGCGAGTGCTAGCATTGAGCATGAATGGCGGATGGTGAGCAATTAAGTACTTAATGAAGTCACAAAAACGTTCATATAAGAAAAAAGTTGCGTCAGGACCAAAAGTAATGCATTAAGAGGGAATCGAACCCCCGGCGGGTCGATGGCAACGACCCAGGTTACCACTACCCCATTAATGCGATGAAGCGACTACAGACCTATGTCGTCATACGTAATATGCAATATCTCAATATATGAACATCAACATTGGTGAAATATTTTCCGAACTAGACTGCGACGCAGCGTACAGCGCATAGCTAGTACTGCCATCCACAATCCCTTACCTGCTTGCTGTTGTGCGGACAGACCAGTCGCTGCGGGCGGCATTTCTTTCCGATGTGAATTTCGCTGTGAGCAGGTCCTCCTGCATTGCCAACTCTGGCCTGCGACCATAGCTCCAGTCAGGGCTACTAATGGCGTACGGATTGTATGCGGATTGCACTTTTAGAGTGAGTAAGTCTGAGTCGCAAATTTGACCATGAAACAGGTACCTGGACCTCCGTGCCTTGGTGCGAGCGATCTACTCTGCCTGATGCGAGCGAGGCACATGGTATCTCGACATTTCTAGAGATCAAGAATATTAGCACCATTCTGGGCTATGGCCAATGTCTACACTAGACGTACCGGAGGCCATAATGATCGTGTGTGTAATTCTGTTGGAATCAATATCAACACTTGCTATACTGTTTACATCACCTTCAGATTGCTTGAGGAACCAGCCTGAATGTACTCTATGTAACTTTATCGATGTTGAGCAGCTTGGACTGATATATAGTCGGTCGGGCGCAATGTACCTCAAAGGTACGCTGAGTGGTCTTGTCTAGTGAGACTGTTAAAGGAGGAAGCCAGTTGTTTTTTTCAGTGTCTCTGCATACATGCCCTATCGTTGCCAAGCATCCGAAACAGAGTGCTGATGGTCAGTGTTGCCGTCGGTGACGTAGTAAGCCTAGGGCTTACAGCTGACTATCATTCCCCGGCAAGTCAACTCTTATCGCGTTTTCACTGAGCACAATCTATGAGCTCTCAAGAAAAATTGATGAGCACGACACACGATGCGCTCATTGCGCCTGCCTGTGGCAATCAATAATTCGTCGGACTTGCATATCCTGCCTTTTTGGTTCAAATAGGTGGCTAGAGCATCCACATTCATACCGCTTTGGGTTTGACGGATTGCTTTGAGGTGTGGATGTGGACTCTGTGGTGCGTCCACAGTAGCCCAACCTATATAATGCACCCCAGACAGTTGACCACCTCATACTTCACTTTGCAATTTTCCGTCACTGTTTTTCCCCATATCAAACCATGAGGAATATCAAGAAATTCTTTCAAACGTGAGTCGACCATTTTCGTGTTCTACTCATTGTCATAATACTAATCAATAACCCTCAGGTCCGAGAACGATCAGATGGTGTCGCTTAAGCACTCTAAATCAGTGCCATACGGACTTTGCTCAGATGGGAGGACGCGCGAGCCTCGTGCCGATCCTACCAAAGCCGTATACCGTGGCAAGACACCCCTCAAACCGTCCGACATCATTTACGTCGAGCAAACTCCAGGGGTGCTGGACATGTTCCACACACAAATGTCGCAAGACGTCTCGTTCCATCCGCCCGCTCGCGCCCACTTTGGCACTCGCGCGGACTTACAGGACAAGTTTCCCGACTTCCCTCAGCCACCTGTGCCCATTCGTAGCGCTTCAAGGACCACTTCACTGAATTCAAAGCTTCGGCCTCAACTTCCTATCCAGAATTCCGCTACGGGTGGTCAACATATCACAGGCAGGGAACGACCCATTCAGTGGTCCCCTTCAGTAGGTTGCGTTTCTCATGCTACGCCCACTGCCCACTCATCCATTCCCCAAAAACAGCAGAGGCGTGAGGCCACTGTCGGTCAAGCTTTGGCAGATGTACTTAAGACCGCCGATGGCCATACTCCCGTATTGGGAAGTAGCCGACAGGCGGAACGTGTTCGCGCCAAGTCGAGCACTGCTCGCTCATACACTCCCACTCCCGCCCCCCCTGTTCCTACCACCCACTCCCCGCGCCCAATCATCTTGCGCTCTACGCCCAGCTCACGCCCACATCTACATCATGTTCCATCCCATGTCGCCATTCCATCCATTCCTGCTCCATATCATGGACAGTCTCACAGGGACTATCGTGATTTTTTGAAGGAGCAGGACCCGGACGTCATCCGTAAAATGATCAATACTTATCCTGTGGCGCCTCTTTGCAGCGAACGGACGCCAGCGCATTTGCGCCCGATTCGTTTTGACATGGATGATCCGCACCAGATGAAGCCTTTTGGCTACTTCGTTCGTGTGGCTATGACTAATGGTTGTCCCCTCGATGCACGCGCGGATGGCTCGTACCGCCGCATCATTAATGCGGTTGATCCCAACAGACATCATTCCGAAGATTGGCACTGATTGGTCTCGGCGGGTTGTACTTCTGTGATTGTGAAGAGTTTATCAAGAAAGAATTTGGCGCTGTACTACCTACTTGTGTTTGTCGTGTTATGGATACTTATGGATACTTATGGATACTTGTGGATACTTATGGATATACTTATGGATATATGAATTACAAGGCGGCAGTTGCAGGCAACTTGCAGCATGGAGTCATTGCGTTTATGATATATAGTAACTCGGAAGATACAATATTTGCAGAATCTTGTTCTTCGTTCGTCTCCGTAAATATAAGCATAGTATGTCTCTCCGTGTCCTTACTCTCGATGTATATAATTGACCGTGAGCGAAGGGGTCAGGGCGGAGGTCGAGAATAGTCGTTTGTGCGTCCAACAAATAGATACCATCATTCGGTGGCGATGAATCCGTCGTATCGCCTGGCAGAAATTCTTTTTGTCAATTTGAAATCTGCCGCCGTTTTGAACGCCAACGACGCCATGAAAGAAAAGCAGAGGTCGCCATCGTGGTGCGCGCAAGGAAATAAGAGAACGCATAGCATTGGTATCAAATCACGCCAACGCAGCATGACGCGAATTTTTCAGATGGTACAGACCAACGGCAAAAACGCGCATCAGCATAGCATGGTCATGCGAGCTTATATATGGTAGAAAATCGACATTCTTAAAATGAAGAAACGGTTTGGCTGTATCCCCCATTACTCCTAAACTCTATGATAACCTGCCCACCATAGTTCACTATTACGTCTCTTTCCCTACCTGCAGTGTTCTCGTCGACAGTAAAAGTTGCCGTTGTAAGTCTGCCATCATTCCACGCAAAATCAAGAGTGATCCCCCCACGTATGCGAGCGCCTTTTATTTCTCCAGCCGACCACGTGGGAGGAAGAGCAGGTAGAAGCGTAACCTGGAGTGGAATGTTGATGTTCGCAACGTCAGGGGCTTGCAACAGTGCATTCTATCGAGGTTCAGCTGGAGATTTCAAATAAAATAACTTCAACATCTTACCAAAACAGCGGCAGGATATCCCAAGTTTGCATCGATCTGGAAGATTCCATCGTCGTTGTATATGGAAAAGAGGTTGGGTGCAAAATTTCTCTCGATGGTATGCTGCATTGAATTAGCTTCGGAAACATCATATACCCGCCGGTCCTTACAGTAAGTTCCTTGTAAAATTCAGTCTCGTTGGCAAGCTGAGCCCACGCGGCAGCCCTCCAAACTTTCTCCCATCCTGCATCCGCGTCAGGGCCTCTTCCAATGCCTCTATGGAACAGACTGGTTTCCGCAGCGTTCAAAACTTGTTCTTTGGTATAATGCGTGAAGGTTCCGTTGACAACGAGACCACCTTGTAAGACAGGAGAATAAGATGCTATCGCATAACCGGGGTATAACTAGCGAAGATCGTAAGCTCGAGATAATAGTTGTGAAACAAGGGCCTACGCCAATCAGATGACTAAGATGCCTGTGAGTATCATCCGGCCCATCCATGTCGACTTTCCACTCTGGATATATCATTAGTATATCATGGATACACAGAGGACAAGACAGCAACCTTGCAATTGGCCCCACCGTCCGATACGCAGCCCTTTGTCCATCTGCTGCCGTTTGGAAATAATCGCTGTGCAACCCATGAGCATAAGGCAAGACGAACAGTAGACAATTCCCCACCATCTAGAAATGCAATATCTGTATCACCAGCTGCCTCGAAACCATTCTCAATTGCATTGAAGAGCTGCCAAATCAGCTGCTGAGCATGTGCACAACCTGTCGCGATGGTCAGCCATCTTCAAACGCTTTTAGAGTCTAGCTGACCAAGAGTAATAGGGTTCTGCTCTGGTGAGTTGCAAGGTGCGGTAACAAGGGTGGAATCGTTGAAGTGCAAGTCTTCGATGAGCTTCTCTAGATGAAAGCTGGCAACAGACTGATTCAAGATTCAGCCAAACGTGGCTCTCAAAAGTCCCGTAGTGGAGTACCTTCACTAGTGGCCACCCTTGTGTCTTCCACCATTGTACGTCATTAGTGTGGTCAAAATGATCCCATGCGTGTATCATCTAAGATTGAATTGACTGAGCCGCTGCAGAGCCAACAAAGAATACGTACCATCCAAGCATTAGATTCTGGAAATATCGACATGGGCGCTCAGTGAGTAAGAAACATAAGGAGGATTATTGTACCTGGATAATTGGACCATTGAGCAGAGTTCCCGCCAAGCTTCATACCAGTATGGCCGAAGATCTGGTGGAAAAGTTCATGTATTCAATTTTAGAAAGGCCCTTCACAAACGCACATTCATTTCACCGTGTGTCACAAATCCTTCGCTAATGTTGTACAGAACCTGAGCGGTGTACGCACCACGGGGTCCCCATGTATTCTGCAGAAACCAAGGGATCAGCTTCACCCAAGTTGTCAGGTATATCAGATGATTACCTCAATATAGTCAAAGAGTGACCGAGTCACATCCAGATTAGACATTTCGGCAACCCAATAGTTCATTTGGATGTTGATATTGGAATCTAGTCGTGAAATCAGAATACTTTCTTCTATAGAGGCAAGGTGCTTACGATAATCTGTTAGTATGGTCAGAATCGTATTTAACCTATGCATGAGATCAGTCACCAGCGCCCCAAGGGTTGGAATACCCATCAGCCCATAAACCCTGTAAATTTGCAGGCAGAGTGCCTCTAGCGCTGCTGGCCAGGAGGTATCTCCCATAGTTAAATGTAACCCATTCCAAGTAAGCGTCCCCAGCAAAAGTCCGATATCCGGCAAGAATTTGATCAGTGGGGGTATTGAGATCCGGAGTCTGTCCCAAGGAAAGTGAGAATGGGGTAACGAGAGAGGTATAGTCTTTAATATGCCCATTCAGCATCTCAGCGTAAGATGTACGATTAGCGGATGAAAGCAACGCGACAAGATTGTTGTGTGGATCCGGTCCTTGAAAGGAGTAGTTGGCAGCTGCGTTTCCGGCAGTCATATCGTAATTCGTTCCTCCGACCCAGCTGATCCACACCTCGGATGCACCAAGGACGGTCAACGTAGCATTAGGCGGTGATGCCCCAGATACCGCAGAACACGAGATCAACCCGCCAGGTGCCTGTGCCTGCGCGAGAATCTCATAAAGCATACCGGGGATGGAGACGTAGTTCCTAATACTCAGCGTTCTGTCATCCAAGCAGGTGACATTCGGTGCTGGGAGGCCATCGACCGCGGCAACAGAGTAAGCGTAAGTAACAGCTGGAAGGACATGAGAAGCCGTGCTTTTCAGGTATTGCACACATGCTTGAAGAGGATGAGAGCAGAAGGATTCCCTGGGCATAGTGGTCAGACAGCACCTTGACACGAGGAAGGAAGGACATACCGAAGAAAAGTAGTGCTTCCATCAGACCAGGTAGTACGAGACACCGCTTCATCCAGGTCCAACCACCTTGCATAATTCGAAACCGAGCCAGTTGAATCCAATGTTGCGAGCAAATGTCCCGCGCTGGCGTATGAACCTTGAAAGAATGCGCGGGCCACCCAAAAAAATCAATGAGTATAGATAGCAGACGTGTGAGAATTCGCTCAAGAACACGATTTATGACTACCTACCATATGTGTCGCCAGGTGTCATGATGTCGTCGATATCTTAATGGTGGAATGAGGGGAGCTGCGTGACTACACTCAAAACTTGGATACATACTGTCAATTGTCCCCGTAGAACTAGAAAAAATAGCTTCGCGGATGTTCTGCATTTTCTTGGCTATGTTAGTTTGCTGGGAAGGCAAGTGATTGCCCCCATTGTACGACTATGTGAAGGATTAGCATCCCGGGATCATATACACCGAAATTTCAAAAGTACAACACGCACAGGATCCTGGAAGGGACCTCCCGACCACAAGGACTCAATATTGAGCTGTGTGGCTTCTTGGCTCGTACCACCAGGTAACATCGCTGTGTACATTCAATATTTGGTGATTACATTGTGAGCGAGCACCACTTACCGCCCAAGTATCCATTGCCGATCGGTAAAAAATCCTGGACCCATATCGTCCCAGGCGCAGTATACCAGAGACCATTACCAGAACTCGGAAAGCTAGGAGGTGCAGAAGGTATCAAGGAGACATACGTCACAATACCCAGAGCGCTTAGCAAGCGTTTGAGAAGAGCTCGGACAGAGTATGAGAGAATTTCACGAAGAGTCGTAAAAGTTTGGAGGAAACAAGTCGAGAGGCAGGTTCCAAGAACCTGAAGGACCTCCATCTCTGCTGGTCGCTTCTGAACTTGCGAAGTGAATGAGCAGCTAAGATTCTTCTCCTTCTGATGAGAAAGCTAGATAGCAACGCACATGGCACTAAGGGTGAGCGCACCAGAAGCGGATGCGGCCGCTCGGCGTAACCAGGAAGATATAGGAAGATATTCTATTTGAGTGGTGCTACGGTCTTTGGAGATCTAGTATGTGAAAGGTGCAAGTTAAAGCTCACGTTAATGGGAGTAAGCTATTTTTAGCCACGATCATCACAGGTGGTATCACGTGTTCTTATGATGGCTCTGTACTGCGAAGTTAATGTCGCATTAATGGGGTAGTGGTAACCTGGGTCGTTGCCATCGACCCGCCGGGGGTTCGATTCCCTCTTAATGCAAAGCATATCTCATTTTTATGCGATTTTCTCATTTGTTTTGTGTGACCGCAGCATGCAAGTACACTTGCAATTGCTAACATTATAGTTCTCCTTTCGTAGGCATTGCAAATAATCCATAGATTCACAGCAAGTACATAACAGGACAACAAAGTCTCTTATGCAACCTTGACCGCTCCCCATGCAACTTTCTGTCCAGTCGGTCTCGGCGCGCCCTCTCCTTTTGGCCCATCAGCACTCTTTTTCTGAACCTGAGAAGGGGCTGTACGTGGCGGTAACGGTGATGATTTGATCCCGTCAAGCACACGCGCTGCATGCTCCGAATTACGGATGAACCACCCTGCATATCGACGACCAACCGTTGACTCAGCGATGTGGACCATGTTCTAGATGATTGTTTGAGCTCTTCAAAGTGAATGGGAGGAAGAAGATAACGAACCAGGTCTATCACGAAGTTCAAGTCGCTTATGGACATCCACTCCCCAGCAAGTAAACTCTCAGAAGGTCTTGCTCCTTCATCGTTATCCTTCTCGCCATTCGCAGCACTTCCACCAGTGTTCACGTGTCCAATGCATCGTCCAGCGTTTTTCATCACCATCATCCAACTTAATACCTCCTCTTCGTCTACACCAGCACCCGATGTATCCAGGAAGCCCGTAAGCTTCTGTGCATCAAGGCTCGTGTAAAGCTTTAGGAGACTCTTAAGACTCGAGACGGGTGTAAGCGACATAAAATGAGATGATGTAGCCCGGAGGTGTCGCTGTGTCGGATCACCAAGAACTACGTTAGGGTTCTGAGAGGAGGGGGAGGTCGGCGTTGGCGGAATGAGCATCGAAGCGAGCGCCGTAGGGTCGTCATATGGTGGGGAGTTGGCACAGATGAATTTGGGACAGGCATACAAGAACAACTCTTCAAATGTCGACAGACCTTCCTCGCTAAATGAATCGAAAAATTAGTGACCATACTTGGATGGTAGTGTCAGACGCATACCCTCGGCCCATACGCCCAATTTGGTCGCCATATCGCTCGCGCACGATATTCATTACGTTATCATCAAGCCTGGTCGGTGCGAGCACATGGCAGAGCGCTAGCAGTGCATACATGCGATCTGCCGTTTTGTTGATCTGATAAAGAGTGAGCATAAACTGCGAAAAAACTTAAACACACGGGAGCCCTCACCTGATCATACTGGTAACTGCGAGTGTGATATTGCCGCGCACGCATCACCCAGTTAAGAACACCGGTGAAAACACGAGCTGCATCAGGAATTCTTCGCAGCATAAAGTAACATATACCAGCATGATAGGCGGTAGAGACGTGTACAGCTGTAGGCGCGGTGAAGGGAGCCTTTTGACCGAGCCCGACGTTTTCCATGACCTTCAAGGCAAGCGTGAAATCACCAAGGAGAACATGCACGCGCAAAAGGCCGATAATGGAGAAATATCCAAGCATGCGGTACAAAGGCTTCGTTCCGTATTCGCCGACTATGACTCTATCGGCAGAATCGGTCAATTCAAGCACAATTCGAGGTAGACTGACATACTCTATTTCCTCATCGCTTTTCCCCTCTGCACGTGCTTTGAGCCATTCATTCGCGCGACTCTTTTGGATGAGGGAATACAAAACATTGAGCACGGAATAAGAACTCCAAGCTTGGGCACCGCCTTCTGAGCCGAGCATGGTCAGCTCATCGTCGGTTTTTGACGCAGGACGCGAGCGAAAAAGAGCGAATGATTGGAACTGATAGATGAACTCGTCGATAATGTCCCACAACCAGTGCGCAGGGAGGGACAAAGGTACGGGACCGTCGGAGTCTACCAAGTCTCGTCAGAAGAATGATTGAAGTGCAATTGAGGCAAGTACTAAGGAGATAGTTAAAGAGCTCGCAGCTATTCTCGTATGAGTGGAACCGGTCGTCTACGTTGGGTTGAAGCCTTGAGTACACATGTCGGTAGTACAGTTCACGGTACAGGATGAGGAAGATTTGATCGTCGTTGACCAATGGTGCAATGGTCTCTGCTTCTGGCCACTCCGTTTTTGCGTAATATTTCTCGGTGAGGCGAGTCCAGCCTGACTCGTAAGCTAGAGTTATCTCCTGGAGGTTATTGTCCAAGACGGCTTGGTGAAAATGGACGATAAACTGAGAGTCGCTTAGCATAAGATCATCAAGCAATTGATAGAGTACTCACGCGCTTCACAACGTCCGGAATCTGGGCAAATGCAGCTTGTTGCGCGATGTGCTGTTGCATTGCTTGCAAGGAGCCTTCGTCGAGCTGAAGATTTGGGTCATCATACAATTCATTGGTCGAGGAGGGCATCGGAATGGGGATGTCAACGTCGGCATCGTTAATGTCATCGTCAAGATCTGGTTCAGCAGCCCACAGTGCAACACGTTGATGAGCCATAGTTTTTTCTCCTTCAAGGACGTCTTTGACGGTGAGCGAGACAGAAACTTTTGGGTTTGCGGATTTTGCCGCAACAAAGTCGGCTTTCCTGATTAGGCGGTGAATTACTACTGGAGCCGCTTACTGGCTTGCCTCAGCTTTCCAGTCAGCGCAGTCCACCATAAGCCTGCACTTCCAAGATGCCTCCACGACCGATGAATGATGAGGAGGTTCTGAGTGAGATGAATAAGATGGTACGTCTGCGCATGGTCTCGCGTATATATAACACCGATGCCCAACCCCTCCTCGGTTGGAATGCAAAGGGATCTAACGCCATAGCTCCTGTGCCATAGGTTGCTTTCATCAAGCAGGAGGCTCTGGAGAAAGCTCGCGAGATCAAGGTGAAAGCGGACGAGGAGTTTGCTATTGAAAAGGTACGCAGCGTTGCTCGCTTTGCAATCCTTACATGCCCAACGTGTGTCTGTTTCGGAAGGCAAAGCTCGTGAAGCAAGAACAACAAGCCATTGACGCACAGTTTGAGAAGAGACGCAAGGGTGCTGAGGTCGCACAGAAGATGTATGATGCCCTACTCGCCTGATATTGGGATGACATACTGATCGCCTGGTGTCATTCAGCGCACAGTCTAATTTGACCAATAAATCGCGATTGAAGCTTCTACAGCGTCGTGAGGAGCAACTGCAGGAACTGTTCTCTGTCTCTCGGACATCGATTCTGACGTTCGCAGAAGACGAAGGGCGTTACTCTCAGCTACTCGAAGGCGCTGTCGTGCAAGGCTTTCTCCAGCTCATGGAGCCAAGGGTCATATTGCATGTTCGTGAACAGGATGCCGAAATCATGCAAAAGGCAGGAGAAGCAGCCGCAGAATCGTATACTCAGATCAGCGGCCGCGAGGTGTCTTTTGAGTTGGAGACAACCCTGAGCAAAGATTGGTTGGTCGATCGACTTTCCTGAGTATATCGTCCTCTCAACAAACCCATTCTAGTGCTGGCGGTGTCAAGCTTGTGACCAGCTCACGACGAATTACAATCGACAACACACTGGACGAGCGACTGAGACTTCTAGAGGACAAGGTGAGCCTCGCTAGATGAGTTCATTCTTGTCTAATATACTTTTGTAGATGCTCCCCGAGATTAGGAGAGACTTGTTTGGGCCGAATGAGAACAGGAAGTTCTACACATGAGCGTCTTCGCCAAACGGCAGCCACACACTCCATACTCGTGCATCAGCCAACAGTTTATTCCAGACACGATAGAATTACATTAATCTCCTTGGCTGCCAAGTAGAAGGTGAAAATCTACGGAGTTAAGTACTGGCGAGCAGAATACACGCTATGATAGCCGATTGCAGTGAACATACCCAAATACTTTGTGATGCTCAACTGCGGAGACACCCAAAGATTATAGCCTGTCAAGCTTCAGAGGTAACACATACATTCTAGATCGTAAGAAAATAATATAGAGTACGCATAGTAAGCGAAAGTGAACCCCGTAGTACCTATCCTACCCCTACTGGTACTATTTGTTCTTCTTCCTCCTCTTCGCCGAATTCTCTCCCTCTTTTGATGCCTCCGCCTGCCCAAACCGTGCCCCGAACTTCCCCTGCTTGTTCCCAGCCTTCAGCAACGCACGCTTTGTCTCACTGTCTGGCCAATTGTTCAAATCAAAGTACAAGGGCGCGTACTCGAGGAGCCTACGGGAGAGTCAATGCAAATCCGTGTCAGTATGCAGATCCACACGACGCTAAGATGCCTGAGAACATACCAATCGGGTCGCACATCCGTGACAACCCGTATATAAGGTCTCGTCGTGAGTACAAACTCATTGAAGATCACCCATTCCGGCTTCGTGTCCAGCCCGCATGATGGATGCAGCTCCACGGCCTACCACAAAATAATAATAAAACATCAGCACGCCGACCCCACCCAAAACCAAAAAAAATAATGCACCTGATTATCCTTCAAGGTCATATAGTTCCCCTTTTCTCCCTCCTTGTGCGCAACCTGCATGAAAAACCCACAGCACAATACCTGCCTAATCGCCATGAACATCTTCTTCTGATCTTGCAGGCTCACGAGCTCCACCTCAGACCGTTCCATCGTCCGTTTCAGCTGCTCGCGTACATTGTCTGCTTGCATGAGCGCCCGAGCGGAGAGGTAGTTGTTCCAGGTCCAGTTTTTCTCATATTTGTCTGGGGGTAGGGTGTGAGTTTGTGTGTGCGTGTGCAAGAGGAGGATAACTTACTTTGGGTGTAGTTGTTGTACACGTTAAGAAGCGTTAGGTGATCGCCATCAGGAACGGTAAGCAGTGCCTTTGCAGCATCCGCTTCTTTTCGCTGGTTATTCGGGCGTAGCCATACATTCGGGACTGCAGAGGCGTCAGATGATAGCAAACCTCAAGGCTGAGTGCGCACCTGATAACATCGCAGTAATCGTCAAGATCTCGTTGCTACACTTGAACTCTGGGCTGACGATCAGCATCTTCGAGAGCTGGGAACGTGCGTCAGAACAATTTCTGAGAACTCCGCCACCGGAACAATCGCCTACCTGTGGATCTAGAGGGAATTCAGCCATCAAATTCCCCAATGCCGTGAGGTTGCCATCATCATCCAAGGCCGCGAGGTAATTCAACAGCTCAAGCGCCCTCATCAACGTCTCTGGTGCCGGCGCATCCACATAATCAAACTTGACTAAATCCTACATAAGCGTCAGTCAACCTCGAAAACATCACCCCACATCACGCTCACCTTAATACCTGCTTTGACAAGCTCCAGCACCGTATTCGCCAAATTACTCCTCAGGATTTCTGGGTGTGTCTGTTCCTCGAGCTCCGACATAAAGTCCTTCTCCGTATACAACCTAAAGCATTTACCCGGTCTCGTTCGTCCAGCCCGGCCCGCACGCTGCTGTGCCGACGCCTTGGAGATCGGGCTGACGAGTAAGCTCTCCACACGGATACGCGGGTTGTACACTTTCTGCTTGGAAAACCCTGGGTCGACAACGTACACGATCCCATCGATCGTCAGCGACGTCTCTGCGATGTTCGTGCTAATTACAACCTTGCGTCCTGGGGGCCCATCCGGACTGCCTGCTTTCGGCGGCGGGTCGAAGATGCGTTGCTGCTGTTGCGGCGGTAGTGACGAGTACAGAGGGATGCACGCGATGGGGCCTACAGACTCGGGGTCAGAGTTGACAAGGTCATCCGCCTCGAGCTTGATCTTGCGGCATGCATCTTCTATCTCCTCCTCACCCGTCAGGAACAATAGGATATCTCCTGGATCCTCGGCGCGATGGATCATAAGCACAGTGCGGATGGCGGCCTCGACATAGTCCGGCTCCGGCTCCTGGGTGTAGAACACCTCGACGGGATGGGTACGACCGGGAACTTTAAAGAGCGGAGCAGGGGCGTCGCCAGAGACAGCGAAGTACTTCTGGAATTTGAGCGCGTCCAGAGTGGCGGACATGATGATGAGCTTGAGGTCTGGACGGCGGTGTGCAAGGGTTTTAAGGATGCCCATGAGGATGTCGGTAGCGAGGGTACGTTCGTGGGCTTCGTCGAGGATGATGGTTGAGTAGCGGGAGAGGTCAGGGTCATTCATGGCTTCGCGGAGCAGCATTCCGTCAGTCATATATTTGAGGAAGGTAGTGCCGGGTTCGGTCATATCTTCGAAACGTATCGAGTAACCGACCTGTCGACCGAGTTGGACTAGAAGCCGAGGCGAGTTCAGAATATGACCAGAGCATGAAGCAAAAAAAACGGACCATCCATCTCGTCCGCTACACGCTTAGCCACAGACATGGCAGCGACTCTGCGAGGCTGAGTGCATGCCACCATCTTGTTCTTGGTATGCGGAAGGTCTGAGTAGGCGACGAACTGGGGTATTCTATCAGTGACAAAAAGAGTCTATAAGCGAGTGTTCAAAATGACAAGGGAGAATATTTGTCTTGGGGGCACCAACTTACTGTGTGGTCTTGCCTGAGCCGGTCTCGCCGACCATGACAATGATTTGGTGTTTGTTGAACTGTAAATGTCAGTCGGAGTGAATGGTGTGGGGTAGAAGGAGGGGCTTACTATTTTGTAGAACTCGGTCATCTGTGCAAACACAGGGAGCTTTCTGCGTGCTTCCAGTATCTTTTTGTATTGAGCAGTATGTGGTTGCTTTGTGAACGGGTTTAGATCATGTTCCTAAGCGAATTACCAAGTCAGTCAGCCAGCCTCGACGTAGCTCTGCTAAGTATTGAAAGGACATACCAATGCCTGGCGAACTTGATCTGCATTCACTTTTCGGGGAAGAAAACCAAAGAGAGGCTCTTTCGAGGATGCACTGGCACCATTGAGAGTGCTTGTGCTTGCAGTAACTCGCTCAATGGCAGGTCGATGGGCAAGATATGGGTTTTCTTTTTGCAATGTCATTTTGCGGGCCCAGGGAGAAAAGTACAAGTGACAACCTCGACGTCGTGGTCAAATCTTGAAAGGATATCACGATTACATAATCATAGGGAAATCGTTTTCAACTCCGTGCCACTAGTAGTACTACTATAGTACTTAAGTCAATCTAATTAACCGAGGAAGGAGTACTTAATCTCTTGCACTCGACTGTCCTTTTCGCTTTAGCGTTTTCTCTCTCTCAATGGCTGACCTCCAGGCGTCTGTAATTCAGAATGTCTCCCCACCAACATCGAAGCATAGCGTAGCAATAGCACTTGGCTCGAACCTTGGCGATCGATTCGCCAACATCGAAACCGCTTTGCGCTTGCTTGAGCAGCCTAATCAGCTGTTGGCCGGTATGGACGCCGACGTTGTGGTATCGGTCGTTGACACGAGCTTCATGTATGAAACTGCGCCCATGTACGTCACTGACCAGCCAAGATTTGCAAATTGTGCGTGCTTAGTGAGTTCGTCCGTTCAATAACTCTATGGTGTGTTACTTAGTCGGGGGGCCTCCAGATCGAGACGAACATAGAGCCGCGGATGCTATTGAGATTACTTAAAAGAATTGAGACGACGGTGGGAAGGGTGCCTAATTTTCAGAATGGACCTCGTGCGGTTGATGTGGATATCCTATTATACGATGACGAGATCATCGATACTCGTGCTGAAGGCCAGAGAGAAACCCTCGATAATCTGGTTGATGAGCTAGTCGTTCCACATCCACGCATCACAGAGCGAGAGTTCGTTTTGCGTCCTCTAGCTGAGTGCGTAACAGCTTTGGTTATTGGCCATCACTAAATTCGTAAAATCAGCATGATACCAGAATTCGTACATCCGGTTCACAAGAAATCAATACGCGCCCTTCTAGATGTCGTTATCAGCCAGCCGAACACCGACTTCCCGATGCTCAAAGTTACCCCCTTCGCCCATTATCCGATCTCAGAGACACGCCAACTCCCCGGCATCGATCGGGTGCCCTCTATGGAAAAATACTGGAGCACCCATTGTTCAAATGACATCCAGCGACCGACGAAAGTGAGGCTGATGGCTACCTTGAATGCGACTCCAGATTCATTCTCCGATGGTTCTGTTAATAATACATTGTCGGCTGCTCTGACTTATTCTGCGACATCCGTACGAGCGGGCGCCGATATCATCGATATAGGGGGTTATTCAACCCGTCCGGGAGCCGCATTCATCTCATCCGAAGAGGAGTGCCAACGCGTGGTGCCTGTCATTCAGGCCATACGGTCACATGAAGATCAGGGCGTCAGTTCCACTCTTATTTCAATTGATACATTCCGTTGGGAGGTCGCGGAAGCTGCTGTCCTGGCTGGTGCAAACTGCATCAATGACGTGTATTCGTTCACGGGTCCCGAGTACCCCCTTACGCAAGCTTCAGCAAAGCACCTTCTGAAAATGCGAGAGGTGGCACGAAAACTCGCCGTTCCCGTCATCTTGATGCATTCACGTGGGGATGCCGGCTCAAACAAAGACTACAGCCAGTACAAGGGCGGCGTTCAAGAAGGTGTGCGGGCTGAGCTGGGAGAGAAAGTGGAGGCGATTATCAAGGGCAAAGGTGGAGTGCGAAGGTGGTTCGTTATCGTTGACCCTGGCGTTGGTTTCAGCAAGACAGTCGAAGCAAACTGCGTACTGCTCCGCGAAGCTTCCTCGTTGACAGCTAACACTCCGAGGAATCCACTCGCCGGATACCCGCAACTTATTGGGTCGTCTCGAAAGTCATTTCTGGGGGCGATTTTGGAACGCCCGGATGCGGATGGGACAAACAGGGGGAGAAAAACTCAGCCGAAAGAACGGGGGTGGGCAACAGCAGCGGCCGTAGCCTGCGCTGTTCAACAGGGCGCAAGCGTTGTGAGAGTTCATGATGTACAAGATATGCGAGACGTCGTGGCTGTAGCTTCAGCTATCTGGAGTTACTGCTAGTTAGGGGCTTACCACCAATGTACCACTGTAGACTAGAACTGGTCGTGTAAGTCAATATGCGCTATCAATTATTGTGTTAATAACTGGGCAGATAATTTTTCACTGCATCCCAGGACACTTCGATTCTCGGTAGGACTCTACAAGCCTTCGACAGGACTGAGAAATCAAGTGAATTACGTCAGTATGTATTATGCAATCAGTATGACACACGCGAACCCAACCGACGCGTCGACGCGACCGGCCTAGCTACTCACTCGACCACCTCACACATTTCGAAGGAACGTGTGGTTTGACATTAATGTGGTACTTGGTTGGTTCGGATTTGGCGTTCACTAAATGGAATCATCGTCGTGCTCTGAATCCCCCTGAAGCTGCGAGGCTGATATTCTTGCTTGACACTAGAATTCCTTTTCAAATGAACGGCCTTTTGCTTCTGTCACTGAATGCCTTTCCAGATGCATATATAGCCAGTACTGCTGGGCTCATCCCGGTACCACATCCCTTGACCACGCCCTCCCTCCAAGTTCAATAAACCAATATTCAGTTCCAGCATTCATACATTCAGCATGAAGCGAGCGGCGGCGTTGCTTATCCAGAAGATCAACCTTCTTCCATCTATACCCCAGGTCGACACCCCTGCACTCTTTTCCAAAATCATTTCAGTGCAAGATCTCGAACAAATCATTACACGAGGACCTCCCATTACCCTTGCAGACCTGGTATGTCACATAGCCCGTCGCCCGCGGCAAAACTTGATCTGAATGCAACCTATTTACTATCAGCCAGCATACATTGATGCACTGAGGAACCTCAAGTCCGGGGTTAACGACAGGGAGTTTTTGGTAGGTGTATGCGTCATCTTTCATTGCATGTAAATTCACCCTGCTTTACGTGTACCTCAGCTAGAAAAACTCTTGATATTGATGTCGCGCCTTCCTGATGACTCGGTCTTTGCCAAACAACTTCAGATCTCTGTGATTGGTATCCGTACGTATACCCTTCATCGACAACTTCAGGATACAATCCTCATCGGGCCCGTGTAGTTTATAAGGACCTTCCTCACCCGCCTTGCAGCTTCTTAAACACTCTTGTAACAGCGCCTCTGTCTAACTGCGGGAGCGTGCCATATGTCTTCCGTAGTGCTGACGGCTCTAATTATTCCATCTTCGCGCCGAACCTTGGTCAAGCAGGCCAACCATATGCACGATCAGTGCCTTCTACGCATGTTCCGTTGCGTCATCCGTTACCAAATCCAGGAGAGGTCTTCGATACACTTCTGCGTCGCCGTCAGAATGACTTTATTCCTCATCCTGGAGGCCTCTCCAGCTTGTTCTTCGCATTTGCAGATCTCATTATTCACAGTATATTTGATACGAACACCCACGATTGGACGATCAACAATGCCAGCAGCTACCTCGACCTGAGTATCGTGTATGGGAACAACGAAGAGCAGGTCAATAGCACACGCAAGAAGGACGGAACCGGTCACATTTGGGAAGATGTATTTGCTGACAAGCGCCTCTTGTTCATGCCCCCTTCTGTGGGGGCCCTTGCAGTCTTATTCAGTCGTCATCACAACGTCTGTTTTTGTTCCACCACCTCTAGGAAGTGTTGCTAATTCTTCAAATAGTATATTGCAAGCAAGATCCTTGGCCTCAACGAGCGAGGGACATACGTACACCCACAAGCCCTTCAAGAAGAGCAGCGTATCGCTCAGTGCGACGAGATCTTTCACCGTGCCCGACTCGTCAATACAGCGTTCTTCATGCAGATCATCTTGACGGACTACGTCGGAGGCATTCTTGGTCTTGTCAGAGACGGACTGACTTGGCGATTGAATCCACTTCAGGTCCAGAATTGTTTGTGATAATCGCTATCTGTTTTGACTTTTATCCAGGGGTTTCGCGAGGAAACGCATGACGTTTCTCAACGAGGAGCTGGTAATGCCGTTTCACTAGAGTTCAACATGCTCTATCGCTGGCATGCGGCGTTATCGCGTCAAGACGAAGTGTGGCTTGAACACACTTTCAGAAGCATTCTCCCCGGCAGGGACCCTTCGACTGTACGTGTATACCTTCTTGTACGGAGTTTTCAAACGATATATTTGCTTCCTTAGATTACCGTTGAAGGATTCAGGACTGCATTCCGCAGGGATGGTGCTCAAATGCCTGACATTCGTAGTTGGACATTTGGCGGGTATGAAATGTTGACTTTGTTGTGTACTGTCAGCTAACGAGTTGCAGTCTCACCCGGGGGGAAGATGGTCGATTCAGCGACGCCGATATCGCTCGTGTTTTACAGGATGCAACGGCCGACAGGGCTTGTGCCTTTCGTGCGAGGGGCGTTCCGGCAGTGATGCGAATCGTCGAGATTTTGGGTATGGAGCAGGCACGAGCCTGGGGCGCTTGTTCGGTAAGTTCAAAGTGGGTTGACTCGCCGTGATACTGATGATTGAAACTTAGCTCAACGAATTTCGTCGCTTCATCGGTTTGAAACGTGAGGCGGTTTCCATTGCTTCAGTTTACTTATTTATAGTTTGCTTTCCTAGCATACACGAGCTTCAGTGAATGGAATCCAGATCCAGAGATTTATGTAGGGATCAATTCCGCTGTATGTGCTTACCCGCATGTTGACCATCAATAGACCGCAGCCGAACGCTTGTACGGGGATATTGAAAACCTGGAACTGCATGCAAGTCTCGATATCAGCCTCGGACGATTTGTGTTTGCTGATTCACACACAGGTGGGGCTGCAGGCTGAGGAAACTAAACCGCCCGTTCCTGGTGCTGGCCTTTGCCCTGGATACACTATTTCGCGCGCCATCCTCGCCGATGCCGTATGCTTGACCCGCGGAGACAGGTTTCTTACAGTGGACTTCACTCGTAAGTCAACTAATTCTTGGGTCTAATCATCATTCGTCGATACTGAGTTTTTCATGGTAGCATTCAACTTGACAACATGGGGTTACAAGCATTGCATGGTGAACAAGGCGGATGGATCCTATGGCGGCATGCTCACCAAGCTTCTCTTTCGCATGCTTCCCGATCACTATCCCGCGGGCTCAGTCTACGCTCACTTTCCTTTCCTGACCCCAGACTTCCTTGCCTCGAGCATGGCTAAAGCGCCGCGTAGAGCCGAAATCCAGCATCTTTACGATTGGGAGAGGCCTTTGACTGTGCAGCAAGCTGCATTTACAGGTGTAGCTGCTGATATGAAAGTTATCAGAGACTACGAGCGTCGTCTTTCGAAGTTGTGCATGCCTCCGAGGGTACGGAACGAAGAGGTGAGGCCCTTTTACGCTCTTCGTTATCTGATTCTCATTGTTGCTGATAATTCAGATCAGACAGTCTATCTCCGATAAAGTGGCTGAATACACCTTGTCTACTTCGCCTTTTGCCCACCTTACAAGTGAGCTGATCAGCAAGAGACGCGCTGTTGATGAGCACGTCGACATAATTGAAATCCTGAACCTCCTTCCCATTTATTGGGTGGGCGAAATCATGGTCCGCTATCTGATACATTAACACAGGTTGATTGGAGCTCAAATATGTTTTTTTTCCGGTCAGATTGGATTACCATTGATCCACAAATCATCGTCTCCAGAATTTTGGTACAAAGCCATTTTCACCATTACACAGTGAGTTTCTCCGCCGTGATTAGCCCTGCCATCACTGACGTGCGCAAAGCTACTTGTACTTGAATAATGACCCAGCTTCTGACTGGACTCTTCGCGAGAACGCCGCGCGTTTTACCCAGTTGATCAAATTATACCTCGAGAGCCATTTAAGAAGACTCTCTGATGGCATTGTAATTATCCTGCTTTCCGCTACAAGCCCCACTGCTCAATCGATGAACCAGATTTCAATTAATGGAATATGCGATCTTCTATTTTCAGCCCACTTGTCGTCGCATAAATGTGAAGCATTTCTCTCGGAGGTTCTCAAAGTCGCACCGCAGGCTTCGATAGAGGATATCGTATTATGTCTGTTCGAAGAGATCATCCCTTCTGCGTCCTTGTTCTCCGCAGTCATCGCCTCTGTGGTGAAATACTACATGTACTCCGCTCGAAAGGAAGACTATAGCGATTTTGTTTCTTGTTGTCTAGACAAAGGGTCAGAACAGCACCCAGCCATCCTGCCGTATATCTGCAAAGCACTCGGTAAGCCCTCTGCGTTTGCTGAGACCTGGAGTGTATGATAACAAAATACTCAGATCTTGATATCGACGTTCGTTCCCATCTTTTTCACTCAAAATATGCACTAACCTCATATGAAGATGCTTTCGAATGACAAGGTGAGTTCTATCAAAGTATCGACATGGCCCTCCACGAGTCTGAACGTCGTTGAAGCCATCTGTCCTCCGTATCACTCTCTATGGCCACGCTGTTACCATTCCGAAGCAAACTGGGTGTGTCTGCCAGATTATTTGCTTGTCTAGCTCACATAGACATGATGATCCAGCCTTTTGTCCTGGGATATCTTCATGAAGGTAAAAGCAGATGCTCAGAATTTGACCTGAGACTTGAGAATTTTGCAGATCGCTCCTGGTATCATTTGCAATATATTCCGTGCAGGTCCTTTGCGTCGTCCTCCTCCGATCACAACGCCTAGTAACGGGACACCCGTTGACGCCGGTAAGTAGTATCTTTGCGCTGTCGTACGCTCTGCTTAACCCATTGAAGCAGAGCAAACATCGAGGTCCACTGATATCTCCATACCCACTTCATTGGTCGTTGAGGTGAGTGAACGCTGCTATGTGATGAGATCACTCCTCAAAAGCAATTGTAGTATATCGGATATCATTAAGATGGAATATCGGACACCTAATACTCGTCACTGTACTACAAGACTCGGACATACACACTAAATGTATTACCACCACTCGCACTGTTTTAGATGAATCGGTCTTTAATATCATCCTCTACTTGCACGACGTCCCAGCGCAACAACCATTGATTTGAACAAGCTTTTCAAAACAGCACGAAATGTTAACGTTATGTATTAACTGCCCCTAAGCTTTGTTGAGTTTACAATTGTCGTGTAAGTCGTGCTATCATGCTTGCAATACAGCCCTGGGCCTCCGCAGTTTAGCCGTTTAGCCATTACCCGATTTACCTTGATCTCTCGCAATCCGTGGACCAACTGATCTGCAGGGAAAATGACACTTTAAAGGTCACATCATGTAACAAAGTGAACAACAGTACTAGTGAGAGATATCTGACATATCAGTGTCCATAGATCACGACCTCAACAACAATTAACAAGTATGTCGAATCGAGAAGAGAAGTGCTTTTGCACATTCACAATGCATGGAGGACGTTGTGGAGAATCGGCAGACCAACAACTGCAGCCAAAGCCGCAAGTTGTGTCCCAGGTGCTACACGAGAAGCAGCACCGGTTGACGCTAATTGTATGATAATGAGTATGTCGCGTATCAGAGGCAAGATGCTGCTTACTTATGCCACTGGCAGTAGACCCTCCAGATGAAACAGTTGAAGAATGAGTGCTCGAAGACCCAGTTGTTGTGGGGCCGTTGAATGTGATTACGTTATTGCTAGAAGTGGTTCCGAGCGGCGCAGTTGACTTGGAAGGTGTAGCAGTCGTAACGGTAGTTCCACCGCTTCCACCTCCAGAACCACCACTGCCTGAGCCTCCATCAGTGGAACATTGATCAGTATTTGCTATGCACGTAGATCCAGTAGGGCAGCCTGAAAGGATGTCAGCGTGGCTCGTGTAATTGATAGAGGATAGAACACACATCCCCCGATAGAGTCATTGCAACAGAAGAGGCCGGGTTCACAGCAGCTTTCGTCGGTACAACATTCGCTTTTAGCGCTGCAGCAGGCATTTCCATTACAGGTTTGCGCGGTATTGGGACAGCATCTAGAGCAGCCATCAGAAATGAAAAGCAAATCGATCAAAATCTTTTCTCTCACTCGGAATCGAAACACTGGTTGTAGCATTTGTCAGTCAGTATTGACGATTGGTTTCCTAAGAAGGCGCAAAGGCACGTACGGTGGAGTCGTTTGGACAGTTGTACAAATCATTGCACTAGGTTCAAAAGTCAGTCGCAGCGGAAAGGTTCATCGGGCAACCTTACACAGTAGCTGCCAGTAGGGGCACATGAGTCTGGGTAGTTGGTACATTGCTCTAGGGCGGGTCAGTACTGTATGTCTCAGTTTGGTGCGTGAATTCCTTACGATATCCGCTAGGGCACACGCCGTTGCTTGCTCGAGCAAGATACTTTCCTCGCCGAACCAAGAGAGCGGATAGTACCGACTTGGTCACTAGTGCCGATGTCTTGGAGTGACGTGAAACTCGCAAGACTGTTGGGGCAGGATCCGCAACAGCGAGCTGAAGGGATAAGAAAAGAGACAGAGCGATACACAGCAGACGCAGCATTGTGAGGGTCAATGGAAGTACTGGGAATTAAGAAGCTAGCGTATTCCTCTGTGTTCGTGCTCTTTATTGGAAAACTAGCAGTCAATTTTTGAATTAGCGTCTTAGCGAAGGCGGTGGGCATATACAATGTTTCTTGGCAAGGCACCAGAGTTGATACACGAGGCGTACCCCGGCGTACCCGCATTGATAGGCTGTTCGTAGGTGGTCCAGTAGGATCTGTGTTTCGTAGCGTGTCTGTTCTAGTACACCATCATGTATTATACAACCTTGGGCTGCTCATGCAGTCATGAGTGTTGTGGTGCAGACTAAACAGTTGTCAAAAGGGCTCACCAGAAAGGAGCCGACATACCAAGCCTCAAGGGGTGCGTTGATCCGAGGTTTGCAAAAATTGATGCGGCAGGAGCGGGCGATCAAATTTAGTGCACGGATACTAGCGGAGCTCAAGATATGAATGCAGCTCCAAGTTCGTACAGCAGGAAGTATCCACTGTAAGTAAAACTCAACAGCCTTTGTTGCGGTTTGGGATGTCAACGAATGCCAGAAGACCTAGAGTGTGCGTAGCTGATGGAAGCTTTATAAATTAGCCACTGTTTGAACAATGATTACTGTTTAACGAAAACTTACGTTGACAGAGTCCAGACACATCTCAGGACTGATTCAAGCGTAATGCCGCAGGGGCGTGTCGGGCCTTGCGCCAATGTTTAATAGTCATGGGCATTACGTTTAGACAAGACGAGCATAGCTTTGCCCTTACGCCTTGAGGCCGACCCATTCATCCACCCACCCACTGAGGTTCTATAACATGTCGCCCACCTGTCAATGGGCCAAACAGCATTGACGATCTTGTCAACTCACCTGTAGATAGATGGAGGTCGACTGTGAAATGGATGATAATATTGGCCGAGGGTCCTGGTTGAGACGCTATCCTTCATTCTTGATCATAGCACCTGCTTTGAGGGACATGCTTTCAAAACAAATGTTGGTGTCAATGGGATGCAGGGGATGCCCTTCCATTTCAAGTCCAGTGTCGGCCATGGATTCTTGCCAGGTGACGTGGATGTCAGTCTGTAGCCAAGTGGCACATGGTACCAGTGACTCAGGACATTCGGTAATTACAACTGGTACGGATAGAAGAGGTGACGCTGGGGCAAAGCTTGCCAAGGTACATACTGGGTACGGTGAGTCTATTGACCTCTTGGACTGGCGTGATGGCCGCCATTTATGTTTAGTTTCCGCTAGGATGACTAGAGGGAGAAAGACAATTGCTCCTTTTGCATCAGTTTGCCGGGAAGTTTGATGGTGGGCTCTTGCTTTCGAGGGGACTTCTTTCCTTGTTGTTGTGCAGCCACCTCTGATATTCATCAACGAAACGCCCCAGCCCGCCGCCTTATCCTAGCTTTGCGTCAGATCGCGTCAGAATTAAACCTGGAAGGTGATCAGAGTGCTTTGCAACAATCGCTAAACCCGCACCTAGGTAACAATGCATGATGGTGATGGGGTGACATATGATAATTAGGGCTATGTCACTGGAAATTGGTCTGATACCTAGATTGCAATCGCCATCGTTGCAGGTTGCGTACTACGGACGCGCACCACATAGAATTCGTGGATCTTTCTAAATAATTCATTCTCCCACTTTAATATCCTAAAGTCTTTTGCGTGCCTTTCAGCGCAAGCGGTACCGGACGACCCTCGGACGAACGACTTCTTCCCGCCCCGAGGCATGATATCTTTTCCTCTCGGAGATAGATCGATCAAAGAGCAGACCATGAAGCTTCAATTTCTGCAGATAGTCCGGTGCAGGTAATCATGTACCTTCAAGTTGCTTGTATGTATTCTTGCTTTTCCACAATGTCCGCTTCTGATGGACTCCTATTACACGTCTTATCGCCACTGACCTTATCAGACTGGCTGCTTTTGCAGAGTCCATATCGGCACCTCCTATACCATCAAATCTTCTGCGCGCGCGCTTCCAAAAGCCAGCAAGGTAAGTTGGCTGTGTTGGAAGAGTCCGTGATAGAACCCTAACTGACGGGCTCCGCACCTACTCCACGGAAGTTAAAAGTCAAGCCACGTATGATGATGGCTGGGCAATGGCTGGGTTGGCCTTCCCCGCTCTCGGGTGCTCATTGATCCTATCTGCATACATCATTCCCGCCAACAGCGCATAGTCCAGACATCATAGTCAGCAAACACCACTTCCACCATCAAAGCCTAGAGGCCGTCAGACCGTCAGATACCTCATATAGCCCTCATATGCCCCCATATACCTCCCGCTTGCAACCTCTTTGCCTCCGCACCTTCAACAACTACTTAGTGCTACCGTACCTTTGCAACCAACACCGATCAAGTTGTAGAATGAAATCGGCAAAGTCCATCGCAGCAACACACACGGTCATTAGCATTCCCCACTGACTCTTTAAGCATCCAGGTAAGTCTAGGTAAGTGGATTCTGCCATACCCAGGCTTCCCGAGGCCTTCCAGGCACGACCTGGTAGATATCATTGTTCATGATTAGAGAGGTGCCTGTACATATGTCGCCCCAGTTTTTACACACTCCGTAGCCAAGCACAAGATATCCACTTATACACAGATAAACGTCCCATGATGCTACACCACTATTTACAATACTTTTTGGTCGATCATCGCTGTAACGCTGGCCTGATAACAGATTCTAAGACGATAGACATGCGCTCCAAGGATCTGATATCATCGATCACACAAAGTTCAAGAGGGCCCGTCACTACTATTCAAAGAACGAGCCAATCAATATGAATGCATTAAGAATTACTGAAAAAGTTCGGCACAAAAGAGTTGCTACACGTTTCACAACAAAAAGTCCGATCGATCCCCAAAGTCAGTTGAGCAACGTATTTACAATGTCAAGAGCAGGATATGTATACGTGAACAGTTCATTTTAATGTAAAAAAAGGAGCGGGAGACCGTCACGTATTACACATGGCACTCGAGGTGATGCGTGCCAACACGCACAAGAGCAATGAAAACGACGACGACAATAAACAACAACAACGCAAGGTGTCCGACACGTGTGTAGGGTAAAAAAGTCCAAACTTACAATGGGTGGGTGCAACAATAAACCGTAACCGAAAGTCCTGTCCGATTGCGTATAATAAGTGGCAGGCCTAGGCAAGCAAGGCATGATGTGATGAGCGGGTTGCGCCCTGGGCGTGGGAATATGTAGGGACGGACCCATCCGGTTTGCAAAAAAACGACGATGATGAAAAAGAATGGTGATTCGACGGTGATTGACGAGAGGTGGTTGAGTTTGTTTCTTCTTGTTTCTAAGTGGCATGATATGTGATTAATTAGGAGTGGCATGCATTCGGGGACCCTGCCCGAGTGCGAGAACGTGCTAGTGCATTGACTTAGTACGAGAAGATCATGAGCCATGGATTGAGGACGATCTATATATATCGGTGTTAGCATAGATACTTCATGAGCGAGTAGAGGCAAAGAAGACGTTGAAAAAGGGGTAGTGAGATGCCCAAACGTCGAAGAAGGTGAAGAACGTTCAGGAAGCACAGGACGAGATGGCGAGATGTTAGAAACGTTGAAAGAAGCATGTGCCATAACGCTCGATCGCCAATTGCGGGAATGGAAGACAAAGTTAACAAGGACGTACCGGGAACAGGATATGGCAAGCGCATACAACCGACAATGGGAAGATAACGGCCCACGCATCTCCGGTCAATTGCCACTGATATGGTACTAGCGGCGTACTGACGATGACGATACCCGCGATCAGCAAGATACATATGAGGAGGGGGAACCAGAATCTATATGGAGGAGAAGAGGCCAATGATGTCCGTCAGCACTGAATTGAATGATGACATCAAGGGAGCAAGAAAGGAAAAAAGCATGGCAAAAAAGAAGAAGCGAATAACAAGTGCGGATGTCGCACGATTCGCACCACACCACGGGAAACGAGGCAACAGGTGAACATGATGACATGACACGGGCTTCGAGTCAACAGAGACGATCGAAATGACTTGTTCGCGAAGCGATAAAGTGGGGTGTGCGAGTCATGGGCGCACCAGGTCCATATGTGCAGCGGGTGTGAGAGAGAAGGGTCGTTTGGAGCTGAAGACCGCAAATGCATGTCTTCCGATCATCAGAAACGCATGTCTGTGCTGCAGCGGCGATGTCCATGTCCAGCATTGCATTGTGCCAGCACCAGGGGCGCATGCCCGTCTCAGCACACACGCCCTGGCACGTAGGAACACCGTAACCGGAAAAACAAACATGGTCATCCCCAAAATCGGAGATAACACTCGGATCGGAACTGATGCGCATGTTCGGCAAAATAAAAAAGTGGGCGCCAACGCAACGCGTCTAATCAAGCGATATCGGAAACACCAATCAAGCGACGACAACACGGAACGGCCAATCCGAAACAGAAGCAAAGCAAATTGAATTGACAAGAAAAAAAGAAACGCACCTCTTGAAGATCTTTGGCACTTCCTTGAAGAAATTCGACCTCTCGACCTCCTTCTTTGTTGCGCTCCATTGGATGTTGTACGAGAACAGATGAGCGAGGATGGCTTGCGAGAGCGGGATGCTTAGTCCGCCGAAGAAGAAGAAGCTGTTTCAATAACGCGTCAGTTTTGTTGGATATTTAGAATATGCGAAATGATATGCGATCGCGCGCAAACACAAAACACACTCACAAGAATGGAATCCACCCGAAACACTCAATCGCCCCGCCGACGATTCCTCGTTCCCCAAGTCTATATTGCAAAAGCACATACCCCACACTGCCAGCTCCGAAAAACACCACAAAGGTGGCTAACCAGATCTCGAAACTGTGCATGTAGAAATCATCTGTAGGGAATTGGAAGCCGAGCATGATGTAGTTGATGAGGGAGATGGTAGCTGAGGCTGCTATGCCATCTGTGTGCATTAGTTAGTTTTGTACCTGGACTAGGTAGAGGGGGGACGTACAATATGAGAACATGTCTATCAATACGATACAGTCAGTGTGAGCATGCCGAGAAATGGGATGGGACGTACAGGCCATCGACGAGATCTTGTAATGGAGCGGTGCAGGGCTCCACATGAATTTGTGAATCTGGCTGTTGATGGGGCCTTTGTAGAACCATTTGACAAAGGGGTTAAAGAGTAGCCTGTATGCGAACATGAATATCGAGTGGAATGAGGAACAAGAAACGCACTCATTACACCCATACGCATACTTTTGCCACCTGTTCAACTCATCATCGACAGTGAGCGATACACCTTCTTTGAACCCGCCTTGTGAATACGTAGCCCATCTGTGCACGTCAGCACATCACCTCCCCTCGAAAGGAAACAGGACGAACCTGACGATATACCCCTGTCTCAAAAGCCTGAGCGCCATATCAAAATCTTCACTGACATTATCCTCGCTCCAGATCTTGATCTGAGTTCCCTGGTGCGTTGCTTTTGCCTTTCCGTGTCTTGCACCCGTACCCGTTCCAGACGCGCCCGTAGCACCAGAATCAGGCGCGTCAAACTCCTTGCCAACAAACGCCGCATCCTGCAACGCGCTCCACCTCAAAAACGCATTATGCCCCACAAAAGGCGCGACTTCGCCGTTTGCGCACATCATGCTTATGCATTTGTTGATTCGGCGGGTGAAGAAGGCGATGGCGTTTTCAAAGTAGTGGTGGGCGACTTGGAGGACGTCTGTGCGGGGTGTTAGTGCGTGCGTGGGGAGGAAAGGGAGGACTGACCGCTCTCATGCTGTAGAACTCCGACCTCGGCACCTTCATCCTCTCCAAACTCTCTCGCAGCGTCGCGGAAACAATCTGCCGGAACAATAGTATCAGCGTCGACCAACAAGATGATAGACCCGATTCGGCATGCGCGAGCGTTTGCTGCCCATGGCCGATGGCCTGTTTGGGAGGTTTGATACACTGTTTTTGGTTTTTGATCAGTTTGATACTTTTGGTTGATGGAAGATGCGATCAACCTTCTTCCATGGCTAATTGAAGGGCACGCTCTTCGAGGTCTTCGATGTGCGTTGTGGCGAGTGTGGGGGGCTCGGGTGTCGTGGCGCGTGGCGTAGCTGTGGGCCGAGGCGTGCCGGGCATGCTCCCGCCACCAGTAGCTCCAGTAGCAAAAGGTGGAACAAAGCTTTGATCATCGCCATCCTTGCCAATGTACTGCACCCCGTAGGTCCCAGGCGACTGACCCGGGACGCTGATGATGCTGCCACCTTCAGTATGAGCACTCTGTCCGCTGAACGTGGTACTGGTGCTCGCGCGGTGGAAAGGCGGGTTAGGAGGCGTGAAGAGATTGCTGTCCGTGCTCGGGTTAAAGTTTTGGTTGGCAAAAGATGCAGCTTGGCTGTGAGAGAGGGAGTTGTGGGCGGGTGATTGGAGGTCTTCGAGGATACGTTCTAGGCGGAGGGAGATGTCGAGGGCGTAGTTCATGTTTGAGGCTTTTTTGAAGCGGCCGGCGCGTGTGAAGCCTGTGGTGTGTTAGCGTGCGTGAAGCGGTATGTGGGGGACTGACCTTGGTGCCCGTGTCGTGGTCTTGCGATCCAGCCGATGCCGTGTGTTGCGTAGTACTCGATACGTTCTTTGGCTTGGTCTGGGGGGAGGAGGCGGAGGCCGTCGTCGTTGATGAAGAGGCTTGATGTGCCGCCGTGACGTGCGTAGGTCTGCATTGCGGTTTTGAGGGATGTGAGGGAGGGGGTAAGGACTGTTGCGAGAGACTCTTTGTAGACGGGCATTTGGATAGTGATGTGGGGGAGTGCATTGTCGACGACTGGGTTTGGGAGAGGAGGGACTGCAGAGTAGTAACGACTGTTTTGGTGGTAATGAGCGATGGGGCCGACAGCAAAAGTGACGCTTTGCAATATTTGAAGAGTGAAGAACTGGGAAGTGTTAGCGGGTGGGTATGAGACAAGAGAAAACATACGAGAGAGACGCAAAAGAGAAGAGGCATGAGAGCACAAAGGGCGAAATGAGTGTAGTTGCCGTCTAGGCGGAATTCTGTAAGGAGGGTGCGGAGACCGTTGCCGATGAAAACTAGAAGAGGGTGAGGAGAGGAATTAGAGAGAGGATTGGACGTACTGAAAGCGAGTGCGGCAGCGAGGCCGTTGTATACTGGAGCGTAGAGCATGATGGGACGGGCAGTTGGTTTCTGAGTAACCTTTTCTGGGTCCTGATCTTGAATTGGGCGACCAAACCAGTTGCGCTTTACTTCTGAATCTAGGGTAGAAGAGGGAGTTAGATTAGGGTCTACTGGTTTCTCTGAGTAAATGGATAGTTCGTGTGTGGATGGTAGTGGTGGCCTTGTACGCCAGAGTAGACGAATGAGACGATCTTCAAAGTCGCGTGCTATGGGTATGATTGTGTCGAGAGAGTCGCTCCAGACGACGAGTACGCGTTCATCACGCTAAGAAGAGTGAGTCGTGATATAAACAAAAAGAAAGAGACTGACGATGAAAGCAGCGTTCTGATCCTTTTCTGCTTGTGGAAGGAGAAACATGGAATCGAGTACTTGGATTCGTGTGTTTGCGTCGACATAGATACAATCGTCGATTGCTTGCTCTGCCAATGCAGCATGAACTGCCGCACTTCTAACTTTTACTGCTACGAGTGGGTTGAGTGCAGCTACTGCAGCTTCGAATGGAGCGAGGGCGGCGGTCTCGTATGGGAATACTCTGAATTGACCGTCATGAGTACGAAGACATACGCCTGGTGGTACTTGGTCTTCATGTGGCCTGAACCAAGCGTCACCCTGAGTCTGCTTGAAGATGTAGTGGAGGGTAGCGTCGTATCTGTCGTAGTCCATGGCCGGTGAAGGGGGGGGAAGTGTAGTGAGGATGCATGATATAAATGGCGCGGTGATAGATATCTGAATCTGTAGATCTGAGATCTGAGTTGTGCCTGTTACACACGCGTCATCCGGTCATTACGTGAAAAAGATAACACCGAAGACTCACAAAAGGGAGAGAACACCCGCTTGTAATTTCATTCAATGGCCCGTCCTTTCTTTCTAACAGCTTCAAGTTCAGATGACCATTCAACTCAGGATGATCATGAAGACTCACGAAATTTAAAAAGACGGACAAGAGACCCACCACCTTCTAGCTTTACATTTCCATTTCAATCATACCCGGGTAACCCAGATCCAATACCTGGAACTTCAAGAAGAAGAAGTCTAGACAGCGTACATCGTAACCCATTCGATAGTCCACGTCTTCCAACTCCAAACCCTCCTTTCGTTCAAGAATCACCTTATAAATCATTCAACGGCTCTTTCTCTCTATCAAACTTGCAACACTCACAGCTACCACGCGCAAGCAGCGCTACAACAATCTTTCGCTCTCCTTTCCTATCCCCTGCTTCCCGTCCATCCTCAATATGGTCTCCACCTCCACTCCCCCCCTTGTCCGCTAATCCCTCTGTCATCGCACTCCCACTCACACAGAAGAAGCCTCTCCAAAGCACAAGACTTAAAGCGAAACTCACAGATATCGATAAACCATGGCTCGCAAAGAAACGTCGTTGCGAATCCGGTAGCTGGTGGGTCACATTCTTCGCAATAATCCTAGGCATCGTCGCAGCAGCAGCACTCTGCTTCCAAGGTTGGACCAGCGTCGACATTCTCCAGCCCAGCCAACTCTGTCTCGTCATGCAAGACGACTTTACCAGTTCCCTAGATTCAAACAACTGGAGTCTCGACGTCGAACTCGGTGGTTTTGGGTGCGTCACGCTCCTACACCGCGAATCCATCTAACCCTTGATTAGTAACGGCGAATTTGAAATGACCACAGAAGATCCCTCCAACGTCTACATTTCAAATGGTCAGCTATACATCATGCCCACCCTCACAAGCGACTCCATCGACGGCGGTTACACTGCCGTCATGGATGGCGGCACCTATCAGCTCCCAGGCTGTACAGCAGGATCAGGTCAGTTACATACCATCACTCATACCGTCGCTCACCCTGTGTAGGGACAGACCAAGGCGCGTGGGTTCAACTAGCCCGTCGGCAAAACAACGGCACAACAGGTCCGTAACCCCACCACTCACAACTCCCACGCTCACTCTCTCTAGGTAATTCAACTAGCTCGGGCAACTCCACCACAACTGGTTCTGGCAACTCTACTACCACTGGTTCTGGCAACTCTACTACCACCGGCTCGACTAACTCTACCACAAGCAGCAATTCAACAAGCAGCAACAGCAACCCATGTACAGCCGTATCATCCGCCCAGTCCGGTACCGTCATCAACCCCGTCATGAGCGGTAGGCTCAATACCCGCGGAAAACAGACAATCAAATACGGTCGTGTAGAGGTGCGGTCCATCTGAATCATTTAGCCTGATGTTTATCATATTCAGGTCCGCGCGAAACTGCCACAAGGCGACTGGCTCTGGCCAGCTATCTGGATGCTTCCTCAGGGTAACAGCACAGGAAACTCATCTCAGGGGACGGGCGTTTATGGGGCGTGGCCTATCAGTGGTGAAATCGATGCAAGTCTCGCTCCCCTTGCCGCGTGGTGAAAACTGACCATCCACACAGCTAATGGAAGCCCGCGGCAACCTCCCTTCATACCCCGCTCAAGGATCTAACTATGTCCGCTCGTCCCTGAACTACGGCCCGTTTGCGGGAGGAAGTACTCCCATTTCTACCGGTGAGCGTTCGGTTCAATTACATCCTCGTGTTTTTATTTTTGTTCATTCCTCGTGTTTTTGCGTTTTGGATTCCTCGCTTTATTCTTACGTTCTACTACACGTTTTGCGCGATTCATTCCCCCCCACATCCCACGTTCTGACACTCGTCACCCCCCTTCTACACTTCACCCCTCACGTCACCCCCCTGACACTAACACACCCACCCAGGCACAACCACCACCGCCAACCTTCTCAAAAGCATCTACGGCTGGGTAAGCACCAAACGCGGAAACTTTGCCGACGGGTTCCACGTTTATGCGTTCGAGTGGACTGGCGAGTGGATGAGGTTTTATACCGATGATCGGTTGCAGGTATGTTCCCGTTCCCATCGCAGCTTTCTTTTTCGTGCCCGTCTCCGTACCCGTTTTGCGGTACCCGTTTTGCTGTACCCATTTTGCTGTACCCGTACCCGTCGCCGTCCCCCCTATTTCCATACCCGATTTGCAGCCCCGTTCCACCTCCATCATACTAACCACCCCAAACAGGCAATGATCAACCTCAAAATCTCATCCAAATCCTCCGACTCCTATTTCTTCAACGTAGGTGGGTTCCCGGGTGTAGCTATGAACGCGTCGAGCGGCAAGGAAGTGGTTGTTGAGGATCCGTGGAGTACGGCGTATGGGGGGAGTGCTGCTGCTCCTTTTGATCAGGGTGAGTGTCTTTTTTGGTGTCTCTGGAACTGGATACTGACGTTGACTTGAACAGACTTTTACCTCGTGATTGACCTTGCGGTTGGTGGGACGAGCGGGTGGTTCCCTGATAGTGTTGGTGGGAAGATGTGGTATGATGGGTCTGCGAGTGCGTTTTTGGGTTTTTGGTTTGGTGGTAGGGCTAATTTTATGGTCGATAGCTGCGATGCGTGATTTTGCGGCTGCTCAGAGTACGTGGAGCGCTACGTGGCCTTCGAGCGCGGATGAGCGTGCGTTTAGGATGTGAGTCCCTTTCCTTTCGCTTTTCCTGCTTCATCCGTTTCTGGGTTAACCGCATACTGACGGTGATTCAAACAGTGACTATGTGAAGATGTGGAAGCTCTGCGGAACGTAGACCCTACGCGCCGCTTGATGTGCATACGAATGGTAACTTTTCAGTGTTGACGCAGACAGTAGCAAGCCGTAACCCAAGCGGACTAATATTTACAACGATACGTGCCACGGACATGGACCCGGACTGGGAGAGAACACTTGTTGGGTGTCCTCGTAGTCATATCAATATCATAGATTCTGGAGCTGCATGCTCGTATCACTCTTTTTTTTTTTGCCCTTTCTTGTTGTTTTGGGGCTTGAAGCTGTATTGGAGCTTGAAGCTTGAAGCTTGAAGCATTGAAATTGTTGCACATACATCCCTTGTCGCTACTGTTTTGTGTGCTTGTGATGGTAATATTATTAGTGCAAGCTTGAGAGGCGAATGTAACCCCCTGACCGGCGCCGGTGACCATCCAGCTTGCTTAGTCTTGGCGATCATCGGGATAGAATCAAAGTTTTTGCCTTCGACGAATTTGTAATGGATAATATGCGAGCATGGCCGACCAAATAAACAATGTCGCATGGTAGGGAGTTGGTTGATGGCTGCCAATCTTCTTTATATCCCCCTGTTAAAATTTTCAATCTTGCTGGTCAGGGTTGTAATCTGGTTTTTCTTTGTCCGGATTGCCCCTAAGCTTGCTCGCGGGCGACGTCCAGGGATTGGGGACATCAAGCTTTGAATATTGAGGCATGCATCGTCCTGGTCCGGTACGGCCGACCAGATAAACAATGTCGCATGGTAGGAAATTGGTTGGTACACACTGATAGGCTGCTAATCTTCTTTATATCCCCCTGTTAAACTTCTCAATCTTGCTGGTCAGGGTTGTAATCTGGTTTTTCTTCTTTGTCCGGATTGCCCCTAAGCTTGCTCGCGGGCGACGTCCAGGGATTGTCGATAAACTGTCTGATTGGCACCGAATTCCTGTAATCACTCGACATTGCTCGAGGTTTCAACCCGTAGTGAGTGAAACCATACTCGTCCCATAAGGCTATCCATTCCGTCATGTCAGTGGCGCCGTTCTCCTTTAGCCAGTTCTTGACCCGCAGATCTTCCTCGTCTTCTTCTGGCCACACCCAGTCATCACAAAAGTGTGTGAAGAAGAAGACACGACTGCTAAGTGGGTCGAACTGCCATGTAAGGCATCCACTCAGAATGTCTGGTTTATTGTCTTTGAGCCAGGTGTTGATCGGGATTTCCAGTTGGCCGTCTTTATACTCGGAATCATTGATGCCGAGAGTCTTGTTGATAGCACGAGCTGAGGAGGGGGACATATGATATCCGCCGAGATTGATATCTGGGTGTCATGGAATTAGAACCCAGACCACAACAGAAACCGCGGCGCACCTATGTCATCTCCCCACTTAAAAAGGCATTCGCTCACTTCTTCTTTTTGAGTATCAGGCATTCTCTTCTGGGCTGTACCGGGACGAGGAGGGATGCGCGACATGGAACGCAGACGAGCGTTTGAGATTGAGGACGTTAAAAAACGACGAGGCATGCGCGATACATGAGTTAGGGCTGTCATGATATCAGTAGACAATATTAGGAGGTCTTGACTTGTCAATGTATATATGGTTGAGTAAATAGGAGAGTTTCCATTAGGGGTGTTTGACTCGCGAGGAACCTTTGTAGCCTCTGAGATTTGAGTCCTCCCGCACCTATGGACTTAACCAACCAGTTTTGGGGGTGCAAGACCGGAAGGAGGCAACTTTACTTTTGGACATATATATTGCTATGACAGTCACAATGTTAAATCTCTAGCCAAACCTCACACTACTTGCCAACAAGTTTCCTGCGATTCCGAGACAGATACTTTTCGACCGTCATTTCTTCAACCACCCAGTCCCTCGGCTTTGAGGAAGGTCGCAACCCGAAGCGAGTGAAGCCATTATTGTCATAAAAGGTTTGCCATTCCACACCAGTGGCACCATTCTCCTGTAGCCAGTTCTTGACCCGCAAATCTTCCTCATCTTCTTCTGGCCGCTCCATTGAATCACAGAAATGGGTGAAGAAGAACACACGACTGATACGGGGGTCAAACAGCCAAGTGAGGCATCCACACAAAACGTCCGGTTTATTTTCTGCAAGCCAGTTGTTGATCGGGGTTTCCAGGTGACCGTCTTCGAATCGACTATCATTGATACCGAGAGTCCTGTTGAAGGTACGAGCTGAGGAGGGAGACATGTGGTATCCGCCGAGGTTAAAAACTGATTATGATGATATTAGAACGTTGATCCAGAATTTACAAACCATGCAATGTACCTTTCTTATCCGTCTCTCCGCTAAGAATTTCTTTGCTCACGGATTCAGTATCGCGTAGTCTCTTCTGGGTTGCACTGAAATGAAAGAAGCGCGACACAGAATGCGGATGAGCATTTGAGATTGAGGGGGAAAATAAACGATAGGGCATGCGCGATACATGAGTTAGGGCTGTCATGATAGCTGGCCGAAATTAGGAGATAGGAGCTTCACAAATATTGACACTGTGAGCAATTAGTAAGCCAAAGTTGAAACTAGTACTTGCAGGAATCACGGAGTGGGCACACGGAGGAAGGTGGAGATCAAAGCATCAGAGCCACAGGTAGCTACCCGAGGACCGGGCAACTGTAACTTGCAAGCGCCGCCACAAGTTTACCGTTTGGCTATACGAGATGAGTACACAAAGAATACATGAAATAAATTTCACTTGGTTTCCTTGTGAACGATCTGTCATGTTCTCGTTTTCGGTGAGACAGCATGTGTAGATCACGATGATCGACGAGGTTTAGCGAGCGTTGGCGCGTAGCGACTTTCACGAACTGCTGCGGCAGATACCGAACTAACGTGATCACTGCAGCCTGTAGGGTATGTATATGATGTCGTACACCACACCTCCCCAGCTCTTTCCTCAAGATCATCGTTAACTTGGCTCTCATGAGAAACTGTGCTATGGCTTTGATACCTATCTTCATATTCCCACACATGTGCATCAAGGCTGTCGCTACATCTCCGAATGAACTGCTACCTTTATGACTTCCTTGGTGCTCCCAGTCTCATACGAAAAAGAGAGACTATTGGTGGGTTTATGCCATCGCGAAGGTGCGTTTCTGTGCTCTACGCACCTGCCTCATTTACAAAGCGTTCTGACAGGGTCCAAACTTACCCAGCTTCATTTCCACTGCCGCTTGCACCTCCTCTCTGCATCAGTGACGGTTCATTGTGTCCGTTCTGTGCACGCGACTGAGTCGTGCTACGCGCTTTCAAACGCATAAGGGACGTGTTGATTCTACGTCAGTGCATCCGGTCGCGCTAAGCGTGGGCGAGTATGTTGCGCGTGTGAGATCTCATTCCGTGCACGCGACTGTGTCGTGCTTCGTGCCCTCGAAGGGTACGTTGATTCTACGTCAGTTGCATCCGGTTGCGCCAAGGGTAGGCGAAGAAAATACGCTGATAGCACCAAGCCATAGAGCGGTATGTTTTTAGTGTCGAATATATATCTGACCTTGTACGGTGGTTTGAGTGGGAACTCGTGCGGTGGCTTCGTAGTTCGTTGTGTCATCTCAAAACACGATCGATGAGGTATGTCAAAGGAGATTAATCCTTGTGTTTTAATTTTTTTTTTCTCCGTAGAAATTGGCTATCTTCTCATCTTAATTACTGGCCACGGCAACGCTCAAAGACGCACTCTGCAATGTGCACTACGAGCTGTGTTCCGCAATCTGTCGTCTGTATTGTGAGAGCCTGATATCCTCTAATATTTTGTTGTCGTCTTGAGATAGCGATTAAGGTGCCCGGAATTCTGATGGAAGTGGGTATGCGAATGTAGGCAACCGAATGGCCCATTGCCATTCGTGACCCCCTCCTACTATTTCGAAGTGTCCATGAATTCTAGCTACTATCCCGGCATTTGTCCATCTATCTCATGAAGTAACTCCACAAATCGAGTCTGCTTGAGGTATAGACGGTCAGATCAGACCCGCTAAATATAGTGACGCGGTTCATATCGGTTCGTGTCATTAGCCAGACCGAGAACCTCATTCATACAGAAGGCCATAAACATCGAGTTATATTGCTGCGTATCCTCGCGACGAACAACATTTACCTCACGAGGCCTGGTCCCTGGTCAAGGTGGGCATCATGGATGAATTGAAATTTCTGCGTACATGAAATGACGTACTGATATCGATCGACGTGTAGTACGGCAGCAGAAGATATTCAAGCTTTTGCGCATAGCCGTTATGCGAAGTGTCCAGATGTGCACGAACTAAACTTACACCCCATGGAAATGATGTCATTGTCAAGTGCTTGCGGTGCCGACAAGTCACAACGCCGTAACGCTTGTCAAGATGATCGAGTCCAAGCCAGACTCAGAGGTTCTCGTCATGACCCAGAAGCTGCGAGCTCTTTGTCTACAGTCTTCACTGAATTGCTATCAGATCATGTAATAACTAGGACGTTTCTGCACATGACCCAGAAGCTGCGAGCTCTTTGTCCAGTCTTCGCTGAATTGCTATCAGATCATGTAACTAGGACGTTTCTGCCAAGACGCAACGTGTTCGCTTCTTTGTGTTCTATTCTCCTCAGGCTCCCAGGAAGACCAGACTATTCCTGCAACATGTCAATTTCGTGCCTATGATGACGACAACTATAGCGCCTCGGTCCTCCAATGACCATCACTGTAATACGAACGGACATTTTGAACGGCCGAGAGATAAGCGCGAGGAGTCGAGCAAGATAGCAAACTTCTGAATGTGGATTTTTGTTTCAAGGCTTTTTTATGGAACGTTTAAATTTTGAGTTCTATTCGGAAAATACAGATACAGCAGTGGTATGATTTGTTGATACGGTCGTCCAGGAACAAACAAAGTATGAAAGTATAACAACTATAGTTTTTGGATAACAATGGCGGAAGCAGCCCCACCCTAGACAAAGGTATTGTTTGAGTAATCAGATGGCATGGATAATTACAAGTCACTTACCCCGTTGCAGATGCCTGCTGCACCATACTCCCCAGATTTTAGGGCATGAACAAGGGACACCACGATGCGAGAACCCGAGTTTCCGATCGCATGACCAAGTGCGACAGCACCACTGTTGAATCCTGTTAGCAAATACAATCTTGCACGTCAAGTAGAAAAAAAACTCACCCATCGATGTTGACCTTTGCAGGATCCAGTTGTAGGAGCTTTTCGGCGACACGGACGACGACCGAGAACGCTTCGTTGACCTCGAAACGTGCGATATCATCGACAGTCAGGTTTGCTCTCTTGAGCGCTTCTGGGAGAGCGACCGCAGGTGCCATGGGGAAGTCGATGGGCTCAACACCCGCATCTGCGTATGCTGCAGGAAATGACATCAGACAATGTACAAGTCACACAAAGAAGTCGAACTCACAAATCACTTTGGCGAGCGGTTTCACGCCAAGCTCCTTTGCTTTCTCTGCTGACATCAATATGAGAGCAGAGGCGCCATCGTTAAGGTTTGAAGAGTTGGCAGCAGTGATGCGACCGCCTGCTTTGAATGCTGACTTGAGGGAGGGGACCTTCTCGAAAATGACTTTCTTGTACTCCTCATCTTCCTTGACAATGGTGTCGCCTTTCTTGCCCTTGATCGTGACAGGTGCTATCTCGGCATTGAAAAGGCCAGCTTTCCATGCGCGATCAGCACGTTTGTACGACTCGATTGCGTGCTCATCAAGTGATTCTCGGCTGACGTCGTACTTCTCTGCAGTGGCCTCGGCGCAGTTGCCCATGGCGAAGTTGTTGGAGACATCCCAGAGACCGTCAGTTTCAACAGAGTCCTTCGTCTCGAACTTTCCGAACAAAGGGTTCGTGCGGGGAAGCAGGAAACTATGAGACATGTCAATGTTGCGCAAATTGGTAATTGGGATTGTAGCACTCACGGAGCGTTGCTCATACTCTCCATACCGCCAGCGGCGACTACATTCTTGTAACCGGATTCTATGCTCTGGGCAGCAAGCATAATGCACTTCATGCCGCTAGCGCAGACTTTGTTGATGGTCGTAGCATCAGATGCAGACTTCATGCCGCCAGCGAGTGCTACTTGACGTGCAGGTGATTGACCAACACCAGCCTGGACGACATTGCCAAAGTAGATCTCTTCAACTACTGAGGGATCAACTTTCGACTGCTCGAAAGCGTGCTTGAGGGCCACAGCGCCAAGCTGGGGAGCAGTCAAAGTCTTGAGTGATCCGTACAAGGATCCGACAGGCGTACGAGACGCAGCGACAATAACAGCTTCATGAGCAGGCTGTGAGGTTGTGAGTGACTGTTATCCAGAATTACGATGGGATGGGCCATACCATTTTACAGGAAGGATGATCAGGTGGTGATGGAGGATAAAAATGTAGGTCTGGATGAAAAACACGTTGCAAACACCATGATTCAGCTGGCTTTTATGCCAATGGGATCCGAAACAGATTATTCGGGATCGAGGAAAAGATATTCGATCGTACGACGTGTCAAAGTAACCGATTATCCGTATTGGCAGAGCGTGTACCGGAATGCACTGCCATTTATATGGAACCACATGAGTTTAAATCAAAGCCACATCCCTATCACAAGCATTAATGGGGTAGTGGTAACCTGGGTCGTTGCCATCGACCCGCCGGGGGTTCGATTCCCTCTTAATGCATTCGAGCTGCTGCCATTCTTTTTCCTCTTCAAAGTGCGCATAAACTCATTCATTTGCTCGATCATGATGACAAGAAACTGTTCACAATGGCTCACGACAGGTGAAATATAGAACTGACGGATGTGTTACTAATTACCTAGTCCGCGTAACGACAACCGCAACGCAGAGAGTACATGAATGAGGAAAGCAAAACGGTGGTCTACATGATCACACAACATGAATTTTGCTAGTGAAGCTGTCAGACAGAACCACCCAGATATCAAAGACAAACACTAACCTTCTTAGCTGTCTTGTAGAACATCTTTGTCTGCGAGGATAGAGCATTCGATCGCTCCACAAGGTTATCCAACTTCTCCCCGCGTTGAAGAACAGACTCGATGGTCTTGTGCTACAATACACCGTCACACCAATAAAACACGAAATGATTCTCGCAGTAAGAGAAAACCTTACCAGAACAATCTTTGTCTCATCTAGTTCCTGTTGTACCCGCATAATTGTATCAGCTTGCCGAGGATCCTGGTACTTCTGAATGTAGGTCTGGATCTCTGGGAATGATATCGACCCTGGGTTTGCGAAGGAAGATTGGGGAACTTTGGCAGTGAAATCATCAAGGAGCTTTGTTAAAAGAGAGAAGGCAGGTCGAACGGGGTATTCCTGGTCAGTAATAATGATGGCTGAGGTGGAAGTGAGCTCGATAACTCCATCCCATCAAGAGCTTTGACCCACCTGCAAGCTGCTCCGCACCACCCTTGTTGTACACATGTGCTGTGTAATTGTTCTCTTGTACACTCTGGCGCTGACCCTGAGGAGTTCTCTCTATGACGGTCTTGGTGAAGAACGTCAAAAACTCGCTGACGGAACCTCTCTGGTAAAACGAGAAGCTGGAGACATCTGAATCAGAGCTAAGAACTGAACAAGGGCCTGAGGAGGGTGCAAGAACAACTGAGAGTGAGAAGATCTTCATGGTCGTGGATGAGAAGAGAGGCACCCTACACTACGCTGTCAGTGTAAATGCGTAGTCCGGCTCAGGGTCCGATTATGTACATATATGAACAGTCAACAACTAATAACTTCATACAGGGTTCCACTTTGAGCGAATCGACTATTGCTAGTACTTACCGACCATGCACCTGTTCCGCAGAATTCAGCCAGCGAGGATGACATCGCTCGCTGCTGGGATCCCGAGGAGCCTTTTTCACCTTCGCGTGCAAACCCGAGCATTCAATGCTCATCATGACACCTTTTCTTTGCGGTTGGCCAGTAGAAACTATCTCCGGACAAGGAAGTTTTTGCTCATGTTCTACGATACTGGCAGCGTACTGGTTGTCTTTGGAATGTTCACTGCTGTTGTTCTGCTTGTATGGACTATGGTGTCACTCTTGTCTTCCGCTTTCTTGCGACTGACTGCGTCAGATACTTCCGCGTCGTTGTTGAAGAGAGCTTTTGATGTCACCAGTCGCCCAACGACATATTCTAGCGTCACGCGTGCTGTCAACCCAATTGTGAGTTAAATGCCTTGCATATGCATTTGCGTGGATCGCTTCCAGTATTTTTTGCTTGACCATCTGAAGTACTCACTTTATTACATGTAGATCCCTGGCTTGACCGTTCCACTAAAGCACCTACCGCTGATTCTACTCTCCCTTTGCATCAGTCAAATTGTTCATGAAAGTGGGCACGCTATCACTGCAGCAATGTATGTTTCCCATCACATATGGCGTAGTGCATCAGCCGCAACTTCGCATTTTTTCTAGTCATCGGATTCCTATTTTGGCGGCAGGAGCATCTATCACCTTGATGTTCCCCGCCGCATTCGTGACGTTGCCTTCTGCAAGGGTAGAAGAATTGTCTTTACTCGATCGTTTACGGGTCATAACTTCAGGCTGTTTTCATAACCTGACGCTCTGGCTGATTCTAATGGGTGTGGCCTGGTCTGGTGTCGGACAACGGATACTGTCAGTAGGCTATCAAGATGTTTCTGCCCAAGGGCTAATCGTGGCCCATGTTGAAGCAGTCAGTATGATATCAGGCATGATTGCTTTGCTTCCTTGCTGAATATCTTTTAGAATTCCCCTCTGAGCATGCATCTTCCTGTTGGATCTTTCCTAACGACACTCGACGATCTTCCATTGAACTCATCTCGTGATGCATGGTCCGCTTATCTATTGGAACCCACACCGGCTGTTTACAAGCAGGGATGGTGTGTGGATGCGTCGCGGCTTAGTGGTGAGCATAGTGCCCTGCGTCATCCTGCTTGACTTAGTGCCTCCTCAGACGATCAACAGTGTTGCGCGGTTACTGATAATAGTGAATTATCGTTATCTTGTTTTGTGTCATTCGAAAATACGGTGGAGGAGTATTGTACCGATCCGATAGCCATACTGTCCAAAATGCAAAACCGATGCGATTCTTCAACATCGTGTCTGGAGTCGCAGTCGTGCATCAAACCGAGGGGAGACCGAAATATTTTACGGATTACGGTGCATCAGCAAGGGACAAGCACTGAAGACAAGCGCGTCGTACTCTGGAGCGGCCCTAGGTACGAGGTTTGGGAACAAGGTATTATCTATAAATCATGCATTTGTGGTAGTTGACATAGACTATTCTCAGTTCAAACTACACATTTCGCGCCGCGTTTCGGCATCATACCACTAGGACTACCCCTCGTGTTCGCAGATTTCCTTCAGTACGTCCCTTGGACTAACAACTGCTGTGTGGCTGACTTTGTGCAGATATCTAAAGCTCACCAATCTTTCGTTATACCTTCTCAACTCACTTCCCCTGCCCGCATTGGACGGATCTCAATTACTAATAATTTTACTGGAATTGGCCTTTACCAGATGGTTTCATACTCCCACAACCATGTTCGACATCGAGTCACTGAGGACTCGTGGAAGTCGTCCACGAGAAAGGAGAGTGCAGCAGGTGCTTCGAGCATTCGTAATTATCGGTACATGCACACTTCTAGGCTCGTGCGTCATGTTGGGTATCATAGAATGGATGAGTGTATGAATCAAAGGCTGTATAAGTCAAGCGAGGCGAAAGCTATGTCTTTGTTCGCATAATGAGACAAGTACATGTGACCTGCATGCATATTTATCATAGGTCGGTGATGCATAAGTCGATCGGTGCCCCTCCGCTGCGACGCATGCATGATACTAAAGTGTGATATGAAAGAAAGTTTTCACTTCTTCTTTGGTGTTGCGCCGAGTTCTACCACACTCAAGCCTGCGCCCATACATCAGGCAACGAAGCGCGTTAGAAGAGTGATCACGCACCTGGTGGCAAGCTCTGCTTGAGCTTTTCAGCCTTCTCTGGGTCGTCCACAGAAAGTGTGTACAAGTATCGTGAACACCGCACTTTGAACTTAGTCTGCACCTTTCCAGCTGCAGATTTTGCGGCGATCTTTTTTATGCGGGCCTCTGGATGAATGAAACAATGCATGAAATTTCGTGCAAGATTAGTACGCGTGAATTCAGCGTGTCGTCGAAGCACAATAACAGTATAAACGCACGGGAAGCATCCTTCCGCCGCGCAATCTCGATGAACTGCTTAATATCCCGGATTTCCTTGGGCTAACATAGACATAAGCAATGAGACCAAGAGAGCCAAATAGCCAGCAGCCGTGAGCGCACCATGACGAAGTACTGAGTCTTGAAGTCTTGCTTACTATATCTAACAATTGCCAGCTACTCGGTGGGACTCGGTGGCTGAACCTTATTTTGATAGCTATTCGCAAACTCCCGAGATTGTACAGATCGTGACCCGAACATGATGCAACTTGCAGAGCCTAGGTTGATACATGTTATACACAGACAGCATATTGAGTTGATTATGTCTACAAGATATAAATATGTGCTTGGTATTGAAATGGTTATATACAGACTCGGAGTGTCTCAGATGTGACTATGAAATGAATCAATGATGAACATTTGAACGCTATGGAGCTGCTTTGCGGGGTGATCCCGTCGAGACGCTTGATCCTGCAAGGGTAGAGCCTCCATCACTAACGACTGACATTGGTCGATTAATGCGAGCGCGTAGTCGTTCCACTTCACGTTGCAGGCTATAATATGACGGGTAAACATCCCATCCTCAACTTGTCAAGACCAATAGAATTAATCTCACTTCAGCACTGCCTGCTTGGAATCCACGGCCTCTCGCTCCAGGCGACGTTTCACGCGCTCAAGTTCACTCTCCCTCGTTTGCTATTGACGAGAACTGGAATTAGCCAAGCGACCAGATGATCAATGAAGAGGTAAGACTGACAACTTTGTCTAGCGTCTGTCGGAGCGAAGTTATTTGACCTTCAGAGATTTTTCGCTCGTCCTCCAATTTGATATGGTGCCTTTCGCTTTCAGCTAACTGCAGTTGTATGTCGCGAATTGCCTTGTCAGAGCTATGCAAGCGGTTGGAGTCGACTTTCTCGCTTGATGCTTGCTTGAGTTGATTAGTGAGTTCATCAATACGGCTCTGCAACTGCCTGACAGTGGAGGATGGGTGAGGGGAATTTGCATATGACTTCGTCTCAAGGTCAACGACGCGGACGTTTAGGTCTTTGACCTGCCCCTCCAGCTGTGCCTGTCGGACAGAGTGAGCACGCTGGAAAACATATTTCAGGTACTTACATTTATTCTGTCGAGCTCGGTGTTCTCGACGCGGGTCCGATCAAGTTCCAGCTGACTTTCGTTGGCGTGCGCCTCAGCTCTCTTGAGGCGTTCAAAGGCCATAGCTACGCGATCTTCTTGTTCCTCCAGAGATCGCTCAAGATCTTGTTTCTTCAGCTGCAGCTTCTGTAGTTCTCGATCTGAAGTCATCTTCGTTGCATCAACGTGGTCAAGCTTGATGCCTTCAAGCTCTGCTTGCAAAGAGCGGCGCGCCTTCTGTAGCATCGCTCGGTCTGCCTCAGCATCATTGAGAACGCTTCGAAGCTCCCGAACTTGCGAGTGAAGTGACACGATCTGCGCTTGCTGGTCGGATTGAGCAACAGTCGATGCTTCAAAAGCTTTGGTTAGATCGGCGATCTTTGTTTCCATCCGATCTTTCTCCCGGTTCCAGGCGCCTCCGTTGTACACCTCGTCATCGAATCTTAGCTGCAGCTCGTCATAGTCGGAATGGATTTTGCGGTTATCCTCTCGTAGCCTTGTCATTGTATCTCGCTGCGCTTGCAATTCTGGGATGAATGTGGTTCCGTAAGTGTACACCCAAAGTTTCGTAGTTACGTACCTTCGCTCAACTGTGCTAGTTCAGCTGCAGCCTCTCGTCAGAAAGCATCTTTTACCAAAGTAATCACCAACCTTGATATTTCTTTCGCGTCTGGTCGCTGGTGAAATCACGTTCTGCGAGGTCTTTCTGGTGCTGCTGACGTTCATCTTGCAGTTGCTGTACTAGTCGGTGCCTGTGAATGCCCAGCTCAGAAGATTCTCTATCCTCGGCCTCGATCTGAACCTCCAAATCGCGGAGCCTCCGCTGAGTGTCTTGGAAACGCTCTTCAAGTGTCCTCTTCTCTGCCACCAGGTCGCCATGAGTCTTTTCCAAATCACTGAGGGCGCGTCGAACTATCTTGGTGATCAGCATCGTTCAGGGTGGATGAGTTCAAATTTTACCAGAGGATTCAGCACGTTCTGTTTTGGCTTTTGCTTCTGCGCTGGCGAGTGCTTTGTTAGCCTTCTCTTCGAGAAACTTGGCAGCCCGTTCAGAAGCCCTACGCTCCGCCTGATCCACCCCACCCCCCCTGGCGAAATCTTCTACCTCCCGGGTGAGGCTTGCCTTGGCTTTCTCCAGAGATCGGATATAAACAGCGTCCTTCTGCAGCTGCTCCTGCGCATCTTTAAGTTGCTGATCGGTCACTTTTTTGGCCTTCTCCAGAACGTAGACGTGTTCAACAATCGTCTTATCCTGTTTGCTCTCCATTTGCTTGAGCTCCCACTCTCGATTCTTGAGATCAGTGATTGCCTTGTTGAGATCTTGGTCGGATTTTGCAATGCGTTCCTGGCTCCTTCCTCTGGGTTAGCATGACGCGTTGAAGGTCCTTGCACTTGGATGACTCGGATTCCAGTTGCTTCCTCAAGGTTTCCAACTGGCGTTCGCCAGCGTGAGCATCTCTTTCCATCTGCAAAATCGTGTCCTCGATTTCATTATATTTGGTCTGAGCAGCGTGAAGTTGTCGTTCCAGAATCTGATAAAGTAGATGTAAGGTTCATGCCATCCAACAAATGAAAATAATTGTTCAATCACCTCTTTCGCCCTCGATGTCTCCGCTAACCGACCATCCGAGTCAATCTGACGGGATCGCAATGCCTGCAGTTCTGATTCGAGCACTCTCTTGGCTTTTTCCACATCCACGACTATTGCCTCCACCTTCGACGTCCGTTCCTTCAAGCCTCGCTCGCGCTCCAAAAGAGAGACGTGAGCCGAATCCAGCAGCTTGTGCTGACGATGCATCTCGTCTAGCTCTGTTATCAGCTTGCTTTCCTTGTCGAGAGCATTTTCGCGTAGAACGCTGAGTTCCGCGTGTAATTCGGAAGACTGACGACGGAGCTCGACGAGTTCTTCCTCTTTGCTTTTCTCGACTTCAAGCCGTCGGGCGTCTTCGGAGGTCTTCGTCTCCATGATTGCGCGGAGCTCGTCCAGCTCGCCTTGGAGTTTTACCTTGGCAGAAAGCGCACGGTCTAAATCGGTCCTGGAAGCATGGATCTCCGCTCGCTGCCTGTCAGATGTAGCGTGAATTTCGACAATCTCCTTTTGCAGTCGAGAACGTTCGTCTGTGGATGCGGTGATGGTAGAGAGCAGCTGAGAATTTTGGTCCTCCTTGTTCTGGATCATAGCCGAATACTCAGCGGAGGTACGAGCCATCTCTGTTAGCTGCTGTTTAAGAAGCCTGGAGCCTCTTTCCAGTTGCTCGACCTTGCTGCCGAGCGACTCTCTACGCGCAACAAATCAGACTAAAAATCACGGTAAGTTTTGGGGGCTCACTTTAATCGAATTTCCACATCGAGCTTAGCCTGCAAGTCGCTCACTGAAGCCTCAAAACGCTCCTTGATACGCGCCAAATCTTCGTCGCGCTGCGAAACAAGGGCTCTGAGGTCTTCATTAGCTTTCTGGAGAGCCTGCTGTTCCTGTTGCAGCTGGACCATGCTGCTCTCCTGCGTCAATAGGATGTCCGAAAGTTCCGCCTCTTTATCTCGCCAGTCGTTTTGTTGACCCTCCATGCGGACAAGATGCTCCGCAGCCTGATCGAATGCGATGCGCAAAGTTTCATGCTTCTCATCGCCCTCCTTCTGAAGACGTAGGGCACGATCCAGTTGCGAATCGAGGACATCAAGGTCAGCGTGTAAGGCAACGATTTCTTCTTCGAGTTCTGCTTCCCTCTTTTTGCTTCTGTCCAACATAGCGTCTTTGTCGAGGGCAAGCGCACGCTCCGCTTCCAAGTCTTCGATGATCTTTCGTTTCTCCGCCTGAAGAGTCATCTTCACGTTCTCCAGGCTTTCCCGTTCTCGTTGATCGCGCTCCGCTCTCTCCTTGACGAGTTGCAGCTCAACATCTTTCCTTCTGAGCTCTTCATCGTTTCGTGTCGCGGCGAGTAACGGACGAACCTGTTTGAGATAATCAAATGATTGCCCTGAAACAGACTAGAACCAACTTACTTTCGTATACAATTGCCACCATGGCCAATCTCGCAACTCCCCGTACACACGAGCATTGCGCTGGATCGTTCGTATCGCTACCGCACGGTTAAGAACCTTTTTCATCTGTCTTCGCGCGGAGAACTTCCTGGCGACAGCCTGTAGTCTCGAAAAAACGTCGAATAGAAGGGCATCCCGCCGCTCCTCAAGATCCGCGAGGACTCCGGCCTTGAAAAATATCTTGGACGTTCCCACCCGGAACAACTCGGTGTCGAGATCCAAAGCTTCTACAATACGGATGCATGCCTTGCGACCATCCATATATCCACGAGGAATAACGCCTGGAGTCATGATCTCGTAGCGCTGGCGGAACTCGACGAAAGGGAGCCGATTGGGATAACCAAGACGCGCTATGCGAATGCCCTCCAAAACACCATTGCAACGTAATTGATCAAGGACTAGAGGCACGTCTACCCTTCCAGGTTTCTTGTTGACGTTGGGCACGATGCAACGCACGAAATGTGGTTGTGTCGCCTGCAACTGTGCCATGAGAAGGGCCAATTGCTCCTTGTGCCGCTGGCCGACAGTTCTGAACGCCCCTCTCTTGATGGGGCGCCTTTTCCCTGTGGAAAACCCAGTACTGGAGGACGGGGGGATGTCGGCGAAGACGCCAGCAAAATCTTGGAAAAGCGAGGCCACGTAAGGTTCGGACGACGACGCCAGTACACGAGTCAGATTATCGTTGAGGGGATCTTTGTTCTTCTCCAACCACCCGTCAGTGCGGTACTCGACTTTTCCGGCGTAGTGCGTGATGATGAAACCCTGTTCGAACTTCGGTAGGGTGTATTTCGAACGACCTGGATGAGGAAGTTCTGTTGCGCGCAGATCTCCACTCCAAATCGAATGAACTTTCTCCGTGAATGTGAGATCAGTGGCTTTGGGCATGATGCATTCCTCGTCTAAGCAACTGAGGATGCCTATGGCATTCCCACTGCTCTCAATGAGGTCGATGGTCGGTTGCAAGTCCAGCTTGAAATTCACGTAATCCCATTCTATGCCTTCCCTGGAATACTCTTCCTGCTCGAGGACGAACATATGGTGATTGAAAAACTGCTGCAGTTTCTCGTTGGTATAGTTGATGAGCAGCTGCTCGTATGTGTTGATCTCGAATATCTCGAAACCTGCGATGTCAAGAACACCGATGAACGTCGACTTTGAGGACGGACGATCTAGCGCACGGTTGATGCGCTCAACCAGTGCACCAAAGGACTTCTCGTACAACGACTTGCTCAAGGATGCGAGTTCGTCAAGAGACTGTTGCCCCGTCCGCGCCTGCGTTACCCACTCACGTCCAGCGAGAACCCTGGGCCGCAAAATAGCTCTCGTAAACTCTGCGATGGGAATACCGAGCAAATGGCAGACACGCTCGGCTTGCGACGGATCTGGCATGAATGCGTCATCCGACTTTGTAGAGCGAATGACGATGTTGCCAATGTGGAGAATAGCTGCGACGATACGGAAAAGGTCGAACTGCTCGGTAACCGTGAAGCCAACAATATCAAGAGCACTCTGGGAGGGTGTTAGTTGGATACCGAAGACTTCGCATTCACAAAACGTACTATCAGAGCGTCCCAATCTTCGCGATCATTGACGCCGTCAACCTCTCGCCTGCTTTTGTTGAGAAATTCGTATTCTTCTAGAGGTCTATCCAGCAGAAGGGTATCTGTAGACGCATGAATATGAAAAACAAGCGCTGAGAGGATATTGTAAGACTTGCCCTTTAATGATCCTCCACTTGATAATAACTGATAAAATACGTGGAAGTTGCGCTCCGCAGCACTGCGCACTACTACTCGACTCTTCTCCAGCAGGTACCAGTCAATGTTCGCCCCAGATATACTTCCGTCTAGAGAAAAGCTAATTCTAATAAACTTCCCGAATCTACTTGAGTTGTTGTTCCGCTGAGTTTGCGCGTTACCAAATGCCTCAAGGATGGGATTCGCTTGGAGAATCTGTCGCTCGAGTAAGCCTAGGCGACCCTTGGCGCCTCCAGTGCTGTTGGACGCAATATGAGTGGTTTTCGTACGTAAAGAGCTTCTTCTGGGCAGGCCCGAAGGTGGGGATGCGGGGAATGAAGATGACATGGAAGCAGAATGTGAATGTGAAGGATGGGGTGGGTGTGCATCAGTTGCTATGGCAGACAGGTATTGAATAACTTTCTTCGTGCTTTCGGTCTTTCCTGCGCCAGATTCTCCACTGTAGACGGCGAATTAGCTGCATGATTCACTGAGAAGAAGGTATGGCAGACGTTATGAGAATGCTCTGGTTTTCGCGCTCCTCCCCCATGTTAACCCATGCGCGCTCGGCGACTGCAAATATATGAGGAGGGTTCTCATCCCGTCGTTTACTGCGATACTGCGATATGATTGCGTCTGTATACAACGGCAGGTTCTGGTAAGGGTTGATAGCGACCAAGAATAAGCCAGAGTATGTCTACCCGATACGTTTCAGTAGGTGTGCGAATGAGGGTAATCACGATTGTGCGCAAGAAATCAGAATACTCACATAAATAGCTCCAGATCCATACCTTAAACGTAGATTATGCACGACACTCGCTTCGTTTAAAAATGTGAGATCTGCGATGTCGTCGACGCGATCGAACTTGGGAGGGTTCATCTTGGAGAGTGCATACAAAGGGACTCGGCGAATCTGACGCGTTTCATGTCAACAAGTTGGCAGATCACGAAGGAAATTGAAATGAAGATACCTCGCCCCCAGAGGACATGACGATTTCTGCGGTCTCATCATCTTCTTGGTGTACCCAACCAGCGAGATAACCGTCTTTCTCATCTGGTACCCACACCCATTTCTTTTCGTTAAACTCAGCCTGTAGGGCAGCGGCGCGCGCGGCTTCTGCACTCAGAGAGGGACGAGGAGCTGGCATCAGCAGGGGTATTGACCACCGAAATTGGGTATGGCTTGTAAGCTGTTAAGGATGACTGAATGACTTGGGGAATATCCAGGTATAAGGTGGTGGCCAAATGTCCTGTCAGCCTCGGAGTGATGGTTGTGAATAAGGGGTAAAGTCAATTGTCGAAGAGTTCACACAGCTCGGTACGCTCACGATCGCGAACAGGTCATGGATATAGAGGTCATGCACATGAACCGTGACAGTTCTTGGCTTCAAGCATCACTTGAACCAGTGTCCCTAATTAGGTAAGTGCTTAAATCCTCATATTCATTGTTTATCAGTTTCTTCACTTGATGCTAACAACCTTCGTAAAACCATACTGGTATGTATTTCTAGCTCACATTGAGATACTTGGTCGTTCTATTATAATATTAAGATGTTGTTGCTGAGCTCACCCGGCCTGGCGTATACTTGATATACACTGAGGGTGCGTTGAATGTTCTTATAAGTATACTGGAGCAATGGTTTGAATAGAAACGTTGATTCATCGTTCCCATACCATGGAGATGGATTGTGGTGATGGGCCAATCAGAATATGGCAACGAGTATGTACATGTGGAGTGCGTACGAACCTATAGCGGGACAAGCAAGGGAGGGACTGAAGTACCGTGCACTGGATTCCAACTCTTGATGGCCTTGGAAGTTAGGATCCCCGTTGACATCATAGCTAAATTGAAGCCTCGCCTACGGCGCAGGTCAAGGTCAGCTTACAGCAGTGACCCTATCGATGACATTCATATCTCGCTCAAAGTTGAGTAGAACGAAGCGAACAAAAGATTGCCCTGACAGCAGAAGACATCGGCGGAGAGCGATAAGCGGCTGGTACCGTGCCTTCGAAATATAGCACTTAATGCATGAAATGCTTGGATCATGTATACAGCCTTGACTATATTCTGAAGATTAGTGTACGCTGGGTGGTACCCGGGGGTATACTCCATGTATGCCAGCGTCACATGCACATTGGGCGGAGTTGTATCAGCTACTATACTCGATCGAATTCTGTGTGTGGCGGCCAACAAGTATGGCCATGACCCACAGCCATGCATATAAACAAATTGTGAGTCAACTGTTGGTCAACTGCAAACCTTAACCTTCTGAGGAGTTTCATCTTGAACCACTTTCTCGTCGTACCGTATTGGTTCTGACAAAATTCTGACATCAAATTTCGGGTCAATGTTATCCCTCGAATTGTCTTCCCCAAGGTCCGCGCTCCGCGGTTTCTAGAACTGAGGTGATAGACGCTGGCAGATCGACCGCGGCCGGGACTTTCCATGTAGAAGCGCTGCCAGATACAGGACGTGCACGGCCTTTGACAAATATTGGTTGAAGTGAACGGCGGCCAGAAAATTGGCATAAACCTTGCAAATAATGTAAAGGTTCTTCAAGGTAGTTGCTCCTGTATTTTCGTCACAAGTATAACCTCGTAGATCTGACGAATACAACCAGCGCCAAAGTTTGAATGGCTTCTTAGCCTAGTAAAGACGATATTTCGGAACAATTAAGATCCCTTCCGCATCAAGGGCTACAGCCTTGTTTGCGCGTGTACAACACGTTTTTGTGAGGGACGGACCCTCAAGTGTAAACAGCAACTATTTGTTGGCCTGCAAGGCCGATAAGAAGGGTTCCAGCGCGTGAAGGTGCACTTCCTTGCATCTTATCCGACATTTCCCTCTAACCATCTACCTGATCTGACATGCGTCCATCGTACAGCGACTACAATGACTCGGAATACTTGGTGTATCCCGAGGATTCAGAATCCTTCAAACGAGAAAAAACTGAGCTCCCATCGGAGCTCGATTTCATGGATGGTCTAAGGTGACTTTTGTGTTCGACTAATTATGTAGTCAAGTGAACGGTAGATTGACTGGCTGAGGACAGAACCTTGGAGTCTGAGTCATCTACAGCACCAACCGTCTTGTGGTCTTCTGATGATCTTGGTCTTCACCTTGAGGATACGGACGATGCAGCATACATCGAGAATTTGGCCCTCCACCAGATGCGGGCATCCAACGTATGTGAACTGAAAATCGCGCAAACCCATGCTCATAATGTGTCTTAAGGCTGCCCAATATCGGTATCCAGGGTCATCCTCAACCGGAGACTTCTTAGGTTTACCGGAGTTGAGCCCAGATGAATCACCATTCAGCGTCGCGTCGAGCAGGTCCCCCTTGACTCCAAATGGCGGCGCCCTTCTCCCTGACCTCTTCTGCGATTCACTGGAAGATTTCGGGATTCACGATGCAGTGGCAGCGGATTGCAGTCCGTTTTTTGAGCAAGAATCGTTTATGGAAAACTCAGTTTACCCTGAACAACTGCAAGAGGACCTTGCCTGCCAGGCAGTTTCGAGCATGCCCTCTCCAGTATCATCGACCAGGAATGTCTCTCAGCCTATGCCTGTGCTTCCAGTTGATGATGCTGAGCTGGTGCATAACTCATTCTCTCTCTTGCCAGACTCTAATTCTGCGGAGCGATCTCGTTTCCTAAGATGTTCAGAGGGCTTGACGGAGAACGCTGCGTCACAAATGCAGCTCTGCATTTCTCCAAGCCCTTCCACCCGTCCCCTCCGTACTACTGTACGACATCTGAGTCAGCTCTCATCATCTTCGACCCCAAGTCGTGTTGGTATTAAACCGGCCGACATTCGTCGGGGAGTTAAGCGCCGGCGAACCGACGACGATGACGACGAAGATTACCAACCCCATCGCATCCAAAAACGTGCCGCATCCCACACGCAGTTGCAAGCAGCAGCAGAACCATCAAGGAAGATTCGAAAAGTCGGCCCTCGTTCCTCAACAAGAGTGGCAAGACACGAAGGGGCCAAGGAAAAGCGAATTGACTGCTTGATGCAAATCCATGGCTGCAAGAAATCTTTCACGCGTAGAAACGACATGGAGAGGCACCTGAGGAGTTGCAAGTTCAGCTCAGACCTGTCCTGGATGACGGTCGAATGCCCTCACTGCGAAAAATCCCTGTCTCGCAAAGACGCTCTGTTGCGTCACATTAAGCAGTGCCATGGGGATATCCAGTAGTAAGACATGTACATAGACGTTGGTTCAATCCAAACCGGACCCTCGAGCTTGCTTAATCTCGGCCAGTCTTGTACGCCACAAATTCATGTAGCCATAGCGATATTAAATCTTACCAGTCAGTGTGAACGGACCTAAGACATACAAAATACATAGGTCAGGTCCATACGTACCTTAAAAAGAAATTAGAATATGTATATAGTTAAATAATTATTTATGGGGAGATACTTACATATCACGTGCTGGAACGGAATACTTACTAAACTAGGTGTCACCGACTATTACCGCCCGGATCTGAAACTCAAATTCATATACGTTTTCCCCCACCCAGTCAACTACTGGTGCTTTAGCTTACCATACTCAATGAACACAAATTCTGAGGATGTTTCTACACAACCTACGCAAGCAGACAAGGACGAGTCGTCTTTGAGCGCTCATCTCTGGTTTCCAGAACCTGAAGCTCAAGAAGAGCGAGTTGTTGCCATACCTCAGGCATCTGGTTCATCTTCGCTGTTGAGGGATCGCCTGTATATTGGAAACCTGCACCCCACTGTCGATGAGTTAGTGATTTTGTTGTGGTATGGCTCATCCTCTAATTATGATCAGATATGCACTTCTACAGGTCTTCACGAAGTTCGGCAAAGTATCGAAACTCGACTTCCTCTTTCACAAGACGGGTCCGAACAAAGGGAAGCCACGCGGATATGCGTTCCTACAGTATTTGCATGAAGGTGTAAGTCATCATGCTGTAAAGCGCCGCCGCTTATTTTTGACTCGTTACTCTCGCGATTGCCTTGATATGTCATGGCGCATGTGGCGGCCATTGTCCTCTGAAGTCATTGACAGCTTGACTGACAAATGAACTGCACTAGGATGCCCAGAAGGCATTGGAAAGCATTAATGGAAAGCTATTACGGGGTCGTAAGCTGGCGGTAACTTTTGCTCATCAAGCTCCGCTCGAACAGCCCGGTGGAATGCGACAGGTGGGCAGGGCGAGAAGAATCGATGCACGGCCGACTACCCTGAGCATGATGAAGAGTGGAATTCATGCTCGGTCAGAAGGGTGAATTGTATTTTTAACAGGGTACTCATCAACTTACCTTCGAATTAGCACAGATAACAAGATTGCGATGATGGAGGCGAAATTACGCCAGATGGAATCGAGCACCGCCAATTCGTCTAACTCATTACCGCCAAAACCGCCGCCACCATTATTGGCTTCGGCCTCAAGGCAGTACCCTGGTTCGGGGGGCTCTCTCTCTTCTAGAAATCCCGCAGGCCCAACCGTTCGGCGTCCCACCACCCGCGTGGAACCTATTGCCCATCTAGGGCATTCTGTAGAGGCTGATACCACACCTTCAACATCATTGACATCGCTCTATACTCGACCAGAGGTCGTCAAGTCATCCATGTCTTGTAAACGCCTAATACCCGGTGTGAAGATCGTCAAAGAACGTAGTAAATGAAGGTAACGCTCGGCGTCACATCTCCATTACATTGACACCGATCTTCGCCAGACCTGTACAGTCGACACTCGCCGCTGAGATCGTTCCGATGGTGTCAAGCCTTTCTCCCCAGATCTTCATACATCTTAGCTCACTTCCGAGTTGTCCTGATGTAGTCCTATATGAATTCTACTATCATCGCGGTCTAAGAGTTGAGCGTTCTCAAGTGTTTTCCACAAAGTCAGTTTACACTCCGACCACCTCTACCGTCCAAAATGAGAAAGTGAGCTCATTTCTAGCGAATTCTGCATGCTGGTGAATTGACGTGGACCCAGCCAGTGTATAAATCTCCTTCGGTCACTTGGCTGTTTCCCCATGTCGATGCCCGAAGCTGGAGAGTTATTGTATATCAATCTCAGCAGTCACACGGTATCCAGCATGTTCCGATATCTCACACTTTTACCAATCTAATGGTGATTTATTGGTAACAATTGGTTATTCATGGCGAAACTGTCGTTGGCTGACGATTCGGGTTCCCCTCTGGGCTGTCACTGATATGTCAGAGGCTCAGGGATGTGTTCACGATCAAATCAATGCCACATCTTATCGATGCCAGTGGAGTCCTGAGTTGTGGCAGCAATATTCATATTTCGATAGTGGCCTAGAAGCCCCTGGAAGTCAGGTTAAGTCAGGCCGCCGTGTCAGCCAAAGTTCTGGTACGTACCGAGGGTCAGGTAGACTTCTAAAGCATAAGACACGACTCCTGATGCAGATATGATTAGCCTCGTGGCGTAGCCTTCCTGCTGGCAATTTAGAGTCTGTTTAGGTTGTCCTGTGGAGTTATTTGAATGTCTCGCAAGGTGTGCTAATCGTGTCAACCTATAAGGGTGAGGGATGACATAGTGCGATCACTGCGATGTCCTCTGATCTTGGTGTGATTGGTTATTTACGAGCGGGTCACCATTCCGAGTCAGGTATGACCCGTGCGAGCTCTGGTCAAGACTCCGGTCGAAACGTTCGTGGGAGTGTTTTCAGTAACTCACGATCTAACCACATCTTTCCCTATCTTTCCACGAGGATCTCCCAAGAATGGAATTACATTGCCATGGTTGTCCCATCAACCAACCTTTTTTGTGTTGACTCGTTGCTCCGCGGCGCAATTGGGCAAGATATGGGTGACAGGGGTTTCAGTCAGTAAGCTATTTGTCGACCAAGACTTTGTCACTGACAGATTTGATGAACTATTCTCGTGTATACAGCTGAGTTCTAATAGGTGCATAACGGAGGACTCGAACCATTCCTGGAGCACGGGAGAGCACCTGACCATCCCCACGTATTCGTAAGACGGTTCTCAGCGGTACTTATAATCCACTCTTCATCTCCAGCATTGTCCCCATCTTTCTCTTCAATACTCATCATCTCTCGATCATGCCCTCCCCGCAAGTCTTCGCTGCTACAGATGGTGCAGTATACACCACATCCAATGGTGCAGCTGTAGGGAATCCCCTTGCCGCTGAACGTGTTGGTCCTGTGGGACCCCTCCTCCTTCAGGGTTGGTTCGCTCACCCAATGTATATTATCCTGCTCATCCACATATTAGACTTCCACCACATTGATCTTCTTGCTCATTTCGATCGGGAACGAATTCCTGAGCGTGTGGTAAGCGCAACACTCAAACAATAGGCTTCCATATCCATCATATGCTAGGTGCACGCCAAAGGCGCTGGTGCTCACGGCTATTTCGAAACGACCCACGATCTCAGTGACATCACATCCTGTAAACTATTCACTACCGTTGGCAAGCAAGTCCGTGTAACCGCCCGTTTCTCCACTGTCGGTGGAGAAAGTGGCTCCGCCGACACAGCTCGCGATCCCCGTGGCTTCTCTGTGAAATTGAGAACAGAAGAGGGTAACCTTGACTGGGTGTTCAATAACACACCCGTGTTCTTCATTAGAGATCCCGCCAAGTTCGCGCCCTTCATTCACACCCAGAAGCGTGACCCGCAGACTCACCTAAAGGATCCAGATGCGTTCTGGGTAAGACACGTTTCACTATCAAAAATGTTCACATCGAAACATCTCCTCTCATAGGATTACCTATCTCAAAACCCGGAGTCCGCGCACCAAATCATGATACTGTTTTCCGACCGCGGAATACCCGACGGCTACCACAACATGCACGGCTATTCTGGCCATACCTTCAAGCTCTTGAAAGATGATGGCTCATTCGTCTACACCCAGATTCACTGTATTGCTGATGGCGGCTTCAAGGTTTGTATGCCCTTTTACTGCAACAGTTTGTTGTCAATGTATTGCATAGGTCCTCGATACTGCCACGGCTCGCGATTTGTCCGCAGACAACCCTGATTATGGTATTCAATCGCTGTTCGAAACTATAGATGCTGGGAAATTCCCGTCCTGGACCGTCTACATTGTCAGTGATTTATCGTATATGGCTGCAACTTCAATATTTAATCTGCTTTTCAGCAAACTATGACTCCAGAGCAGGCCGAAAACTTCCGTTACAACGTCCTGGACTTGACCAAAGTTTGGCCCCACAAGGACTACCCCTTGCGCCCCTTAGGAAAATTCGTCCTCAACGAGAACCCCCAAAACTACTTCGCCGAAATTGAACAGGTGACGAGGATTTGTTTTATTCCAACACAATGTGGGCTGATTGACTGACTTAAAATATCAATAGGTTGCTTTTGCGCCCAGCCATTTGATTCCCTACTACGAGGCCTCTGCTGACCCCGTCCTTCAGTCACGATTGTTCTCTTACCCTGACACTCACCGTCACCGTCTTGGCACGAATTACCACCAGCTCCCTGTTAATGCGCCCATTACCCCTATTGCCAACTTCCAACGCGATGGTGCCATGGCATTCAACAACCAAGGAGCACGCCCGAATTATCAGAGTTCCATTACGCCCTTGACATACTTGAACAACAAGGGATCTATCAAGGGTACACCCAGAGACTATAAACGAGCCGGACAGCATGAAAGCTGGCTCGGTGGAGCATTCTGGGACTTGAGCGAGATCACCGAGCGTAGGCGGCTAAAACTCTGTTTGTTAGACTTCGGTGACACTGACGAATTTTCTAGTTGACTTCGAGCAACCGCGTGCGCTCTACCAAAACGTCCTGGATGATGCAGCTAGGGCGCGCCTAGTTGCCAACGTTGCTGGCCACCTTGGTGGTGCTAAAAGCGCTGAAGTCAAGGCTCGGACTCGTACGTTTAAATCTGATCTCCAAATATTGTCACTCAGCTTGAGATTAATCTTAGTTTCTTACTTCGCATCTGTCGACCAATCGTTGTCCGATCGCATTGCCAAGGCTATCGGTGCTCCCACTGCAAAGCCTTTGGCAGTTAAACCTGCGTCTGAGGCAGTTCGCTTCAGGCATGGTGTTGGTGCTGCTGCGCAGAAGCTGTAAATTTCGAGGGAATATTCAAGCAACCATGGAAACAAACAAGTTATTGTGTAATGTTTTTGTACTGTACCAGAAAGTAGAATGCGAATATCGGTGTCCTAATCTGCGGGACTAGAATTGAGTTAGAATGTGGAATCAAGAATGTCGCATCTCATTACCAACACAGCGAGCGAAGGTCAATGATATCGATTGAAGCCTTCAATTCTTCCATAATGCTGAGATCACTCAGCCCGGACTATAGATCTCTAAATAGATCTATAGTAGATATCGAGCAAAAATATATCGAGGACCGCTAGTATAACGCTCGGGTGGTACATGTTTCAAGTGTGGCTGATAAACATGACAGATCTCACGAGAAATTACACATCCCGAGGAAAGTAAGGGTTGAAGCATCATAGATCCTACAGGTACAGGGAAGAACAAAAAATAACGGAATTAGGGCGTTCTAGCATCTCAGATGCCTTCTGAAATTTTTCTTGGAGTTCCAAGTTACCAATGACTTTGGCGGCCTGAGCCATCTGGCGAAGCAATTCACCAAGGCGCCTGAAGACACGTATCAGGTTTCCCTCGAATTGGTCGGTCAACTGCGTTCGGTTAATGGATCAGCAAGTTCAGGATGAAAAATAGGGTCAACAAACTTTGCAAATGTCAGCAAACGAAGCTCCTCGACACCATTGAACAACGGCGTCCATCAATTCGACTTTGAAAGACGCAACATATTCTTCCTCGACCAATGGTAATTTTGATTCCTGCGACACCTTCGCTATTCGGCGCGCAATTTCTTGCATAACACGCAATGGCGCTGCTAACTCTTCCGTGAGCTTGGTTACCTGTTCACTCTGAAATCAAAACATTAGCTAATTCATTCAGAACAAAATTATTATATGTACCTTTTCTGTGAAAACAAAACAGCTAAGTAGACTGGCACATTGCTCAGGGAGGAGGGAGTTGAAAACGCCATTGAAGATCAGTTCAGTAAGAAGAAGCTCATCGCCAGTACTGATTTCGCAAGCTACACGGCCCTTCACTTCCGCGATGTCGGATGAGTTCGTGGAATCAAGTCGACGGAGCACACGTTTCCGGTTTTTCAACTCCTCGAGTTGTAGCACATCGTGAGTTGCCATAATGCGCTTCTTCAGATCCCGTATCTTCGTTTGCGCCTCCTGCTTTTGGGCATACAGCGTGTATAGTTCTGGGAGACGAGGATCATTGTGCAATGGATTTGAGAACATTCTTTGCTCCATGACGTCGATTTTCTGCCAGCAACACAATTTAATTTTATGCAATGCGTTAAGAGCTGACGATGACTTACATTGACTAGGGCTGTGAACTTATCATCCTTGATGTCCATGTTTTGCACAGGATCGAGAAGGGCAATGCCATCAGGAAATCTTCGTTGCACTTCAAGAACGCTCTTCCAGACAGTATCACGCGCCTGATCTTGCCGAAGATCTTTTGGTAGGAAGACACGAATGTGGCTGATCGCGTCTACGGTAGAAAGGAAAATGGGTACTACAAGCGGCGAGCCTTTATTGCCAGGGGGACAAGGATGTATCCCTCCTGGTGTGGGTGTGGATATCGTTTTGTCTTTCGGTAGGGTAGCGCCATCGTTGCAGTTCAATAGCACATCGAGGACGTATTGTTCGTGGGGAGGGACATCCGCTAGCTGATGTTCTTGCCATGTCTAAAATAGAAGGATGAGTATCTGATTAACATCGTCCGACAAGGATAACGACCTTTGGTGGCAAACGCTTCTGGTAATTTACGACCACACCCCACCCAAAGTCAACATCCTTATACTTCACCTTGATCAGACGACCGGGCTGCAGGAATGGAAGTGAATAATTGGGATGGGTAATCACTTCGCGAAAATCCGCAGCCATGCGATCCAGTTGTTGACGGTAATCGTAATAGGTAGCAACAATGTTTTCATCGGGAATGGTGATAGCGTCTCGCCGTTTTTCCTCCCTTTGCAGCTCTAAACGAGTGTTAGGGTTTTCACAACACATATCCAAGACACTCACCATCTTCCAGGACGGGAATCCCTGCACTGCTCTGGAACTGGAAAAAGCATCGCTCGAGCATGTACTCAGGACTAATGCCTTCAACCTTGAGCAAGTTCAATATCATGTTATAACCGAGGTGGAAGGCAGAATCTAGACGGTCAGCCTCCCCCTTGATCATGTCTTTGGCGGCCGATGGCTCTAGCTTCTCGTCGCACATCATAATGACAACGCCTCGATCATCGAGACCACGTCTACCTGCACGGCCAGACATTTGAATATACTCTCCTGAGGAAAGGTTTCGGAATTCTCTTCCATCGAATTTGCGGGCGGCAGTAAAGACCACGGTTTTTGCGGGCATATTGAGTCCAATGGAAAATGTCTCGGTGGCAAATAAAACTTTAATAAGGCCTTCTTGGAAAAGGATCTCAATGACTTCCTTGAGGATAGGTAGCAAGCCCCCATGATGTATCCCAATACCTCGCTTGAGCAACGGAAGGATATTGGATATTTGGGAGAGATTCCGGTCATCTGTCGAGAGATTTTCGATGGCGTTCTGAAAAATATTTGAAACAAGTTCCTGTTCGTCTGTGGAATTGAATTCGAATTTGGACATTGTAAGCGCAAGAGCCTCGCACTCTCTCTTGCTGAAAGCGAAAACAATGACAGGATTGTAGTTCTTGAGCATGATCATTTTGATGATTTTGGAGATATCGGATTGTCCTGGCAATGATTAGGAGGATGATGGGATAAAGACAGTTCAAACACCTTTCTTTTCACCTCCTTTTTTCGTCTTCCCTTTACGACCTTTTCCACTGCGCGGGTCGGCGGGGTCCTCTCCCATTTTATCTTGAAGTGTACCCATCGCTTTGCTGAAGTTGTCTTCACGGAACTCTCCTTTTTCATTGACGACCAGATAGATGCCTTCACCTCCAGCAGGAAATAGATAATGTTGCAACGGTGTTGGACGGAAGTCGGTATAGACAACATGGCACGGTTGTTCGTGAGATTTGCAGATCCACTCAGCGAATTGCATAGCGTTCGGTATAGTTGCAGAAAGAAAAACGTAGCGGACCGTATGAGGCAGCAGGATGATAGTTTCTTCCCAGACGACCCCGCGCTCTTTGTCTCGCATGTAGTGAATTTCGTCAAAGATTACCCACGCAACTTCACGCATTATCTCAGACCCTCGGTAGAGCATTGAACGTAGGATCTGCCGAAAGTCTCTTAGCCGGTGAGACGAGGATCATAAGCCACTCATACCTCTGTAGTCATTACAAGGCACGTCGCGGAGGGATTTATGGTCACATCGCCGGTCATCAAACCAACATCACCGAATTCTGCCAGCATCTCACGGTACTTTTGATTACTCAAGGCCTATTAAATCTCCAGTCATCCCTTCATGATTGCACACCAAGACTGCTGCTCACCTTGATTGGACTAGTGTAAATGACACGTTGTTTGTTCTGCAAGCATTGCGCGATAGCGTATTCTGCGACGACCGTCTTTCCAGCGCTCGTATGCGCCGAAACCAAAACACTTTCGTTACGCTGGATGGCGAATACTGATACTTGCTGAAATGGATCAAGAGTGAACTTGTATTCCCTTGCTGGTTTTTGGGGTGGAACATGTTGCGCGATCGGTACATAGTGATAACCTGGTGGTATGGCAACTTGGTGGCGGACCTGGCAAAGTTATAGATCAATACAAAGTATCCGAGTGACTGGTTAAAACCTGATGTCGCAGTTCCAACCGCGAACCAGCTTCGACCGACCCCGTGAGCCCTCCACTTGCGGCCATTTCACGTTTGGCCTCAGTTTCAAACTCATCTACGACAACTGGCACGGGTGATGATATACGGGTTTTTTTGGAACCAAAACCGCCAGAGGCGCCGCCGTTCGCGCGATCGCCTGGAGGATCCGTACTTGCACGACGCTTTACTTTCTTGTCGACGTGACGCGGCTCAGGGATATTGATGTCTTCATCCCATTCCACAGAAGGCGCACCATTGAGGAATGAGAATAAGTCGGGCGTGGACATATGGAGTGTTGGAGTGAGTGGGCTTGCTCAAGACCTAGTCCAATGTAACTTAATTGCGTGTGACCGGAGTTTCAACGTCCGGCAATAACCGAAAGTTAATTTTCACGGGCAAAGATATCGAGTGTCGTATACAGATTTTGCATTGTACAACCATGTCGCGATTCTTCAGACAAGCGGGCGATTCAGACTCTGATTCAGAGGAATCCGACGAGGAGCTCCTCACTAGTGGCGATGAAGATGCTGCCGCACCAAAAGCTGCTGCCAAACCAGCCATGTCAAGATTCCTACGCACAGCAGGAAGCGATTCTAGCAGCTCAGACTCAGAGTCATCCGATGAGGACGAAAGTGACATGTCAGATGAAGAGCCAACACAGAAGAAGAAATCCCGATTTATGCGTGGTGATTCAGATGAAGGAAGTGATGACGAGGATGTCAAACGTGTTGTGAAAAGCACCAAAGACAAGCGCTTGGAGGAAATTGAAGCCACTGGCAAGGTCATGGACAACGGGCTCAAAATTAACGACTGGGTCGCCATCTCGAATGGTGAGTCTTGTCGAATTGTTATTAGATTCCCTGACTGTCGTTCTCTTAGAATTCGACAAGCTCTTGCGTCTTGTGCAGCGACAGAGCAATGCTGCAGAACCATTACCTCCATTCTTTGTGAAGACCCTTCTAAGTCTAGAGAACTCCCTCAATGCTGCTCTGACGAAGGAGAAGGAGGCAAAGAAGAAGATGAACGCCACCAATGCTCGAGCGCTCAACTCCATGAAGCAGAAGGTCCGCAAAACGGCTAAAGAGTTCGAAAAGGAGGTCCAGCAATATCAAAATGTAAGTTTGTTTTGGCCATTCTATTACGTTCCTCACCTCTCGCAGGATCCAGAAGCATTCGAACGTGAATTTGCCGCTCATGCTCAACCTGTTGATGTCGTAGTCCCCAAAACCAAGAAACAGAAGAAAGGTGCAGACTCTGAGAGTGATGAGGACCCGGTATTAGATGATCGGTTCACCACAGTCGGCAAGGGTGGCAAAGCAATGTCTTTCTCCGCGGACAACATCTTCAAAACTTTAAAGCTTGTTCATGAGGCCCGTGGCAAGAAGGTGCGTATGTTCTCTTTCGCTCTTCCCTTCCAATTAACCGTGTCATAGAACACCGACCGAGGAGAACAAATACGGATCCTTGAGAAACTTTTAGAAGTAGCGGTCACTTCCTACCAACGTATCCGCATCCTCCTGGCGCTCGTTTCATCCCGATTTGACTACAATTCATCGATTACATCGTACATGCCAACTGATCTGTGGCTCTCGGCGCAACATGAAGTCGATCAGTTGATTTCAATTGTGGTCGCGGACTCGTCTTACGCTGTGCAGGAGGACACTGAGGATTACGATGAGCTCATTGAGCGCCATCCCGCTACAGAGAGCAATGGGGTCGTTCGCATTCGTGGCAGCATCATCAGCTTTGTAGATCGTTTGGATGACGAATTCACGAAGAGTCTACAAAACATCGATCCACATGGAACAGAGTATGTCGACCGCCTAAAGGACGAGAAAGTGCTTTATCGTACTATCTGCCGTTCGCAAGCTTTCTATGAGCGGACGAGCCAGCCGGAACCCCTTGCACGTGTGATCATGCGACGGTTGGAGCATATTTATTCCAAGGTTGGTTGAAGCTACCCACCGCAGTTCTTTTTTGACACTGTTTGCAGCCTGATGCTGTTGTATCTGCTCTTGAGTCTTCACTGGCTTCGTCAGAGATAACTCCGAGCGTCACCCTGGCATCTTCTACCACTACTTCGTCCCTGATTCACTCCCTTTGCGTCCATCTTTACAAAGCCGACAACTCCCTTCTGCGCACTCGCGCCATGCTCAGTCATATCTACCATCACGCTTTGCACAATGACTTCTACACGGCTCGAGACATGTTGCTTATGTCGCATCTGCAAGAGTCGATCCATTCTGCGGACGTCGCAACGCAGATCTTGTACAATCGGACCGTTGTACAGCTCGGGCTTTGTGCTTTCAGATGCGGGTTGATCAAGGAGGCCCAAGCGACGCTGCAAGACATCTTCACCACGCAACGCGTGAAGGAGTTGCTGGCTCAGGGTGTCCACCAACAGCGCTTTCAGCAACAACTCACGCCAGAGCAAGAGAAAGCAGAACGGTCACGTCAATTACCGTTCCATATGCATATAAACACTGAGCTTCTCGAGGCGGCTTTCCTTGTGTCCAGCATGCTTGTCGAGGTTCCCCTCCTTGCTAGCATCGAGTCAGAGGAGCAGAAGCGCAAGGCAATTTCAAAGCCATTCCGCCGATTACTCGACTTTGCCGATCGCCAAGTTTTCACAGGCCCTCCTGAAAGCACGCGCGATCACATCATGCAGGCAAGCAAGGCACTACAAGACGGCGAGTGGGAGAAATGCCGTGACCTCATTCAGAGCATCAAGATTTGGAGTCTTATGCCTGAAGTTGCGTCGGTTAAAGAGATGCTTGCGAAGTAAGTGTCATCTCACCGACAAATCCACCCTCTGACCGCGATGTACAGACGTATTCAAGAGCAAGGACTGCGCACGTACCTTTTCACATATGCCCCTTATTACAGCACTCTCTCACTATCTCTCCTGTCGCGCACATTTTCTCTTCCACTTCGGTCCGTCACATCGATGATTTCCAAGATGATATGGAACGAAGAGCTGTCAGCGTCTCTTGATCAGTCAACTGGTGTGGTGGTATTCCATCGCATCGAGCACTCACGTCCGCAGCAGCTTGCTCAGGTTATTGCTGACAAAGTCAGCGCACTTCTCGAGCAGAATGAAAAGGTCCTTGATATCAAGCTTGGTGGTAGCGGAGGATGGGGTGACAGGAGCGGCGACAAGGGTGAGAAGCGTGGCGAACAGACTCAAGAACGTAGAGGAAGGGGAGACAGGACACGAGGAAGTCTGCGCGGTGGTCCTCGTGGGCGCGGCTCGCGATTTGCTCAGGGTCTTGGTAATCAGATGACAAGAGTACGATGATCTTTACATTCAGTGTCGTCTTATAGAATGCGCATATTTTCATGATTTTTTATCATCTTTCTGTGTACGTGGCGATGACTATGTCGCTGGATCTGTCCTCGACTCGCCGGAGGCTTTTACTATCATTTCGGGTAATTTGCAACATTTTCAGCAAATTTTTTGTAGCTTCTCAACCACTTCCACCTCAACATCACATGATCCGGACCTTATTAGCTTGTCATTCCCAGTATGGTATGACAAGCTAATAAGGTCGGAAGGCCCTGTAGCCCTATACTGCCAGTAATTACCCCAATAAATACTTTTATTTTACCTTCGGAAAAACAAGGACTTAGTCAACCGTGAGACCAGTCCTTTGCTGCCGAGTATGACAAACAAGACATACCCAAAATGGCAACAATGTCACGCAACCGCTGTTCGTCATTGCTGGCAACATCTGAAACCTTCGTGCTCATCGTCATCCACGACGGGCTCAATAACTCGCTTGTTTCTCAACTGTTTCTTTCTTTTTCTTATCACTATGTTTGTCACATCCACCACTCACTTGCCCCTAGCGTTTACGCATTACTAAATGATGCGACTGACACGTGTCTGCCGTGGTATTTCAATGCCTCCCCCCACCATGAGGCTACCACACCTTGGTTCGTTTTCCTCTCTCTTCCAACAATGACTGCAGCGAGACGCCAGAAAGGTGGCGTATCACACACTCTCCATGTTGTGCAAGCCTCTCGAAGGGGCTATGAGCAACGCACTCTCACCCACAATGGTGTCCATCGAGAACGGGAACACGCACAACAATGATACCTTCAGGATATCACAGGTGCGTTTTTCTTTCTATTTTACACAACATCTCTCAACTCTTCAAGCAGGCCTTGCCACTGATTCAGTATCTAGTCTCAATGACATGCATTCCCAACAAGACTCGATGCAGACTGACACCGGAGACGGCACATGGGTCGATTGTGAAGGTGGAGGAGAAGTTGTACTTGATGGTGGGCAGCCAGACAGGTCAGAGGATGAGGTATTTGTGAACACTGTCCGCGACTACGTCAGTTCTCCGTGAGTTCCTACTTTTAATTGATTATTATTAAACACCAACATTGTGCAGGTGGGCTCAGCGCCAATATCAAGACAAACGGACCTGGTGCAATCGCTTGGATAGCCTACATGCAAACTGGTCACCCCTCCTTGCTGGACTCACGGACACCTACCTCCAATGGAAGGCATCATCTTCTAGTTGCGAAGATGTTGTCTCTGCCTCACCCATGTCTGTCGCAGATACTGATCATTCCTTCACCATTCCGACGATCAACATTTTCACGCTCAGTCATGAAGTTACTATCCCTCACAGTGCAGATAGTATGTCTGTCGTGGATTCTCTCTTACGTGCTGGCTACCTTTCTCCCACACCTATCACACCAACAATTGCAATCTCATTACACACCCTTGAACACTACCGCCTCATTCACAACCGAAAGCCTTCATTCAGTATTGAAGCATTTGCTAAGGTACTGTGCGACTCCTATAGTGTGAGTTATTAATCTATTATCCACTCATTGTACTGTTTACTAACTAAAGTACTTCACTAGTTGCCCTACCGCCGAAGATACCGCACCATTTTCTCGGATGCCTTTGATGTGTATCTTTCCCTCCTCAGGAAGGTTGAGAAGCGCATGTTAGCAGCCCTGGGGCGTGACACACCTAACTGGTGTGTCTTGAATACCTGTCCCCCCTGCACTTATGAAGTGGCTGATGAGCCTCTCCTTGATTTTGGTTGATTCTACATACTTGACGGGGGAAATTCCGCCAAGCACATGGCATCAGTAGGATCTCGTCAGATTGCTGACACGCGGCGTTTTGTTGAGTCCGACTATCTCCTTCCACGTGATTTCATTGACACATTTGCACACGACATACCTCCTCAAGATGCTGTCGTAACTGCAGATGCTGACATCGATGATGGGGACACAACCGAGAACCAACCAGAACCAGAGAATCTATTATGACAATGGTCGTAGTCGGACTGGGATGGGTAAGCGAAGGACGACGGTCCTAAGCTATCATGTCGTGTATCGTTTGAACATCAATATACCTGGTGGCCTAAGCTGTCAGGTTGTGACAGAACGGAAGGGGAGGTAAGCTTCTAAGGCAGCGGCCGAAGAAGGGTTTCGTGTTCGACGGTTAAGTCTAGACGAGGGATCGGTATTGACTCAAAGACAAACAGTCTAAGAGAAAAGAGGTATCGACTCAAGGATAGCGATCCAAGAGTATAGCGGGTTCGTGATCAGACTCAAGAGAGTTAACTCAAGAGAATATACAAGTCAAGATAAAACCCAGTAGAATCAAGTTAAGGAATAATAGTACAAATAGATCAACTATATATAGGGAATGACTACAGTGTTCAGGGCAGGTCTGGTAATCGTACAAGAGTCAGGAAAGGTATATCGGGTAGGCAGGACCAGGCAAGAGTCCATGAGGTCAGGGATGGGGATCAATGGGAACATCAAGGGAAAAGGAAGTACAGGCCATGAGGCCACAGATCAAGGGTCCAAGGGAAGCGTCTAGCTTCTGTCACAGAAGGTCAGGGTCAGCGGGGATCAGGAAGTGCGTCAAGCATCATGGTGAATCGTGAAGAGGTGAAAGTGTGATGTTGTGATGAGGTGAAGAGGTGAAAGGGTCAGAAAAAGATAGGGGTGCCATGTTACTGTAACAGAATCCGATCGCCGCTGACTGCAGCAAGCACTGGAAGGCAGCAGCAGGTGACGAGAAGAAGCGCATGTGGGGCATCTTTGAGGAGACTGGGATATTTGTCACTGTATGTCGTCACAGATTTCTTTTGTGGTACACCGACATGGTACGAAGTGGTGAGCTAGCCAAGTACCCGCTTGCGATAATCTCGAAGGTCATCGAGTTGTTTGGCGCACATTCTCTCGGTGCATATGACATCAGTTGCAGCTTTAATGCCACCATTCAGTCTAGCACCCTCGCACAGCAGTTTAACAAGAAGGGGTTGCGACTATGTGTTGACACCTTCCACGGCTATGCTCACAACTACATGTGTCAAACCAAGCATCATCCTCTTGGCATCAAGGGTGCTGGGATCGAGGATTTTCAATGTGCCGAACGTCTTTTCAGCACTGCAAATCATGTTGCTCCTGTGACGTGTTACGCGAGTTCTTATCACCACCACCTTTTTCTCGACATGTTCTTCCGCCAATGGGATGACGAGAAGTATCAGAACCTTGGCACCATGATTCTCAACAACTATCGACAAGCACTCAACATCATATCTACTGAATCGGTTGCACTTGAGGAGGCCAAGGTAGCGCTTGATATACAGGAGGGTGACCTTGAGAAGTGGCGAGAGGAGGAGATTGAGTATTTCCGAACCCTTGGTGATGAGCCTGAGTGGGACGTACATGCGATGGCGTATGTGGAACTGTTGCAAAGACTCCGAGATATTGAGTAAGGGTACCTTTTTCTAAAGTTAAAGTTTCGTAAATCTGATGTGCGTCAGGTCCCAGACTTCAGAAGCTTCCTCGCGCTTCCTTGCGATGACACCATCTGACTATCATTTTGTTATTCCTCCTGATGGCGTCACCAATTTCTACTCATCCAACTTGTCACAAACACGGAAAGCTGAAACACAACGTCGGCACTTGATGGAGAAGTGAGACTTGATCCTTCAAGAAGTCGCTGCCATGGAGGTCAAAATGGCCATCTCACATTGGTGGCAGCCGTCATTTCCAGAATATCAAGAGACCGTAAAGTACATGGCTACCCATAAGTATCAGCGAGTGCTGGACAACCTACAATGTCTCATGGTTCAGCGGCTATTTGAGTTACAGCGGTTGAATCCCAGACTGGTAAGTACTATTTCTCGCCATCAGATATATTACTGATCCCCTTCACAGCCTATCATATGCGAACTCACATTACAAGATCACTTCAAACCCGCTGCAAGACTATTCGGAAGGCAGTTGAAAAGTACAACGAGGCTGCACGCGATATCCCTGGCCGTGCACCAATAGAGTGGTCTAAGGTCACCCACTACAACTTTCTTGATGAATTTTCCCTCCTCCGCGAGACTTGCCAGGACATTCGTGAACATCCGTGGACCAAGCCTGCTATACGTGAGACTATCTGACAGTCGCTGCGCATCCAACATGCACACGAAGAACTTGTTCGTTGTAATGTTGAGCTGCGGCGGCTGCATACAGCCATTGTTGATGAATCACGCTTCCTTGCAGGCATTTTACAGGAGTTGAAGGCTTCAGAAAACCCAATCTATGTTGTTGTGAAAGAATACTGCACTCGTTGCGAGCTTGTCAATGCTCACTTGCTTGCCCGCATCAATCAAATTTATGACATTGAAGGTTTCACTGGCATTCGTGGACCTGGCGTCAGCAAACACCGCGCTGAGACTATGGACTCTTCATTTACTAGTACAGAATATCTGTTGGCTGCAGAGGAACTTACACACGAAGAAGCAGAAGTGGATTTAGAGGATGACACGGTCAACAGAGATCTTGCAACCCTCGTCGAGTATATGACAGACTTGTAGTGCATGTAGTCTTGTAGTTCCTGAAGTTTCAATGTCATTGAGTTATGCTTTGAATTATGCTTGCTCAAAGATCAGCGCTGCGGGTGACTGATGTAGATATCAGATGAGAGGTGTTTAGTCGACTGTTTGAGAGGTGTTTAGTCGACTGTTTGAGAGGTGTTTAGTCGACTGTTTGAGAGGTGTTTAGTCGACTGTTTGACCATGTATCAGATTACCGTAACCTTCAGATTCCACTTTCCACGACTACTTTTCAACCTTTTACCCTCAACAGTACATGGCACTAGCAACGTCGACTCCCCGTGGGCAATCTGATGTTCACTGGGCGATTATCGGTGGTCAGCGATCAGGTATTTATAGAGAACGGTATGTGGTTACATGTACTATGGGCATTGGGCGCTGTAAATAGCTCACCTTCTTATCAGCCCATTCATCACTCAAGGCCTTGAAAGTCCATCGTTCGTGGTCCCAATTCAGTGCCCAACACTTGAAATCGCTCAGGAAATTTACGCTCTTCAGTCCCTAATGGCTGAGATCTCTAATGATATGTCTCCCATGGAAGCAGGACAAGTCTTTCGCACATCGAACACTGCGATCGTAGTACTTCGCCCGAACGTAGCTGGGTTCTATGTAGTTGTTATTGGGTATCAGTGCGGTATCTATCTGAGCTGGTGAGTGGTTCAGAGTTCTTTCAGCTTTGATCTCACTTGAGTTATTTCAAGGCGCGACTGCAAAGTCAATGTCACAGGGTACCAATCACCGCTCTTCAAGAAACTTACAACATTCACAGAAGCTATGGAATGGTTCATTACGAAGGGTGGTAGGGCGGTTAGGCAGAACAACACCGCTGTCACTATGGAACTCGCACCGCAGCCCTCATCCTCTCAAGTGTTGCCAACCACGCCAATCAAGAAGACCCGACGAGAGCGTGTGAAAACATCCCTAGGCGATTCTGCACCTCCACGTTAGTGATTTTGAGCTGGTCGTAGTTCTCATTGATTGACACTTCTTAGTGATGATAGATTCCCCATCCTTAAGTTCTTCTCTGTCTTCTCTGTCGATCTCTCCAGCCACCGGTTCACCTGGACACCATCGGGGATATTGAGCAACATCAGAACACCTGCAACCAACACCAACTACCTGGCAGCTACCAGATCATCCGCAACCAACTACCTGGTGGCTACCAGATCATTCGCAAACACAATCTAGCAATCAGTCTCCCATCTATAGCTACATCCGCGAGATTTCTGGCATTCAGCGTGCTATCCCTCACCCGCTACCCCTGGACTCTAACCCCCTTCCATCATTTGGATTCCTTGCAGACATTTATCTCCAAGCACACGGCTACACCATGCGTGCTCTGCTTCATGGTCAGCATGCTGTTCATACCAGTGATTCACATGAACATTTTTCTCGTGCACTCTCTCTTCAATGCATGCCCATTACGGAGGCAATGTTCTTGTGGAATCTGATTTCTATGGACGCAGACTATAATGATGGACCTCTTGAAACATAATGGAGAGCAATCACGTGGGCCCTTAGCGCAATTATTTTGACTGTTGGCTGTTTGTTTTTCACTACTCATTCTGTTACTTCATGCATACTGCTACCTGCGTTTACTATGGCCAATACTCTCTCTCCTTCTGACCTTAAGTGCTATGCTAAAGAAATGCGAAAGTTGTCAACACAAAGGGTCCGGAAACCTTGGCGTCGTAGTTCCCGTCCTCGTGTTAAACATAGTGCAGCTGAAAAATCAGCTGCCAGAAAGCAGCGCAAGGAATTTCGTACTGAGTATTCAGCTGCACTTGCTGCAGCACGAGACATCATATGGGAACAAGCCATACAATTGCGTGAAAAGTTTGGCCATCACTCGGTTGACTACTACGAAACAATTATGCAACAGTCACGCAAAACGGTCAACAAATGTCCAGCAACTCGCTGGAATGTATTTGTCCGACAAGAGGTGAAGCGTGCTAATGACGGTAAGTCGGCCTGCAGTTTGCTATGTATGGGAAGTCAAGTCATCTGACCTATGATTGACCTTAGCGCTTCCACCTGGTACTGAGCATCAGAAGGCCCCTGCAATGATGAAGGACTTGTCGGAACACTGGAAGGACATGTCAAAGGATGAACGTGAAGCCATAACGGAGGATACTGTTGGAGACCTTAACAATCATCGAGAAATGAAGGAGCTATTTCAGCGAAATATCACAGTAAGCTTGTTTCAAGATGTTAAACGAACATTAGCTTCCATTGATCGCGAGGTATGAACATCAAATCTTGTACTGACTGCACATCTGACTCATTCTTTAAAATTTTAGCTTGCTGCTTTAAATGCACGGACAGGCATGGAGATAATTGTGCTTGCTGTGCGCTCGGATGTTGACCACTTTAACCAACCACATGTATTTCATACCAAACGTGCTCGTGACTTCTTCACTGCATGTTTGAAATCTTCGGTCCATGACATTGCCTTTAGACTGGAGGGTTTTTGTGTTGTGGGTGTGAAAGGTCAGCGTAATCTTATTCTACAAGCTTTATTCAAGACTAATATTAGTGTTCTAGGTCTAGCCAGAACGCACATCGAGGAGGTCATACAGTTAAAGAGGCAGATAAGCGAGTTAGTCTTGTAAAAACTTCGTTAGTTTATCATTATGTTGCCTGTATGTGGTGGACTAATTTTCTACTTAGAGACCGTTGCTGCACTGCAGAAGGTTTCACGAATGTACTATCAAAACTTCGACACTAACATCACGGCTCAGTACCGCATCATTATTGAGAATTGGCCGCTGGCAAAATTCTGTGCCCCCGGTGATATTAGCTCACGCAATGAGCTGTCAGTCCTTTACCGTGCTTGGGAATCTGATGCTACTCGATTCCACCACCTCACTGACACTGAATTTGAACTCTGGAAGGAGGATCGGTTCCAGGCAGCATTGGCACTACAGAACGACACTACCGTGGAGGGCACTCAGAACGAAGCTGCCATGGAAGGCACTCAGAATGAAGCTGCCGTGGGGGGCACTCAACCAAGTGAGGTAAGTTTAAATACTCATTTAAAATACAATTTCTGATATGCAGAGCTCACCCAAGCACCCTCTCGAGTCGTCACCAGTCACTACAGACACTGCGCACCCCAACAACACTGATCCGCAGACTCAACCACAGCCGGATGCTAACCCTCGTCCTGATGCTAACCCTTGTCCTTCTGGTTCCTCTCAACCTCGTGGACACAAATGCAAGGCCCCATCTGCAGAGGTCCTGAACACTGTGTTCTCAAGCAATGGTGATGGTGTCCCTGTGCAGAAAAAGGCTCAGAAAGAGAGATCTGACAAAGGGAAGGCAGGTGGATCATGGAAAAAGGTTCCTGCTGACGCTCCACAAGAGTCTGAGGTTCCTCCCGCATCTGCAGAGTGATTTTTGTGCCAAGGACCATCATATTTTGCCCTCACTGCCTGATACTTAGCCGTTTTTCCATGTTATGTTGATTACTATATAAAATTGATATATTTTCATGTGTGGTGCCCTACATTGATGATATACAAGTGTGATAAACATAGTGACAAGAAAAAGTGAAAGAAACGGCTGAGAAACAAGCGAGTTATTGAGCTTGTCGTGGATGACGATGAGCACGAAGGTTTCAGATGTTGCCGGCAATGACGAACAGCGGTTGCGTGACGTTGTTGCAATTTTGGGTATGTCTTGTTTGTCATACTCGGCAGCAAAGGACTGGTCTCACGGTTGACTAAGTCCTTGTTTTTCCGAAGGTAAAATAAAAGTATTTATTGGGGTAATTACTGGCAGTATAGGGCTACAGGGCCTTCCGACTTTATTAGCTTGTCATACCATACTGGGAATGACAAGCTAATAAGGTCCGGATCATGTGATGTTGAGGTGACCACTTCATGTTATCTTCCACAAATTTAGAGTGTTACTAATTTACTAATTACTAATTACTAATTACTAAGAGTCTGTTTGGACACTGAATTTTGGCAAATTTGAGCTTCGTATTTCCAACTCACTTTGGGCTTTGTAAATCATTGGATCTGATGCCAGCCATTACTTGATCTACTTGTAGTGTATATTCCTCTCATCCCTGCCTTAAATATACCATGGCACCCCAGAAGAAAAAGCAAGCCACAGGAAGTCAGGAGCCCAAGCCCAAAGACAGATGCTTTTGGACGCCAGATGATGAAACCGCACTCATAGACTTTGTCGAGGTCAACAAAGCCAGAGCCGGCGATGGCATGAACTTCGACAAGACATTCTGGAACGACGTTGCCGCGCACCTAGCTGGGTCCACATCCCAAGGTGCAGTGAAGACAGGGGATGCATGTTTGTCGAAGTGGAATCATGTAAGTCTGCTATGTTCCATCTGAATATGATACTGATGCACCTCTAGCTCTGTGCCACATTTGTTATTGTTGACAGAGTAGCGAACCACTCGGGTGTCGCATGGCAGTGCCGACATCGCACCCGAATCAGAGACTGTCTGGGCTGATATCATCAAAGTAAGTAAAATTTTTGCGATGGTACAACTACCCACAATAGTTTATAGGCTACTCCCGCCGCTAAGTCCTACAAGACCAAGGGCTGGCTGCCATACGAGAAACTGAAGAACATCCTTCCTTCAAAGGCAAAGGGAACAAACACCTACCACCCCCCTCCAGGCCTCCATCATCTCGCTGGCTAGTACCAGTGCAGCTGTTGCAGGCATGAGTTTTGATGAGGTGGAGATGCACGACAATGAAGTGGCGCTGGATGAGTTGGAGAACACCTCCAATGATGAGACTGTGATAGACGTCCTCATGCCACCGCCGCCCTCCCTATTCGACACAGCGCTCCAATCCCCCTTCGCTCCCTCTACACTGGGTATGTCGAGCATGTCTGTGGGTGCCAGTAAGCGCAAAGCCGACGGTGATGATTTAATGAGGATGTCTTCTTGTCCTCCCAACTCTTTGAAGTTGAAGGTTGCTGTGTCGGCGTCGGGAAAGTCACTCAAGTCTGCACGTCCCAGCATGCCTCAAGTGTTTCAGCAGATAGGGTTGGAGATTTGAGATCTTAGCACCTCATTTGACTGTGCAGCCATTGTCTTTCAAGAGCGTACACCCCATGCTATCAATCCCATTCCACTGCGCCGGCAGAAGGCAATCATTCAGCTGGAGAAGGAGGAGGGTCTGGAGGATCACCAAGTGGTGGCGGTGATCAAACATTTCCAGAAGGATGTCGCAATCATTGATTCATACCTTGCCATTGAGAAAGATAGTATCTGCAGGCTGTTCTTATCTGATTATTTTAATTAGTCATTCATACTTGTTGTGTTTCATACAAATGATATCATTCCTAGGCGCGCATATTGATACTAAGTAAAAGTAAGAAAATTCGACGGTAAAGACAACAACCACAGAAACTTGATGGTGACAGTAAGTACTACAGAAGATTGTCTGCCACAAGTGACTGCCCTCTTTCCTCTCTTACACTATTGTAGTCCTCCCACATTTGATGAGCTATCTGATCACAATGTTCATGTGCACGTGTGCGTGCCTCATTGGAGGGAGTGCCTTCAGCGAGTGTGCCGGGGTTGTATGTGGGCCCATAGATATCAAGGTTGACTTGACAATCTAACATGTTGTTGGGGTTGTGAATGCGGATGATATTATGCACCAGGCATAATGCTCACATATTGCAGTAACATATTTCCGTATTATACGAGTGAACCGACGTGCATAATATCCCGTATGATACGGGCCAGTGGACCATGGGCCGAAGGTAGAAATATTCTCGACTATGACGGATGGGCCGGGAGTGTTATTATTCCCGATGGAGACAGGTGGGCCCATGTGGGGAATATGTAGAGTAGATGAGTGGGCCGATGGACATGAATATTCTATAGACGGATGGGCCGAGGTGGTTGGATATTATGTAGATGGGTGTACCAAGGTAGATGTGTATCAAATAGCCGGGTATGTGAGGGGTGCTTGTTATCACATAGACGGGTGGGCCCAGAT